CCTCACCGTCCTTGGGGACCGAGAAGTAGTGCAAACTAGAATCCACAGCGATGAACCCAAGACGCGTGCGGCGATCAGCGTTAGGTATTCTGTCGAGACTGTCAAGGATGGTTCTAGCGCTGGTAGCGAGGAGACCGGTGGAGACAGCGGCATAGCTGACGTCGAAAAGGAACAGATACACGAGCGGCTGGGGCGGGCGGACCATGTACTCCTGGGGCGCAACGAATTCAACGACGGAGTAGTTAAGCTCGTAACGTCCCCATCGATCGGTGCTCCTTTGAGAAGCAGCGTCCCAGTCGAAAGCTTGAGGCACGTCGTTTGTCAGGTTGCACATGTTGCATCGCCAGCGGTGGCCATGGTCGAGGAAAGTGACGAAGGGGTTGATGTATGTTCTGCACCGTCTGCAACGCGCGATAACTTGGTCCTGCACAACGGGGACCGGGTCTTCGCTGTCATGAAGAGCGCCATAGGGCTGAATGACAAGCGCAAAGGGTAACCTCGACTTTTTCAAGAGAGAGTGTGTTGTCGGCACAGCGTTGAGCGTAGAGCGCACGTATTTGGGACTGCAATTCGCATCGGGAGAGGGAGTAACGCTGGTCTACATTTCCAAATGTTAACAAAGAGCTCGACAGGAGTGGGGCAGGCGATGGCGTACATTAGGAGGCAAGACAATGGGGGGTGGAGGAAGATCTAGCTCAGAGACGTTGAACGGCTGGTTCATCAAGTCGGTAGGATAAAGCTGGTTGAGGGTCACAGGACGAGTACCTGCCGGCTGGCCGGGGGGTGGCTGCTGAGGGTTACCGCCGAGGTTCATGCCGGCCATCTGCTGGTTGAGGCCAGCGACTCCGGGGGTAGCGGGAGTGCCGCCGGGGGCAGGGTACCCGGCATCGGGTGGCTGATAGCCACCGTATCCTCCGACCGGGGCGGCAGCAGTTTGCGGCATGCCGTATTGCTGCGGCTGAGGCGAGCCATAAGTTGTGGCAGCGGGCTGGACATCTGGTTGGGGATAGCCTCCATATGCCGGGACCTGAGGTTGCGGCATGCCATACGGGGCAGCTTGCGCTTGGGCAGGCGCGCCGGCTGCCGTGTTCGCACCAGCTCCGAACTCGTAGGCTTGGGTGGCATAGCCTCTTTTCTTCTTCTTGCCGTGGTCGGCGACAGCCGGCTGAGGAGCTTGGGCTCCCTGTGCGTCATAACCGTCCTGAGGCTGGTGGGCGTAGGGCTGTTCCTGCGAGGGGTATTGGCCGTAGCCGTCGTTCGGCGCCGACATGGTGGGCAGTCTAGGGGGGCTAGACGTCGTGGTACTTCTTGTTTGCGCTGGGGGTGTCGAGCAAGCAGGCGTCACGATGGATGACAAGATGGAGGTTTGTATTTCGGGATATTTGGCTGTGGCCGGTGTCGGGTTTTGGGGGTACGCAATAGGCGGCGTGGCGTAGCGGCGTCAGGTAGCGAGGGGTGAAGAGGACAGCAGGCAGCTCAACAGAGATGTGTCCACAGCAGCCAGATGGTAAAGGGTGACGGAAGACGGCAACCAGTCGTGTGTGTCAAGGCGAGGCTGACCAAAATACCCAAGCCCGGGCTGCGATTGAGGGAGAGAAAGGCGAGATGCAGTGAGCAGCCTAGGGATAGAGTTGAATGGACAGGTGGTTCAACCCGCAATCCTTCCAGCTTCAAGTCGGGCGGGTGGGTGTTCACCTCTATCGCGCTGCAGGGCTTAGTTGGCCTTGCTTCTGGTGCTGGTAGCGGGCTCAAAACATGTGGCTGGAGTAGGCAGTTGTCGTGCACGGTCCATCTGGGGCTAGAGATGCCGGATGTCGGGAGATCATAAAGCCGTGTCCATATGGAAAGAATAACAGAAAGAGACAGTGGGAAAAAAAGAAAAAAAGAAAAGAAAGAAAAAAACCATTAGTATGCCTAGCGACGGAACAAGATTGAGAAAGATGAGTGCCAGCATAGCCAGTCACTCAGAGCACCATCACTCCTCGCGCCCTCACTTACGGGCGGGCTGGGCTTCTGTCTCGATCTTAATGGTGAAGCTTTCCCCCTGTCTATCTAATTTCTGGAAAGCGTCCAATGACTTGGGCTTGACTTGAGTGTGAAAAGTGGAGGTGAGAGACGCCGAGAAACTGTCGGCACAGAACAACCGTCACAGGGCTTAGCAAACGACCGAGCATCCGAATAACGAACCCATTAGTCGTCCTCCTGGACTGTAGGCGAGGAATGCCCGAGGGGTTCGAGGAGAGTAAGGTTTCTCTCATCTTAAAACCTCTTGACGCAGATAGGGCCTTTAGTTAGGGCTTGTTACAATGTCCTCCTTGGGCGGCACTGCATTCCGTCATTGTGGCCGTGGCACCCAATGAAGCTCCTAGAACGAGTCTTCCCATACTGGAAATTGCCACAGCATCTAGTGTGGGTTTCATGGACATGACAAGATTCGAACGCGACGAGACGGGTGGAACTAATGAATGGTCGGTTCCTAGTCTGATGTGTCTCACATATCGAGCGTGGTTTGCTACATCTTCTGTGAAGCCAGGAACTCAAGAAGGCCTCCAACACCAAGCGTGAAAATCGGGTGTAAAGAGCAGTTAATGCCTGTCATCCCCCGTCCACCTCCAATGAATGTGCCGTTGTTTCCAGCATCGAGCGGGCTACCGGGGTGCTTGGCAACACCCAAAAGGAACACTCGGGCGGATGGTGGCACCTTCCGTCCATGTTCTTAGCTTCTTGGGGCACTTGCGTCTCCACACGACTACCCCTAGGCCACTCAAACTCCCCTGCGCCGAGCACTGGGCCCTTTGCGCGATTGCGTGTCGTCGCGACTCGGCGCATTCATTCATGTGCATACGCGACGGTACTTCAGAGTCTTCTTGGGCATTTTACATTTTGAAGAGGGGACCCGGAGTGGGTAATCTAGGTGGCTGAAATGGGTAGATTGTGTATATTATAAGAATGCCTAGGAACTTGGAGAGCGTGGGAGGACAGAGGCAGTGTAGTACATATATCTACTTGCTGTAAAACATGTAGGTTGCCTCGCCTTGCTTTATCGAATGCCCGTACCTCGATCATCTTATCTTGCCTTGCCTTGATTAATACACTTCCTCTTGTTCGTGTCTTCGTCTCTAAGTTTTGTCCGCAAAGTCTTACCCGGACCGCACTGTCCTGGCTTGCTTGCTTCTTCAACCTAACCAAGCTACGTACACTACCTACATCCTCACGTACCTTAGCTTTCCGTCTCGCCCGTCACCGGTTGTTCCCCCTGCCCCCCCCTCCTCCTTTACACTACAATACCCTCCTACGCCTTCGCCTACTTGGGTCTGGGTCTCTCTGCCGATCTTCCTTTCACCCTGCCCCCTCGATATCGACGCCGTTGCCAGTTTGATTCCCTTTCCTCGAGCTTGATATTTCCCCAAAACACTGGAGGCCCTTGATCGAGCCCTACCACCTCCGCAATTTGAATCGCAAATATGGCGTGGGGTAAGAAAGCGCATCCGCCACCCCCTTCGACTATTAGGTGAGAGACATCCCGAGCCACAAAACAATTGAAACGAATGCGCAGTCAGGGCCAACTTTGCACGCGTCGCATAACGAATCCCTTTCCATCTGCCCCAGGAAAAGTCTCCTCCGAGTGTGTCATGCCATGCAACAAGCACATATCATCCTTGAGACGTAGGACGCTGACCCGTGTGCGTTTCGCAACCCGCAGTCAAGTTCTCCCCCTCATCATCACCGTCGTCTTCCTTGCGGGCGTTGCCTGGGTGCTCTGGCAGGTCTACATCTCCGTCACCAAGATTCAGGAGTCGGCCTCGGAGCGCATGGGCAAGAAGAACGTTGTCTTCACTAAAGATGGCGTGAGGGTCGGCGTCAGGCACACCTCGACCGAGAACTATGTCGACCAGACTCAGAGCTGGGTTGTCAAGGCTTGGAACCTGAGCGGGAACACCGTTGGCCAGATCAAGAAGACCAAGTAGTGGGCGCCGTACGTCCCCCTTTGGTGTGCCAGTCTCGACTATGGAGCGAGTTTTACTAGCACCTCAATAGCGAAGGGCGCGAAGACGGAGAAGAAAATCGAGAACAACGCGACGGAATAACAGCTCTTGGCTCTGCTTACAGTGACGGAAGAGATGCGAAACTCGCAAGTGAGCGCACGCGGTGGGTAGGCAGACATGGAGATACCCTGGCAGAGCCTGCGATGGTTACAGTGGTTGTGGCAGGAGAGGGGAAATGGGCAACGTGCATCGCTCGAGCGCCGAACTGCCCCCAGTGTTGGGATGGCACTTGCCGGAACATTTTCCATGCAGGCCTGGGCGGTCTTGGCGTGGTCAAGGTTGTTGCTCGAGTGTGCGTGTGTGTGTTATCCGGTGGTTCTGGGCAGCCAGGGCGACAAGCGGGCGGCCAGAGACGGACCCAGCCGCTTGCACCGGAATCCTCGGGTTGAATTTCATACTTGCAAGTAACTACAGATCAAATGCAAGAAGACATCGGATATGACCTCCAAGCTAGATTTGTACACGTAAACGCCGGTTTGTCCGTATTATCGCTGCTCCTTGACACGTAGACTGGGTTAGGTATGTCTTTAATGCAACAAGAACACATGCCTTTCGGTAACGATCAGAGTATGTGACACGTGAGACGAATTTCAACTGTGAACCGAGCAAAAATACAATCCAACGCCGTGGTATCAAATCCCTCCAACGTCAACACTCGGCTGTCACCGTTCCTAACGCAAGGCCTAGGAAGCCGTATTCCGTAATTCCTCTTTTTTTTCTTTTCTTTTCTTCTTCTTGTTCTTTTGCTTTGCCCCGTCTTCATCTCCGAGGATGCGCGACGCCAATGCCCGCATACTTTCCTCCTGTTTCCCGTTCCGTTCCGCCCTTATCATAATTGTCGAACCGAACGCCGCAGGGGTTCGGATGACTAACAATCTTGTAGAACTCCTGTCGACATATCGTGTTCCCACCATCAAGAGGATGTCCGTACAAGCCGAGCTCCTGTGGGCAAGCTCACTGGCCCCCAGGCCGCACCGTTAGCCAATTTTGTACCACCCATTGTCCCGCCTGCCCAGCAGTCCCGGTGGCCTTGGCGAGCAGTTCAGCCTTGTGTTTCTCTACGAATTCTTTCTGCATAGCCTCGCGCTGTTGCAAAGGGTTCATCGAGTAGCCTGCCGATGGTGGCGCAAGCCTCGCAGACAATAGCTTCTCAAAATTGTGCGCTTGCGGGTAAGGTGTGGCCATCAGGCCGTCCCTCCTGATGAGCATTGAGGGAATGCGGACTTGCATCTGTCGCGTGTGTTGGTTAGGATTCTTGACGTGGCAATGATTCTTGTGGCGTACCTGTGACAGGATATGGGCATACTTGACGCCCAGTTCATCCCCGATGAACTTCAAGCGTCCGACCACCCAGGCTCGTTGAGCATCTGTGGTGTAGTCCTGGCCATGCAAACATGCCAAAGGCCAGGTTAGGAAGTATCCCGGCAGACCTTTCTGTGATTCTTCTACTCCACAGGCGAAGCCCGAGATGTTAGCTCTCTCAAGGAGTTCCGGTCTCTTTAGGTGCCAGCCCAAGTGATATGGTACTGATGCGATGATGTCGCTGATGGTGTCCACACAAGTACGCGCCGCCGTTGCATATTCAGGCGTCGTGCGGTAGTCCACCGGCGAGCAGACCCAAGCGGCGCAGCGAACGATTACCGAGGCGAGGATGAGACGGGACACCCTTGCCATGTTCCATACACTGGCGATCCAGAAGTCCTGGTATACGTCCACCCGACCAGGGAACACTTCGGCCTTGGCGTAGTCTCCGTTAGGAACGTTGTCCTCCCATGCCACTGTCGTGTATTGAAAGTAGTCTGGCGTGTTCTTCATCCAGTTCACAAGCTCTTGGTCGACGGTTTGTGCCCGGCGGATCATGTCTAGCATAATGTCGATGTTCTCTGGGCTTCGGGCCACGGTCGACATCAGTCGCGTGACTTCGGCGCGTAGCTCAGCCGTCTTAATGTTGAGTCTCTGACAGTGAGCAGCGGACTCGTCTTTAACAGCGTCACTAAGCCACCACTCGACGCCCATAATAGGTGCTGTGCCCGTGCTGAGAGTATGAATGATCATCTGGGTCCGAACGGCGATGAATAGAAGCAAACCTGTTTTGGTCCGGAGTTGCTTGCGACCGCGTGCCTTGACCAACTGGATGGCGCCTTCAATGTGCGAACCCCAAGCGAACATGCCCATTTGGCGAGCAGTCATATTTTCGAAGAGGCCCAGCATGAGGACAGAAGCTAGAGTGGCGTCCGTCTTCGACTGGTCAGGGTCCTTGAGCGCGATATGCGTCTCGGCCAGTGCCTTAGTGTAGTGACCCAAGGCCTTTTCACTCAATCCAGTTGCCAGAGCGTTGGGGCGGTTTCCCAGTGATGCGAGTGCACACGCGTTGAAGGCATGCTGCAGATGCCGGTTCCCTTGCTCGACCTTGAGTAGCGGCAACAGGTATTCCATAAAGCCACGAGTGCTGCCCTGTCTGGGTATTAGGACGTAGTTGGCGACGAAGTGGCAGCTGGCCATCTGTTCCACGGGAATGTCCAAGCAAGGAAGGACCACCATAGTCGGATCGAACTCTTTCTTTAAGATGGGCGAGATGCTTTTGTCAGAGCCAGGCGTGGGCAACTCGATGTCTTTACCCTTCTGGGCAAGTGCTTTCCGGTTTGCCTTCTGAGCCCTCCTCTCTGTGGCTTTTGTCTCATTCCTGAAAACGAGGTCGAACTCGTCCTTGTAGCCAGGGCATTGACGACGAGATTTGGCGCATTGGTTACATGTAGGCTTTGTCTCGTCACACTGCGCAGAAGTTTTGTCAGTAGGCAGCTCCCGTCTACCAAGCAACCTCGTTGCGGTATCTCAAATTCTCTTACCTTTATCCTGCGAGTCCTGCACATCTGACAGCCCCTCGAGGGCTTTCCGCAATAAACCATGGTGTCGATTCGAGTCGAATTTATCGATGCGGTGCCGAGTTGAGTGTTTTGTAGCTAGCGAGCCGTATAGCTCAAGTAAGAATGGCGGGCGGGCGTCTATAAGGTATAAGGTGCTACCTGGCGAAGATGGAGCCAAAAGGTAGCCGGGAGGTTCACTCGGTGGAAAGAGCTGTGAAGTTATTCTATTGTGTTTTAAGGTATGATGAGGCACGCCGACGGTCGATCAGGGTGAGCGTGAAAGATCGACTGGCGGTGTTTGGGTCAAAGACTGCTAGGATGTGAAACCCGGAGGCAACCGGTTTATTCTGGAGTGCGGAGGTGACAATTGCTCAACTGGGGGGGAGGGGAAACAGCCAGTGTGACCATGTGAGTGTTTGGAACCAAGTGTCGGGTCCGGGAGCCGCGTGTTCGTGTTGAGATGATAGAGAGAATGACAATGTGGCAAGATACGGCAAGAAGCCAGGGACAGAACCAGTGTTTGCCTTGTCGATTTCGCGAAGTCAACGTATAGCAGTAGAGCCCGTGACTAGGTACTAAGGAGAACAGACCGAGAATGTCCTATGCGTGGCCTCCAGGCGTAGATGGGGATTTGAAGGGTTGGAAGAGGAACGAAGATAGGAAAGAGAAAGTCAGGTAGTGGCCGGCGAGCGCATAGATGAAAGGCTTCCAAGCCACGCCGATGGTGTTTGAGACTCGGCGCAGTCGGGAGTCTCAACAGGCCCTGTTTTCCCTAGCACGTCCGGGGGTGACCGTTGTTTAGACGATCCAGGGTGGCCCTGGTCCTGAAGTGTCAAGATGGGATTGATGTTGCAGGAGGTAATAGCGCTCGTCGAAGGACATGGACGGGTTGAGAAATTGGGGTTCAGCAACAGAAAGGCCAAGGTAGAGCGAGCGGGTGATTGGACGCTGTTATAATTGTTTGTATCACTTTACTTGGGGGCACCGCTTGTGCCCATTGTTTCTGTGATCAAGGTGGGGCACGAAAAGACGGGAAACGCCGCCCAAGACAGGGGACGAGTGGGCATGTCTCTTTCGGATTTAACATGTACAATACTTGGTATGGTCTTGCTGGTCTTCTTGTAATACCGTGTTAAGGAAATAGAGAGCTCCCGGTTGGAAAGGGTCTAGACAGTCTCGAGACGCTGGTCAGGCACACGACGACACTTGTATCCTGCAGATACCCCCCTTCGAACTGATAAGTGGAGAAGCAGAAGAAGAAGAAGAAGAAGAAGAAGAAGAAGACGACGGACAGGTCACCATGAACAATGGTGATCTGGGACATATCTCCACCGAATCAGACGCGTCCTACAGTACTACGATGCCTTTGGCTTGTGCCAGCCAATACCAGGGGCGTTGCGTTACCTTCATTAGGACGGGGAGGCGGAAACAATGGTGATGGGCTTTTACGGCTTCTTAGCCACAGGTGGGGAGTGGGGGTGAACAGGGATGAGGGGCTTGGGCTGGACAGGAGGATGCAGCAGAACAGGGGGCGGGGGCGGGACAGAAACAGCAGGGCAGCCAGCCGCTTTGACGTTGGGCTGTGGACATCGGACATGCAGATGCGACACTTGATGACAAAACGTCAGTGGCCGAAGAGAAGAATAGTGCAGGGAGAGAGAGACACCAGAGAAGCAGACACCGCTGCCGCTGAGAGCCAATTTGTTCGACCCGGCAGTTGGATGGAGGTTTTGGCTGCATGTTTACGGAGTAGTAGACGAGATTTCTCCCCTCAGCAAGATAAATCAGAGGTAATTGAGTGTTGGCCCCAGCTCTCACAGAAGGCGTGACAACGAGGGGAAGAGAACCCGGCCGAGTCTGCTAGATGTACGTGACGTGTACGGATACGCTTCATGTACGTTAGAATGCGCCCAGGAATCGGGAACTGGGGAGGAACAAAGCCGATGGAGTCTCTCGAAGCTCAGATGGCGCCTGCCATGCTTTCGCCATAACCGCCATGCCATGCCCTTGTCCTCTGCTACCTACCTACAGTACACTAGATAGTGTACCGTAGGTACTGGCTACTTAGGTACAGCACACGCTACCGTGACAGTGTACATACATGCCAATTCTGTTTGTCTTGCCTTGCCGTTGGTTTGGGCTTTGTTTGTTTCCCGACCTCGGCGATCTGAGCCTTGTGGACCACAATCTCATCTGGACTTGTTAGCCTAACCAAGACTTGAAGCAGGCAGCGTGGCCTTTGAGGGGGAACCGAAGAAACCGGGGGCGGTAGGTATACGGTATCGGTATACGGTATCGGTATACGGTATCGGTATACGGATACAACTACCTATAAGCGTTGGCTGATATCATTTTGGCTGCATGCGTCAGGTACGAGTTCTGGATGTCTGACCCAGTCTCCAGAGTTCTGGTCGGTGGCGGCGGGCGAGTCGGCAGCCCTGCCTCGACGGCGTCGGACTAGCGCTGCCGTCTTTGGTCTTTGGACGGTTTCACCGCACACTCAAAATGAACAGCGGCAACGACAGGCAACTCCGCGATCCCAGCAGTGAGTGGGTACGTACATTCGCCAGTTGGACTTGCGTTTCCATTCGTACGGTTGGCAAGGTAGGTAGTGTACACTACTGCGAGAATACTACACTAGATGGGTATATTATCTGTCTGTGTCTGCCTGTCAGTATGGGGGCCAAGATGGACAGACGATTGGGCTTGGATGCGTCCCCTCACAAACACACGGCGGTTGATATTACCCCCTCTTGATTTATCAATGAGCCGTGGCAATGCAGAAAACAGGCGAGCCAAAAACGGGGCAAAGAAGGCAATCTCATCCAAGACAGGACAAAACGAGGCCAAGCCGGGTCACCAGGGATGGGGAGGGGGATCAACTTGTTTGAGTCGGGGGCCCCCTACATGTTTCGGTGATGATGGCTCGACAAAGAAGCAAACATGATGGAAGGCTGGAAACGCCCCAAGACGACATGGCATATTGGCAAGCTCCCCTTACCAGGTCCAACGCGGCTGTTCAGAAAACCAAAGGCACGGCAGCGGACCTAATCTACACATAACGAATGGGTTGACAACCCTACCCAGTGCAAAAACGAAAGAGAGATGCCACCCGCAATTATCAATTACGCACCAACCCACCCACCCACCACCGATTGTGTGCTTGTTCGGCTCCGGCTTCCCGTCAAAGCTCCTCTCCGTTGATAGTCCACCATCTCTACACAGTACGCGCAGACTGTTTGACAGAGAGAAACTCATCTGGCTTCCGGAAACGCTTGCGTTAAATGTCCAACTGGGTTTTGTGGGAAACAGACTTTCCCCTAGCGCCTGCCTGACTTGACTGCCCGCATGTAAAGAACCCTTGGAGGCTACCTACATGTCATCGGGTCAGGGAGCGCCGCACGGTCCTCGGCACACGGACCTCGCGAGGCGGCCGTTGTGAGGCACACCGTGGTAAGGTACTTACTTGATGTACCTGTAAGTACGGAGTATGTACAGATACCTACCTGCCTACCTGGTAAACTACCTACGTAGTAGATAGGTAAGGAGCACATGTGTCCCACTTTTCGATGAATCTTGCATTTCGAACCTCCTTGTCTGAACAGGCTGGGTTGATGCTACCACTGCGCCAGTGCGTACGGGACACAAGAAACCCAACTAACTGTCTTTTGAAGCCTCTCGTTCCCGTCCACTTTCTTCAATCCCCCCTCTTGGTGCGACAACGGCGGTGATGAGTGACGGGCAATTACATGGACTTCCATGATCTTCATGATCCATTTCCCCTTCCTATTGGTGATATGAGGTCCAGTTCAGGCGCCCGGTCCGACAGGGTCAGGACGAGGATTCATGTAAGGCAGTCATTGAGAGATACGTCTGGTAGTGTACCATGTGCATGGGATCGGTTAGTCGTCCGCTGTGCCGCCTCACTGAGACAGATGCGGCTGTATCCACTTCCCATTACTGATACTTCCCCCAACCTTTCCATTTCATCGGGTGCAATCCGCCGCCAGGTCTCCTTCACGATCTCGCAAGCCCAACAGTCTAACAACACGGGAAGCACCGCCGGCACAACCTCAACAACTACGGATACTGGTGGATGGATGTCGATGTCTGCTCAGCCAACCCACCCAATCATAATGTCCTCAGTCTGCGAGGGTAACTAGGCATTGCTGGTCTAGCCTAGTGAACCGCACTTGGTTATCATAAAGCTTCATACCTACGGTATATATCCTGCTCTGGTGCTTCAGCGTAAGGAACGCGCTTTGTTCCCTCTACTACGTCGAGTGCTGTGTACACACAGCTGACAGCATATCCTCTAGTTTATTAGAGGGACACTGTCTTGTACTATTATTCTTACACACATCACTCTATTCCCTACACACAAATGAGATCCTCTGTTCCTGCGGATTGCGCGGCACAGACCAAACCCAAGACTGAAGCTCAGAGAGGAAGCCAAACACGCCATATCAATATTCAAAGGAAAATCGCCTCGGTCGAAGTGCAGACACTTTCTACCGCAAGGGATGCGTTAACGTTCTCAGCCCAACAACGCTTTCCCGAAGTCTCTTTTCTGCCCGTGAGTATGCACTTGTCGTCAGCTTAGGTCACTGCGAGGGAGAGAACGCTTGTTCAGAGGGCAGCTGCACAGCTGGTGCTCTGCTTGCGCCTGTGCAAACCTGTGGCTGACTAGGCATTTCAACCCGTCGGCCTTGACCAGCTTCTCCCATGTGAATAAGAGACCAAGTTTCCAGGAACTGCGGGTCAAATCAGCAGTCAATCGGTTCAGTGTCCTGACCATCTGCCGATACAGCAGCGTCTTCATCCCATAACCCAGCACACCGCGTCGCAGTACCTACACTACTCCTGCCTGCACCCTACCTACAGGACACTTGTCTCACTCTGTTCTACAACGATCGGCTGTCACTCACTCCAGGTTACTAGTACATCTTCTCGAATCAATGGACTAGTTGGCTCACTGGGTTCCAGCACCTGATTCATTGGGCCCTGTTAATGCAGTGCGTCCCTTGAGGTGGCCCTCTATCACACCCATCAGTCGTGCCGGATTTTGTTCTCAGTTGGACATGCGGCTACCCCCAAATCGCAGATAGTCAGTGCCAGAACAACTACTGTAGGCTTTCAAAACACATACATTGGTGGCCCAGTTGGTCCTGTTCGGTCTTGGACATTGGGCTTTTACAACTACGTGTAGCAACGGGAAGCCAGCGTCACACCGTATTCAGTTTCTCCTCGCAAACAAATCGATCAATGTCCTTGTATGTCAATTCAGAATCGCGGAGTGATGCCTTTTTCAAAACCACCCGACTCGATGGGACAATCTTGGGCCACACCGAAGTCGAGGGCAATGTTTCCTTCACAGATGGAACGGGGACCACAGGCACAGTGCCTATTCGGCAACGAACCGCCTTTACTACATAGTCTTCAGTCAGCACTGAGCAGAATGATGCTCCTGCAGCGTGTAGGTGTGGCAAGCCATTGAGTTGGCCTGCTTTTCTTGTCTCACACTGCCGTCTCGTCAATGCCTCGGCCAGATGACAGGGACAGGAGGAGAAGCAGGTAAGTAAAGCAGGTTGATACTCTCCTTCACCCGGTTAATACGTCCTCCGAGCGGATGGATGACTTCGATGACAAGAAGGTATCAACAGAAATATACACTTCTTGCCACACTGGCTTGTCACAAACGCATGCCTTCTCTATTCCTGAGAGATGGCCTGTCCCAATCCCGTGCCAAGTTCGAGATTGGTCAACGCACACGGATTATGAATCTCACTTCTCGCTCTTCTCATGAATCTTCGCCTCTATCCTTGTGTATAATCCACCATATTAATGATTATAGTTGAAGTAAACAAATAACTAAACGGACATGAGATTCATGGTTCCCAGTCCTGCGACGGTCATTGTCGTCTAAATGTATAGATCGGCCGTGCAGCGATTCTGGAGGGAAGATCGGGGTCCGGGTGGCATACTTCCCACCCCCTCCTCCTTTGATTCAGCCAGACAAAAACACCCCGCCCAATCCTGCCAAAAGTTGTATGACTCTGGAAATGTTTGGGGACCTGTCTTCTTACCGTGTACATGTAACATGCACCGGCAGTTACTTGACTTGTCCCCATCTCGGCCCCCGTTTGCTATTGAGCGACTACAACAGCGAGTGCTGCTTGAAAGGGCAAAGGGCAATTCCCGCAGAGTTTCATCCTGGTATGTCTGTGGGCATTGTGCTTATTGAACTTCTCTCCAAAGACTATTGGTTATGCGGAACCTACGTCGCCGATTTAACCCCCTGCTATTTCGCTCTGGCTGGAGTTCAGTAAATTCTCGAGGCTTAGATCAAAGGTATTTCAACCACCGATGGCACTGTCGGAAAAGTGAAACTTGCGTGTCTGGCATTTGTATCTCTCCGTATAGATGTATGGACAAGAAGCACTAGACACTAATGCTTTAGGGCTTGAAGAGGCCGGCAGCACGATGAAGAATCAGGATGCTCTTTGAAAACGTTGGTATCTTTTTTATCTCCTTCAGACCTGGACTGAAACATCAGCTCCAGCCCGTTTAGCCCGTAGTATGTCTCTATGCTAGTTCTACGCCATCCTGCCCCTGAGCCATAGCCCAGCCGACATGCCTGCTGGCATGATCTTTCCATTGGGCGGGTATAGCTCTTGAATTCCACACCTCGAATATGGCGATCCACGGCCGCCTGTGAGACTTCTGATCGTAACCCTACCTGTACCTTAGAGGAGCGGTACAAGTCGGGAGAAATACAGGCCTCAAAGAAGGGCCTACCTATGTAAGCAGGCCCTTTTGCAAGGAATCCGCTCCTCCGCAAGGTTGGCAACAAGTCACCCTAGCCCTCGAACAAATCAGCCACTCCCTCGAGAGCGTCTGGCGTTGCCCGTCCTGCGTCGGCAACTCCTCCACCCCGCGTTTTTATCTCATTAGCAGGCGTCATGAACTCCTGGGCCATTTTACTGCGGTTCGACTTCTTGCTTCGTCCGAAACTGCTGTTCTTGGGAAGTTTTCCCATCTCAGCGATGCTCACACCCTTGAGGTCCTTGAGGAGATCAAGTACCAACGCACGCTGTTGACGGGTGTGAGATGCCGGCTTAGAAGAGAACTCGTTCAGCCTGTCAAGGTCCGCTTGCCTGATGTTGGGCAGTGACATGAGCACATCCCGAGGGGTGCTGGTTACTGGGCTGTAATAGACCACAATAGCTGCAATCAATGAGGCCAGATCCTTCTGCAGATCTACAAAGTATGGTTCATGGAAGGAGGTGATGCAGGCCCGGAGTACATCTGATGCGATGTATTCTCTGATGGCGGTGGCTGCGTCTGGGGAAATTGGCGTTGTGTCAAGATGAGGGTCCCTGTTAGGCGGTCCTGCCTCAAGCCCATCCTGCGGGATGGCTTTTGGCGAAACCGATTCCGCCAAGTAAAAGTCTGGAACAATCGAACGGAACACTCGCAAGATTATGCTACAGCATCGAGTATCTCGCATGCGAATAGCGTGGGTGCAAAAGAGCAGCAGGGGCTCTACGATGGTCGACTGCATCAAGCAGAACTTTCTAAGCGATGGGTATTTCTGTGGCTGTCCGTGGCCATTCTGCGTTCTCAGCAGCGAAGGATCTAGATCATGTATTAGCCCAAAGAAAGCTACGGTTTACTACTACCCCGCCCGGTAAGATGTGAACCAAATGTACCATGCCTGCCCCCTTTGTTCCTTCTCGGGCCAAAATATTTGAGAAAATGGCAAGGAAGAGAAGCGGGAATACTAGACGCAGGGAAGATAGACTGAGCCGCTCGGGGGGCTTCACACCAAATAGAGGAGGAAACAGGATTTGGATAAATTGGTGTGAGGAAACAAGAACAAGGCATAAAATCTAGGATAAATCCAGCGTGGAAGAGATATGACTTACTCCTCTTCGTGGGGTCCAAGAAATCCGCTACCATGATCACCGCAGTGTACGTGACCTGGCGCAAGATACTTTCGGACTTCATCTCCTCTGTGAGTGCATCTGCCGCAGCCTGTATAACTTGCTGGCGCTCGAGGTTCTCCCATTCCGCGTTGATCTTGGCATCCATCTGCTGGAAACAAGCTGCCAGCAATGGGGGGAGGAAGTGTTCTCGTTGCTCCAATGGACAGTCATCCACCAGGTATCTCACAAGATTGAGGAGGTTGATTTGCTGGTGTGCCGAGAGATGGAAAGAGTTCTGAAAGAGGGCCTGCGCAAGGGGACCAGGCAGCTCGCTGAACCCGTAAAACTGCATCTCCAAACGGCTCATACAGTAGATGATGGCGTAACAGGTCTCCCTAACAAACCTTACAGTTCCACGAATGGTTGAAGCGAGCCCTTCGAGTGTATTTTTCTTGTCCATGACGCGAGCATAAAACTCGTCCTTGCTGCCCTCTGAGATGCCCGCTTGCCAGAATCGGTCACTGAGTACATTGCCGACAACAGAACGAGTTTCGGCAGGTAGTTCTGTCCAGTTGTCCGGGTTGTGCGATGCGTGTGCATGGCTATGCAGTTGGTCAGTCAATGTGAAGCTACACTCGGTACGTTATCTTTACCTGAGAAACTGTAAAAGATCGGGCAGAATCACGGGAAAGCTATCATTCCACAAGCGATACGATATCTGAAATGGATTAGACGACTTCTCCAACTTCTCAACTGAGAACGAGAGGAAAGACTTCGTAGGCCGAAGCGGCAGCATCTTCAAACAAGTAAGCATTTTGGACCTTGTGAATTCTGGACAGACACTTACCTTTTGTCTCTCTTCCAGCTCACTCTGCAAAGCCAAGCCTTCGGCATCTAGTTCGCAGGAACCCCAGTCTCTGACCTCGTGGACACGGTGGCTCATGAGATACCTCTTCGCCTTGTCCAGAGCCATCAACTCGCAGAAGCCTGAATAAGATGAGAGTGAATTCTTGAGTTCCTGGTTCTGCCACGAAGACGTAACAGGCTTGATGAACTCCTGTAAGCGCTGAGCCTGAATGGCAGGGTCGATGTTGGAAGCCCGGTGAATGATGATGAAGAGGAAACTCTGATAGGCAATCTGGCGCTTCTCGTCCAACGTGCCAGATGAGATCATATCGTTTACCCGTGCCTCTATTTGATCGTACACGGCAAGCAAGTGGTCGGGGACCTTTGACGCAAGCCTCTGCAGCTCCACCATGCTCTCGGACTGGAAGTCTTTGATGGCCTCATTGAAGGCACGATGCTCCGGTTGAGGGGCGGGCCATGTCATGAGAATGTGTTCAAGGACCTTGAGCATGAATCCAGGGTTCTTGTCGAGCGCTGTAGTCGAGAAGGCTACCAAGAGTTGCAAAACCCTCTTTCGGATCAAGGGATCCTCAAACTTCATTTCAAGGAGTTTGGTGCACCAGGATTCTAGGTCTCTCTCCAAGGCGGCACGCTGTTGTTCCTGAGATTATTAGTATCATCCTGAACGAGAAAACAACAATTGTGACAAACATAGTCTGGCAGGCTCTGTTGAGTGGTGCTTGCCCTCCATTTCATGTAGCCCTTGAGCGCAGCCTCAATGACGGTAAATTGTGCATCGACACGCAAAACCGGCATGGAATGCTTGACATATTTCGTGGCTACAGGGTCAGCGTTTGGCTTTTGGAAATGAGAAATGCATAAACTCACCGTCCATAGGTGGGCTGTCATCATACAGACGCTGCAAAACCTGCTCTGCCTGACCGAGAACATGGTAGACTGCCTCAGACAGCTTCAACTGGACAATAGTCTCAATGACCTGAGTGCTGTACCTCCTATAGTTGCCGAGAAAAGCATGCCTCTCGGGGACGGTGTCGGTATCCTCCATGAGGAACAAAAACGTGGGGTCTTGAGTGTCCTCGGGCAAATTCTCGTATCTGATCAAGCGAGAGCCACAGACTTCAAGAAGCGGGCCAACGAGGTGGCTGTTGGCCGGGCTCTGTCCGATCAACCTGTTGTTCAGGAGGCGAGTCCAGGTTGCCAGGACAGGAATTGCTATGATGAGACTTTGACTCTGTACGGTGAGCAGCAACAGGTTAAGAAAGCCGCCAACGTCTGAGTTTGTCGGTATGGCAGAAAACCTTCGGTCGAGGTAGTTACCAAGCAGAGATAGCATCTACATTCAAAGTAAGCATATTGCGCGTTGTAGCATGTCGTACTCCATACTTCTGAGAATTTCTTGCCAAATTGGTACTTGTCTTCGTCAATGTCCTCGGCATCCACGGCCGACCATTCAAAGAGCCTCTTTAGGAGATCCACCGAGCTAGCATCGTACATGGGCGCGACGAGGTCCTTGAATTCTTGCTCGGAGAAGTTGGAACGAGAGTAAAGCGCATGCAGAGCTTCCAGGGAGGCCTATTGCTGGTAAGCTAGTGCCCATCTCGAACTGATTAGACCGATGGAGGAAGTTCCAAGCAATTACCTTTTGAACAGAGACTTCGGGAGTCGCAAGGGCTCTGCACATGACGGGAACGCAATTTGCAACGGCGACAGACTTGGGAATGGCCCAGGGCATAAGGGAATAGAAGACGGACAAGGATTTCACGGCGCAAGAGCGGATTTGGTCGTTGTTTTGGGCGTCTCCGTTGAGGCAATGACTGAGAAATTCGGATACCCTGCTAAGCCACCCTTCTTCCCCGAAGCGCACCTCGGGGCCAGCGGCTCTGTTGGGAAAGGCTTCTCTCAAGACAGGGGCTGGGGTGAAGACTTCGACACAGCTCCTGCTGAGTACGCCCTCGCGCATGGCTACGACAGCGTCGTCGCCGTTAAACACCTCGTCGGACAGTGTTTCGAGCACGAAGAGAACGAGCTCCTTATGAACAGCAGAATCGGGTATCTGCCACAGGCGAACCAGAAGCTCGTCCATGTCCATCCACTCGGAGCCCCAGCATCTCTTGGCGACTTCCACCCACAGCTGGGCCGTCTTGTTCCTAATGTATAGCGGATCGTCCTTTGACAGGTCGCGGCAGAGCCCCAATACCCACTCGCGCAGCATGATAGACTGATGTTCGTTATACTCGGCCCATTTCTGTTTGATTGCATGCTCAAGGAGGGACAGAGCGTAGTGGCGCACGACGGGAGACTGCGACTTGTTGGAGGCAAGCGTGAAGCCGTGGAAGGGGGCCTCGTCTATGTTTTTTATGTTCTCGAGGAAGAGCTGGGCGTCTCGGCGGGATTCGTTGGAAGAATAGGGGCTGTGTATGACCTCGAGCGCCTGGTGAATCTGGGAGATGATGTCGACATTCTCGCCGTTCACGGAAGCAGCGCTCTGGCCCGTGGCAGATGCGCCATTGAGCGAATGTCCGTCCATGATGGGCTGGACCGGTCGCAGTGCACCAGGAAGCGCCAGCCTCACAAGCTGCTTATCCAGCAGTTGGCTCAATGTTGGGTCATACGTTGGACGTGGTTTCGGCGGAGACTCGACGGCGGGAGGTTGAAGAGGTGGAAGGCAGTATCGGGGGGCACGGGCTCGGTGAGAACTGCTGCCCAAGAAACAGATGCAAGAGTTAGCGAAAGACTGCAGTCGGTTGGAAAAGGAGGAGCAGCACAGCGGATAAGGTCTTACAGGATGTGCAAGTATCTGGAAGTACTTCCCTGAAGCTCCTGCTGCTCCACGAGCAAACAAGATGATAGGCGCGCCCGTTAGTGCTTGCTTCGATCTTGTCCCCAACACACGGGAAGAGGTCGGGGCTGCGGAGATGTAGGGATTAGAAGGGATTCGGTAGAGGCAAGAGCAAGATCAAGACCAAGCAGTCGTGTAGACGCGCGATAAGATAGCAGGAGCGAAGTTAGAAGCAATTTCGGCAGTAACAGGAGCAGCAGCAGCAGAAGAAGCATCGACAAGCATGATTTGCAACATCCAAAGCAGAGAGGAAGCAAATAAATGCGGCGGGAAGTGAATCGGTCGGTACCTTGCGTAAGGCAGGCCAACAGTGGGGATAAGTCTCGCTGCCCGTTCTCCGCTGGCCGCTGGCTGGCCAGGGGGGTCACTGCGAACCGTGTACCTGGTGCTGGGCTAGGCCCTGGCCCAACTGCCTGTGATGCCTAACCTTTCGAACCTCCACTCCTTGTCTACCCATGCGAGGCGAGGCAGGTAGACAGCGCAACACTGTGAATGAGGAGAGAGTGCCCGTCCCTGGCTACAGTAACTCTTCATCAGGTATCTGGCCTTCATTTGACCATTCTCGCAGCAGCCGCTTTCATATTTGGTAGGTAAATGCGACGCTGGTCACCTCCCCATCCAAGTGAGAGGAGGTCACCAAGACATCGGAGACGTATCCGTGCTTTACTTACCCTACCTACCTAGGTATTGTCTGGAAGGGGAGCCGGCTACAAAAAACATCGTCTCAAGAGCTTGTGTTCATTCCGCCACTGCATTTCTATCCATCCAAAACAATACCACAAGTCCAACCCTTTCATCCAACCCTTTCTTGGACTCGGTGTCTTGGCCGTACCTCATCCCGAGACTGTCCAATTTAAGCCAGTTGATCCTGAAAGCTGACGGCTCTTCATATGAATGCCTCAGCGAGCAGTTGTCGCTTTGGCGGCCTTGCATCACTTTGAAGACGATTGGCAGCATTATATGGGACTTCGTAACACCTAGGCTCCTATCGACCTTCCAACTCCCAGCCGTGTCCTTCTAGAACGGCAGATCAAGCCCTTTACGATTACACAAAGTACTAGCGTATCTACCACCAGTCTCGTTTCTGCAACGTGAGAGCCCTGCGTCGTCACGCTTACTGCTCTTGGCACAATATAGTTTCTCGTACTGAAATGGAAGCAAGCAGACTTCAAATATAAGTTCCATTCTTGGCTGTGATTCGGTCTTCTAGATATATAACTACATACCAAGGTACAGAACCCTTCTCTTGGCGATCATAAGCTCCGTGTCCAATATTGACATTCGCCTCGTCTAATTTATCCTTGAATCATATCCACCTCCCATAGACACAAAAGTTTGTCGTAGAAACTCGTAGACACACATTCGAGGCGGCCCTGCCCTAGCCTGGGAACGAAGTCACTGCCGTAGTTCATACTCTTATGTTCCTCAAACCGAGCCAGGACCCTGATATCCCATTCTCCACCATCCAATGGCCCCTCCAGCTCAACAATTCTGGCGCCAGCATGCATACACGACGCCAGAACTCTCAGGCAGCAGCAGCCGTCCCTCTCCTGCATTTCGACCAACTTGAGCCTCCAGACGCCTCCTTCCAGGCCTGTCTCCCCTAATTTCTTGAATTTGCGAAGACCGTACGTTTCGTGCGGAGGGTGCACGGCAAAAATCCGTATCGTGTCATCGTAGCTGCCGGTCACCAGCACCCTCGCGCCGTCCGTCAGTCTGGCAGCAATTGGCAAAATGGCCGTCACACCGGCACCGTGACCCCCAATGTTGAGAGGCGGGTTCAAGGTCCTGAGTCCAACACCGTCTTTCTCGCCATTTTCGCTACTGTGCGTACATGATGCGTACCGGAGCTCAGAATCATCGCCTCCAGAGTAAACCACGAATGGGACCTCGGCAAGAGAGAATGCTACCGTCCAGGCTTCCAGAGAATGCGTTATCACGGGCCCCGAGTCGTCGTCGTCGTCGTCGTCGATAATTCGCCATGAGGTATCGAGCGTCACGATGCGCACCTCGCCAGCAGAAGTTGTAATCGCGATAGACGATGCGTTGTTAGTGTCCCAAACTCCCGAGAGAAACAGGATACCTTCAGGGACATCGGAGATTCTGCTTGTGGCCAAATGCTTGAGTGGCTCTGAAGCATCTGCATCTGGGTTCAATCGAAATATGGATAGCGTTCCTGTGCTGGAGACCACGGCCATGATGTCATGCCGGCTCGGAAAGGGACAGAAGTGCAAGTCGAGAATAGCTGATGGGTGAGAGATGGTTTGAACATGATGCCTAGAAGGAAGTCAAATCTCATGCCACGATGTGTAAAGGGCTTCGCCAACTCACATTGAGCTGTTTGCTAGTCGGAATACAACGAGACTACCGTTGCGGTTTTGGGCCTTCTTGGCGACGGAGGAGCCTGCATCCTCCGACTCATTCGGTGGCTCCTCATCCTTCACCAAGTTGTAAGTTCCAACCACGAAATACTCTGGGTGCGCCGGGCAAAACTCGATGCAGCTTGGGGGCAAGTCTAGAACAAGAGATTGCTTGGACGCAACAGCGACGCTTCGTTCGTGGCTCATTCCTCGTCCGTGGCAATTCCTCTCTTTTCGGGTCCGAAAAGAGAAAGAGGGGGAAGTAGGAGGAGGGGAGCAAATTCTTGGCCTTCGATGTCGGCTGAATACGTCACCGTTGTCTCAGGAGACGTGCGGTGCGATGCGATCCTGGTTGTCTTGGTGTTGGTATCGGATTTTTGCATCGGAAGCCCAACGTGTGATTTGGCGCAAGGTCCTAAGCACCAACCAGAAAAAAAGAAAGTATGAGCATGGTGGCCAGAGAATTTCCGGGAGGGGATCGGCCGCGCGCTCCGGGGAGCTCGGAAGGGTCCCGCAACTTATACCCCGGCATTGGCGGCTGCCGCTCATCGGATCGGGTCCTCGCTATCCCTGACGGCAATTCCACCCAGCCTCCCTTCATCTTCCCGATATCCGTGGGCCTTCAAGGAACTTGTAACATCATCGTTGCGCAATGACATAGGACTCTGCAGCCGTCTGATGCTTTGCTGAGTACGGATGTTTATTCATCGAGAGAGGTTCACCGACTTAGGGCGCTCTTTCCTTTCCTTTCCATAGTATTTTGAAACGATTCCGTACACCACAATTCCGCAGCAAGACACGAGTCATCAATCCTGCGCCTCAATTATCGATCACATCTCCCGCCTGGCGACTAAATCAACCGTCGGAATGGACTCGGACGAATCGGACTTTTACGGTTTGTGTCGAGACCTGAATGAACCGGCACTAAATGGCTGACTCGTGAGCCAGGAGACGAGGAGACGGTAGCTGGACTCGAAACTCGGGTCACGTCCTTCAATGTGGCTCAATGGTGGAAGGAGCTCAATGCTGTCCACATCAACCGAAGGGTGAAAAAGGAGCCTCTTGACAGCACTAAGCTCCACAACCCATACGCAGGCGTTCCGTACGCGTGGCAGTTGACAGAAACAGTCGACGATTTTCTTGCTCGTCTCCCTCCCGGGACAACCGAGCACGACGATCGTCTCCCTTGGATCTTCATCTGTAATCCGTACATCGATCGCAAAGTCAAATCTGAAGCCCAAAATCAGCGCAGTAGGGGTAATGAGGATGAGGCTCCCGAGGAGGAGGGCTCCCGGCTCGATACGTTAATCGAAGGAGGCATCGAGAGGCTGAACATCTTGCTGAAATTCAAGCAAGGCATTAGCACCACCAAGAAATCCATGGCGGCCAAGATGATAGAGATAGGTCTAGAAAAGAAGGAGGCCATTCAGGACATCTTGGGTCTTGCACATGCGTGTAAGATCAAGGCTGGCAAGGCAAGCATTCCATGATCTCGGTGGTGTAATGCTCGCAATGACTGATCCTCGTCAATAGTGGATGCTCTTCTGCCAGCCCAAGGACGTTGACGAAGTCTGGCGCGTTGTCGCGAGGGCTACGGCTAACAACGAGCTGGGAATCGCCGCAAAGGTGGCGCCGTGGAACTCGTATAACGACCCCACCGGACGCAAAGACCGGCTTGTGTGCGTCTACACGGCCGACTTTAGTGACAAGGCAGATGTCACTCGGGTTCTACAGAAGCTTCGGGAGCTGAAATTGATCGAGGCTATGGGACGTCCCATCTATTACAAGCCAGGTGCGTACATACTGACTTTGGCGCTGTTGTACATATCTTCAAACTAACAAGCTCCGAGATGCGTTCACATACCTGGGTATCGCCTACGGCAATCATTGGGATGTCAAAGCCTCCATCTACAGCTCCACTGATCTTTTATGAAATCCGCTGCCCACTGGTCACACAACGCCGCTCGGAAGGGATCATCAACGATGCTAATAGGGAAGTTGCTTCCTGAGCAAGAACCATATGTGGTGACGAAAGCATTGCATTGGTTAAGTTCTATACTCATAAAACACATCAAGGAGGAAATCCGAACCATTCGCGCATGGTCAGTTAGCAACTAGATGGAAGGAGGACCAGGAACACTGCCCTGAGCTCTATACATGCCCTTTCTGATCTGTTTTGATGTGTATGCGCGTCGGCATTCGTATCGACTCGGTACGCTCGCAGGATGCATGTGCTATCAGAATATTAAGCTGTGTTTCGCAAAACAAGCTACCAAACACCCTATGCCGTATTTCCCATTTGAAATACCCCTCGCTCCGCTACCGTCATTGAGCCTAGGTTGAGCTTAGAATGTGCTCAAGAACCAGAACGTATGTCCATTCCCTATGCTATTCGATGTTGCTGTCGTGTAGTCAAGGTGATGGATGCCCCACCCAGGAGAAGGAAAAAAGCCCCTTCCACCGCTCCGGGGCTATTGACGCGGCTTCTGGCCGTACCGTCCTTATCCGGGGTACCACCTATTCGTTGGTCCGAATGCTACCTAGATGACGATGCAAACGCTCTCCGGTAGCCCTTTGAACTTGAGTAGCATACCTTCAGAGTCATGCTCTAGTCACGGAGACTGGCCATCTGAGTCTTCGAGGACAGCGTCCGGGTCGATGGATTTGAGCAGCAGGACCAACCTGTAGGCGCTGTTTCCATTAAGGTAATACCTGTGCAATTTCTTGGAGCGCAGAAAGCCTAGCCGCTCATACAGGCGCATGGCCTGAGTGTTGGTCTCTTCGGTTTCCAAAACGACTTCATCGGCACTCCTCTGAGCCATGGCATCGATGGCTCTCTTTACGAGAGCCGTAGCGATACCCTTGCCGCGATACGGGGAGGCGACAGCCAACATGGCGATATAGCCGCGGCGCGTCGGCGGCGAGTGAGATGAGTGAACCTCAAGCTTACACACGATCACGCCGATGAGAGATGCGTCGACGGGGTCCAAGGCCTGGACTGTAGTTAGCAACACGATACTGGCCGAGTGGCTGGATGAGAGGAAAGCTGCGTACCATGAAGCACAGGTGGCCCCATTGGTAGAGAAAATACCGATAAACATAGATGCTGTATGGCTCGCTCAAGTCCTTCGCGATCAGCGAGCGGATGGCGGGTAGATATGTGGCTTCTAGACCGTGTTCGTATTGGATATACTGCAGATCCGCCGGTAGATGTGTGGTGCTGGAAATGTCCATGCTGGCGGCTTGGCTTTGGAGAGAGGGCAGCTCCTTTGGCAGCACTGTGAAAGAGACGAGGAAATGCAGAAGAATAGGTGAAGAGTAGCGGACAAGCCTAAACCGGCAGACGAGTGGTGTGCTCAACTCATGACAATTTTACAACGCAACGGAAATCAATGTGAAGAGGTTGCTGGAAAAAAGTGAGGGGCAGAAGCTGCGAGTGAAAACCCCGGCGAACAAGGGCGCCGACAGAGAGGGGGGGGGAAATAAGAAGAAGAAGAAGAAAGGGGAAAAGAAAATGCAGAGGCGCGGCTCTGCCGCAAACCTGCTGAGGATGATGAGATGGAACGAGTCCGAAGAGTTGGGACCACGATCGCGGGCTTGAGCGTTTGCAGAAGGAAGTGACGGACGGCGTGTATGTATGTAGCGGGCGAAAAAGTGAATCGGATGTCTTGCAACGAGTGTACTTCTTGGACTTGTTGCTTGCTCCACGTCCGTGTCCCTGTCCTCGTCGAAATCAGTGGTCAGAGCTTCCCACTGTCAGCCAAGTGCCACACAGCAACCAATTCCCTTCCCCTCCAGTGTCGCTGAGTTGTCATCCACAATCACATGCCAAACGGCCACGACGATTTTTATTGCCTATGTAAACCCTCTTCAGGGAACCTGGGAAGCACGATCCTTGTGCTGCCTCGTGCGCCGTCTTATTGGACCTCTGTCTAGTAGAGAATGAAAAGTACACACTGCTTGCCAACGTGACAGGCATGGCATTATGTTTTCTTAGGTGGTTCTCGAGGCCGTTGAAAGTGCCAAACCGGGAGGGAGAATGTCCAGCGACAGGCGGTTTGGTATTTTGGCCAAAGCGCTCATGACGAGTTGAGGTTGGAAGCAATTCGGGTTGCTCAATCATAAGGTCGTCGCCGATGCCGTGGTCCCAAACACCGTCACGCTTATGGATGCCAACCTGCAGCAATGCGGCTCGATCCATCGTTTGCATATTCGTGTTGAACCCTACACGTCTATCTAAACATTTCAGGTGCTTTCCTTGATTCTGTCCAAGGTGGCTATCACATGGGTGTCTCTGCTGTCGCTCAAGGGGACCGACTGACTGACTGCCTGCCTGCCTGCTGACCGCTTTCGGATCCAATGTTTGGAACGGAAGTATTCTCCGGCCTTTTCAGATGGGAAAGATTAGTACGTGCTGGGCGGTTTCTGCCGGATGGCCGCAAGCCCTCATTCCAGTGAAGTCAGTCGTGCCCAAGGCGGAAACGGTACCTGCCCATCTGCAGTATACCTCCCTACCTACCTAGGTATTTGTTGTAAACATGCATGTTGAAAGCTGCGAATGGTGAACAAAAAGACAAGACGCCGGGACCACCAGGAGATTGACGTCACGCCGGATGCTCCCAGGGGCCAGCAGCCTTTTCGCGCATAGGTACACGCCTACGGGTCTTTCATTTTAATGTTTTTATGCCATGCCCCGCCCATCTCGTCGTTCCCTCGGCCGCCTTCAATACCTATCCCACCCCCCGAGCTCCCGATACCCTGCTCTGTGCCAGACCCTGCTCTCTGCCCTGCTTCTATCGGCACTCCGTCGGCTTCCGCAGTTCCCCTCGACTACCTGTACTGTATGTGTGCATTGGACACTCGCCCGTGTGCTGTTCAAGTTCAGTCTTGCTAGCGTCGCGAGCGTCGCCATTCCGTTGCTAGCTGATGGATGGCGAATTTAAGCTTCACGCACCTCTCTGTTTCTGCCCCTGTTTTCTCCCTTTCCCCTCTGCACACCCCTTGCTTGGCCCATTGGCACGACATCGCCCATTCAACCTTCCTAATAAGTGTCGAGCCATCCCCCTCAGAGCGCGCCGCAGGCCCTCGTATTCCACTTTCAGGTACAAGCTACTTGATACTGTCCAGTTTCACTTACACTGGCCTCCCCTGGCCGCAACAACCTTTGATCGCACAAGCTAACGTTCTCAGCCCGTCAGTGTCGTCCGCGCGCTCACAACTACTGCGGCGGGCCATGTCTTCTTCGACCCTTCGGCGCCGAGCGCTTCCCGTCGATCCGCAAGTCGACAGCGAACCATCCACTCCTCGAGACGAAAGCCCCGAAAAGTCGGAGAATACCACCCACGTTGTCCACCATGTGAAGCCCAAGACACGGAAGCGCCGCAATGGCGCCATCTTTTTGCTCGGGAGCCTTTTCGGCATCATAGCTGCCGGCTTCTTCGCAAAAAGCAACGATCTCATAGACTTCCCCGAGCTTGGGGAGCTCAGCATGGATAGTCTTTTTGATGTCCTGCCTGCCGGGTTGGTCAAGGATATGCGGGATCTTGTGGTCAGTAACACTTCGTATATGAGCTTCGAGGGGGACTTGGCGCCTAGCTGGCCTGAACTAACCTGGCTGCTTGTGAAGCAAGGCGAGCGCGAGTTCGTCGATAGCTACGATGCCTTTTCTGTAGGTTTACAGGCCCGCGCCGAGGGTCTTCACGCCCATCACCCAATGATAATGGTCCCCGGCGTCATTTCCACAGGCCTCGAATCCTGGGGTACCGCCAACGTCTCTCGTCAATATTTCCGAAAACGCCTCTGGGGCAGTTGGAGTATGATGAGAGCATTGGTTTTGGACAAGGAGAACTGGAAGAGACACATCATGTTGGACCAGGAAACCGGCCTTGACCCTCCGCATATCAAACTGCGAGCCGCCCAGGGCTTCGACGCAACCGACTTCTTCATCACCGGATACTGGATTTGGAACAAAATATTCGAGAACCTAGCGTCGATAGGCTACGACCCGACCAACTCCTTCACGGCAGCCTACGACTGGCGCTTGGCTTACCCAAATCTCGAGATTCGCGATCAATACTTTTCGAGGCTGAAATCCTATATTGAGACGGCACACGAGTTCTCGGGAAAGAAAGCTGTTCTGATATCTCACAGCATGGGCGGACAGGTTCTGTTCTATTTCTTTCACTGGGTAGCGTCGGAGACTGGCGGCAGGGGAGGCGACGATTGGGTCGAGCGGCATGTCGAGGCATGGATCAACGTGAGCGGATGCATGCTCGGCGCCGTTAAGGACCTTACAGCCGTATTGTCGGGTGAAATGCGCGACACGGCGCAGCTCAACGCATTTGCTGTTTACGGTCTCGAGAAGTTTCTGAGCAAAGACGAACGGGCGCAGCTGTTTCGCGCGATGCCCGGCATTTCGTCAATGCTCCCCATTGGCGGGGACGCTGTCTGGGGCAATTCTACTTGGGCCCCAGACGACCTACCAGGACAGGATTCTTCGTATGGTTCTCTCCTCAACTTTCGCAGCGGCATGAACTGGACAACACCGGATCGAAACTTGACTGTGGAGTCGGCCATGGACTACCTCTTCAATACAACCGAGGAGTGGTACTCGAGGAAGGTGAAGGAGGCATACTCGCACGGCGTAGCACACACAGAAGCCGAGGTTGAAGCCAACGAAAAGAATCCTCAGAAATGGATCAACCCTTTGGAGACACGACTGCCGCTGGCACCCAGTCTCAAGATTTACTGCTTTTACGGCGTGGGAAAGCCCACGGAGCGGGGATACTACTACCGGTCACCAGAAATGCCGGCGCTGACAAACTTGAACATCACAATCGACACGGCTCTCACGCAGGGAGAAGTAGACCACGGCGTCGTTATGGGCGAGGGTGATGGAACGGTGAACCTGCTCAGTACAGGTTACATGTGTAACCGGGGATGGAACTACAAGCGGTACAACCCGGCGGGTGCCAAAGTGACTGTTGTCGAGATGGAGCACGAGCCCGAGCGATTCAACCCTCGAGGCGGACCCAAGACGGCAGACCACGTTGACATCCTCGGGCGGCAGCATCTCAATGAGCTCATCCTGAGGATCGCGGCGGGCAAGGGAAATACGATCTCGGACTACGTCGTCAGCAACATTTTGGAATATGCCGACAAGGTCAAGGTTTATGATGACGGCGAAGGACCGGCTCTAGAGGAGGAGTCTTAGTAAGAGACCACGAATGTTATGGTTGGGACTTCTTTATGATGGGCTCGTTTAGAGGCGTTTCTGGCGCAATGCACAGAGGGTATCGGGAAGATGGAGGACGGTTACGCGGCAGGAAATACCCTCTCTGTTCAACAAACCAGCTGTTTAGGGCGACATGCACACTACATATAGAGCTCATAGTATCGATACAGAGCATTGTTTTTATCGACAACAACGTTGATCTGTACGCCGGCATTTGGCACGAGCAGTGATGGGAGGGGCCCAAAGCGACGCGCTGTGACGGACGGTGGCCGCTCAGCTGAACGCGCTCGTTATGCCTATGCTGTGTAGGTGGTGCGGCTGCCGGATTCAAAGTTGTTCGCGACGGAGGAGGGGGAAGCCCGATTACGGTTTGGCGTAAGATTTGCAAACACAGACAATCCTTTTCCAGTAGGTGCCTAGGTAAGTGCAGTAATTTATTTTACTTGGGTGGCGGGGTGGTTCCTCTAGACCTGTACAAGACAACAGAGCTTAGTCGGGCTGAACACTCACCGACTCATACACCGAACCGCCCCTCACTCATGCCCTCCCTCCACTGTAACCAGCCTGGTGCCATCTACCGCTACTGCCCCACCTCTGCCGTCCTACCGCTCCCCGTGGTCGTCCTCCCCCACCTTTTGCACTCTTGCTGCGCTGCACCTATTGCCTCGACCTGACCTGACCTGTCCCGAGTTAGACCCCGAACCCCAACCAAGAGGGGGCCCTTGTTGGCAAGCCATGCGTTGTATCAAGTCCCAAAGAGTCGAAACTCCAGCCGGCCTCATCTTCATTTCTCCAAATATTTCTCCTTGTCTTCCTCTGCAGCAGTCGCTCGTTGCCCTGCGACAGTGATGCAGACCACTCTGCTCATCAATCCACGGTGGTTACTAGCATCATGGCCGAGTTTGACGTTTACGAATCCCTTGAAACCCAACACCAGTTTTGGGAAGGTCAGTCAACCAATCCATTCAAACCTCCCCCTCTCCGCTCCGACGTCTCGTCTTGTCGATGGTGTTTCCCTTTACTCTTAAGTTGCCGCCCAGCGAGATGTGGTTCTAGAGCCTCGCAACTGACAGGATACACCAACCATACAGAGCTCGACGACGTCGTCACGACCCAATACCAATCGCACGATTTGATCGACGAGACCCTAAGGGCTTGGCTATACCTTACTTCGAGGTTCAGAGACAAGTTTCCCGAAATTGAGGACGATGTCGCCATCTGTTGCGAGAAGCTGCTGCAATGCCAGTTGTTTCAAGACAATAAGGACTACATCCGGACCCAAATCATCTACAGTTTGCTTCAGGAGGATGACCCTTCATCGCTGCACGCCATCGTGCTATTTCTGCTGCTCGACGGCCATGCCGACGAGTCCACGTACTCTCACATGATCGAGGAGGCATGCTTCCCTCGCCTCCTCGAGCTGATCAACGGTCGCAAAGACAAGGACCTGAGGCTACATCGCCTACTACTCGAGCTGATGTATGAGATGTCCCGAATCGAGCGCTTGCGCACAGCCGACCTGCTGCAGGTGGACGACGGCTTCATCGCGTATCTCTTCCAGACAATCGAGGAGCTTTCCAATGACGTTCACGACCCGTATCACTATCCCATCATACGTGTGCTGGTATGCATTCCCTCGTATCCGCTCACCATGTGCATCATCTTCGCATCTGACCCTGTAGTAGTTGGTACTGAACGAACAATACATGCTCGCGTCCACCGACGTCGCCGCCGACCCCACGTCCCCAAACGCCCCCCTCACGAACAGGGTCATCAAGTGCCTTAGTCTACACGGCGACTCATTCCGCACATTCGGAGAGAATATCATTCTGCTGTTGAATCGCGAAACCGAGACATCTCTGCAGCTCCTGATCCTCAAACTCCTCTACATTTTGTTTACAACCAAAGCCACCTACGAATACTTTTATACCAACGACCTCAAGGTTCTCCTCGATGTTATCATTAGAAACCTGATGGACTTGCCGGACGAGAAGATATCGTTGCGCCATACGTACCTTCGCGTCTTATACCCGCTCTTGGCGCACACGCAACTGGGCCATCCGCCTCATTACAAACGCGGCGAGATCCTCAAGGTCTTGAGAATCCTAGGCGGTTTCGGCAACTCACACTTTGCGCCCGCTGACGAGACTACAGTGAGGCTGGTCGATCGAGTCTCCAAAGTGAAATGGTTGACCGACCAGGAGTCTTCCGGTGAGGCGGAGGTGGCTCGAAAGTTCTTGGGCATCAGTCTCTCTCGCTCGCAGACTGCCAGCAGCGTTAGTGTGGTCGACGTCGCGGCCGTCATGGAGAAACCCGGCGTTATCACCCCGAGTCGCAGGGCCGAAGCAGACGCGGAAGCCAAGCAGGGAGAGGTAAAGGCTGGACCAGACGCGGTGCGGCCGAAGAAGCCGCTGCCCGAAGTACCGAAACATCGACACGGTGTTCCTGTCGGGCCGACGTCGACGTTGCATTTCAATGGACACAAGAAGATACCACCCAAAGCGCCGCCACCACGGCGGCGGACAAAACTGAAACCCATCGAATCGGTGGCGGATAATTCTCCTACGCCTGATGGCTGAGAAAGTTATGTGTACTGGCTGGTTCCGGTTCTAATGACCGGACCGAATGATGACACGAACGGAACAGGCGTTTGCTTGGTTTGTCAACCATGGCAGGAGTTGGGCTTGAAAGCTTGAAGAGGCATGACAATCGCGACCATCGGGATAGCGTCGAGCTTTTGGATCACGGTCATAGATAGCATGGCAGGGGCGTTTGGGTTCCGATGGGCGACATCGTTTTGGTCTAAGAACGGCGTGTTGTTTGTAGGCTTTATCCTAACAGCCTGTCAAGACTAATACTTTTGACTGGACATTGTTGCTGCGCATCTCTACGAGTGACTTGGTCTCATGCCAACCAGGTGGCTGAGCTCTGATCGTGGCTAACGACGGAAGTATGGCAGGCAAGAGCCAAAGAAAAGTACCTAGAGGGCAAATTAGAGTTTGCTCGCATTCTGGTCGAATCGAGATGAGATGAACGATATCAGATCCCGTTCTCCAAACTCAGAGGCACAGACAACACAACTCGGATAGCATTTGGAGACAGGGCAGCGGAAGCAAGGTGAAAGATAATTGGTAAAGCAAAGTGGCTTTGGATTCCCAATAGGGATCCCCCTAGTATGATACATCGTCACACCAGTTTCGAGATGAATAAGCGGTAGAACCACGGCCGGATCTTTTGCCCACTCATATGGCATTTCCGCGCGAATAACATGTGCACTCACTCAGCAGCACGCTCACCACCACCTCGTAATGTAGCAAACATCGCATTGGCTAAAGGAAAAATCAAGTGGTTCCAACTTTATTACCACTAGTCTTCCCTTCCTAGTCGTACTGTTGACATTGTAGTATATGGAGAATTGGTCTACAGAAGGGGCAATGAGTATGGGAATACCAAGCGCGGAGGCAATAGGAAGAATAGGGACAAATAGGGAGAATGGCGAAGGCGTGCGCCGTCGAGGTGTCTTTGGTTGATCTTCCACCAATGTATCAACAAAAAAAAGTCAAGCTGAGATGCGGCATATAGCATCTGCCCTGCGGCATGTTTTCTACAAATCAGATTCTTCAATAAAGTTCGTTATCCACGTAGATACTGATAAAATCAAGCAAGCCATACGTGCAAAACCTTGTTGACTTCACGCGTTTTCGGCGTGCAGGAGTCTGCCTCGGGCCATGTGACACATGTGGTCCTATGAAGCAGGTGTAATTCGATGATTGCTTGGAGGCGACCTACCGGTCCAAATAAATGATGCTTCGAATGGGGGGGGGGGGGGGGCGGTTGTTCCAGACGGTGTGACTCAGCCCGTAAATCATAAACAATTCAACTCATCATAGTTGATGTTGTTGGTATTGCCGCGGCGAAGTTCGGGACTTATACTGAAAATGTATATAAATATATATGTTTCCATATATATAAGGGTCCTGTGGTGTGTATTCTGAATGGCCTGTGTCTTTGAGTCGAGCAGGAGGCGCTGCCAGAGGCAAGAGCAGTGCCCGGGGACCCCGGACCCCCCCCCCCCCCCCCCCCAAAGTTGGTCAGAAACTGGAAACAAAGCCTAACTCGGATGCTATGCAATCACTCTTTGCCAGCACCCCTTGGCCAGGAGGAGGGGTCGATGACGATCATGACTTCTTAGAGCTTGGTTTAGCCTACGTTTAGTATGCCGTTGGTCGAATGGCGCTTTCAGGCTCAGCTAAAAAAAAGGGGGGATTCCGGCCGGGCTAGTATTGCTCGGGCCAGTCGGTGCAGCAGCAGACATTGCCAAACCACACTTGCCACGGTAGGTAGTTATTACAGCGGAAAAGAAACTTGGCGAGAGGTCGGTTCGTGCCCGATAAAGAACGGGTTCACGGCCATCCGTAAGCTAGAGAGAAGGAGAAAAAAGGCTAAGGATCTAGTGTCTGGGTGGCGAGAGAGAAATGGTAGGCCGTAAATGTCATGTGGGGGTTGATGGTGATGCTGCAACAACGACCGTAATCATGTGCGACCTTGAGAGGGACCGACCGCCTTGTATCTGTATCTCAGCAACGACTGTTAACATATATGGGGGGGTTACGTCACCGGCAGGCTGATGCGCGCTGTGAGGTTTCTTGGATTTTTGTTTATCGGAACCGCGGCGGCCCTCAAGCTCATTACGACAGGGCAAGGTGGCAATCTATATCAGGAGGCCTGACGTGCAGAGGGTGGTGGCAAAGACTAGTGATACCGGAGTCAGTCTCAATCATAAGAACATAGCTTGTTGCCGTAGCGATTCCCTTGTGTATTTATCTGTTGTGACTAGCAAAGTACACGGCCTTTGTGGCGCACTGTGAAGTGACCTCGAGCTACTAATGGGTCCTCTCTTCGACTTTTCTTTGGTTATCCTTTTTGCTGCAAACAGACTTTTGACCTGGTATTGTCTGTACCTATCCATTTCATAAGTTCGCCTATATAGGCCAGCCAGGTCAATATTTGTCAAGGAGAATAAATGGTTAAGGCGAACACACTTCAAAAGCAGACGCAATCCAGGGTCCAGTTACCTTGCCGCTCGGCATGGGCTTTGGACAGGGCACATCAGTGCAAACCTCAGCTGGAGACGGGGACAGCAAGTGTGTACTTGCTCCCCCTTGTCAGGTATATATACCCACGAACTGTTGCAACGCGAGCAGGAACGCCAGAGACTTGATGCAAGCCGAGGACCTCGTTACGAGGCCTCCCATTATTCCGTCAGTCTGCGGGAAGCAAACACCGGCATAATGTCGGGCTGGATGTAAAGTGAGATGACCATGTAGGTGATATTTGGCAGCTGTCGTGGGAATTGGGGAAAACGTACCCGTCGACCCGTTCATGGTTACTGAGGAAGAAGCGTCACTTTTCTCCCCTTAGCGCAGGGTAGCCAGCATTCCATTGAGCCGAATCGGGAATTGTTACTACGACTCGACCGCAGCTGATGACGACATTGGTCTAAGCCCGACAGAGCCCTCCACTTGCCATTGCGTCAAACACACGGCACGCTGGACACACTAGACCACCTCAGTCGCCCACTTCCGCTTCTTTGACGCGCTAAAGCTGTCCAACAAGCCACCACCGACCTCCGCCATTACGCTAATCTGGTTTGTCCATCCAACACCGGCACCTAAGGTGTCTTGGTGTCTTTGAGACCACCATACGATGGCCGCTAGATCCCCGCTCGCGTCTTCCTCTCCAACGCCCAGGCCCAACAACGCACCGCACATCGCCGACTCCGATTCGTACAGGGAGAAAGGGAGGGAACTGGACAGTGAAAGAGACGTAGATGGAACAGCTGGCTACGGCACCGCGACTACCATGAACTCAAATCGCGCCTCGTCCTATTTCTCTCAACAACCCCCCCAGTCCTTCTCTTACACCACGACTCCCATCGCGGCCTCCTACTCTACCCCCCAACAGACTGATACTCTACGATACGACGAAGATCGAGAGACGCAGTACAACACTTTGGCCAACTCACACGCCGGACATCAGAAGCAACACTTCCCTTCAGAAGGCGACGTCGCATACCATAGCAACAACCTGGCAGTCCCTTCCGCTACTGCTCGTGGCAAGTTTACAGAAGAATGGGATGCGAGTCAAAGAGGAAGTAGCATCATCGAAGGATATTCGTCCAATATGCAGCGATCCAATTCGTTTGTCTCCAACAATGCGGAGGACCATCTGAGCCTCCCATCGCGCCACAACACCCTCAAGAAGAAGAATTCGCTGCGTAGGAACGGCAGCCTAAAGCGCAGCAGCAGTCGGAGAAGCATGAAGGCTGGTAGCGTACGCAGCTTGGCTCTGCAGTCTTCAAACGATCCCGACGAGGTACATAGCGCATTCCATTGCCCTGTTCCCACATCAGGAAACCCGACCGAAGCCTTGGCCGCCAGATTCCAGTGCAAGTTTTCTCTGCGCAACCTCTTCCGTTGCTGTTACTGACCGTTTGCTGCAGCATGGCGTAAGATCCTCAAAGATCTCATTGCATATTATCGCGAAATCCAGACACACTATGAGCACAAGTCCAAATCGCTGTTGAAACTCGCCAACGTCGCCAATAATATTTCGACCCCCCCTGGCTTCCTGGGCTCTGGTGGCATCGATGATGCTCTACAGATATTGCGTAGCTACCATAAGGGCGCCATTCTGGAGTCCAATAAGGCAAGAGAGATCGAGGAGGATGTTATCCTAGCCCTCACTGGGTTGAGAAACGACCTTCACCAGAAGATCAAAGAGATCAAGAACTTGTCGGGCGATTTCAAAAACTCGGTGGACAAGGAGATGGATGGTACCAAGCGCGCTGTTAGGGTGCTGCAGGACACATTGGGCCAGACTGATCTGGACCCCTCATTGACGACTGGAAAGCAAGACCCGTATCTTCTGCGGCTTGCTGTCGACAGACAAGTTGAGCGCCAGATCGATGAGGAGAATTACCTCCACCAGGCATACTTGAACCTGGAGAACTCTGGCCGCGAACTTGAAGCCATTGTAGTCGGCGAAGTCCAAAAGGCTTACAATGCTTACGCCGGCATCCTCAAGCGCGAGTCTGATGCCGCTTACAACGCCATCGACGAGCTCCGTGCTGGCCCCATCTCTATGCCCAAAGATCACGAGTGGGCCCACTTCGTCCAAAAAGACGATCAGTTCGTGGATCCTGATATTCCAATTCGGTCTGCCGAACACATTCACTACCCTGGCAGAGAGCACGTCGCATGCCAGGAGATTCGTGCGGGGCTCCTCGAGCGCAAGAGCAAGTACCTTAAGAGCTACACAGCTGGGTGGTGAGTTTGCCCATGTTCCTTGCAATACATTAACTTGCGACACGTCATATTAACAATACACAGGTATGTACTTTCTTCAACTCATCTTCATGAATTCAAATCAGCGGACAAGGCCCAGGCTCCTGTTATGTCACTGTACCTTCCAGAGCAGAAACTAGGTTCGCACTCTAGTGAGGGAGGATCCTCCAATAAGTTCATCCTCAAGGGTCGCCAAACCGGATCGATGCATCGTGGCCACACGTGGGTCTTCCGGGCCGAGAGCCATGACACAATGATGGCTTGGTACGAAGATATCAAGGTTCTCACTGAAAGATCCCCTCAAGAGAGGAGCGAGTTCGTCCGCGGACACGTGCGAAGCTTGAGCCAGTCCTCGCAAAGATCCACAAGCAGCGATGGCGCTCTCGAAGATGATGATGATGAGCCATTTTCGGCGGACGCAGCGGTTGCAGCAAACACGAGCCAGAGGCAAGACGTCCGCCGTCCGGAAGCAGGTGGGCGGTTCCCATCTGACATTCAGGTCAACGCGCAGCGAGGCTTACAGGCACCTCTTTCGCCTTCTAGTGTGAGTTCTGGATTCGACAACTCTGATGGCGACGCAGCCATTCAACCATCCACCTTGTCGGGCAGTATTTTGGGTGTTTACCACGGCTCGACTGAGCATCCGAACGGTTATGGTGGTACGGACCGGACGCCCATGGAGGAGGTCCCATCTCATGCTGCTGTCGTTACTCAACAAGCTCGAGAAGACGGAGTAAACCCATATACCCGCGAGTCGCTTCGACGATCGCAGTCCTTAACTCGTGGACAGCAGGCAGTCTATGTACCCGCCACCGATTTGCAGAAATCCCATAGCCAACACGCGACACCTGCCAGATACGAAGATTCCAGACCGGTCTCTACCGCCAACCATGACCGTGTTCTCGAGACACCCGGTGGCAACAGTCAGTACGGCCAATGGATGAACAGCGATGGAAAGTACTCGCCTGCCGTTTCAAATAACGATTTCATCCAGCAACAAACCAATGAATACTCGGCATCGGGTAGCAGAAACCTGGATGGTGTTACTATGATCCCCATCGTCGGAATGGACAAAGGATATGTTTCTCGCAGCGACAGAACCCCTCCGCCAGACGGGCCGTCTGCCCTTGCTGCTGATGCTCCAACATCTGTTCCCAGGAGTCAAGAAGCGCCTCGTCAACAGCAGCCATCATCTTCCATTCGCCCTACCGCTGGCACTGTCAGAAACGATAGCGTTCCGACAATCTCTAACCTGCATATTCCTGGAGAATATCCCAAGGGAAATGCGGCAGCGGTTAATCCGAGACGATGATTTTGTGCAGAGGAAGCGGGGAAGGTGGGGACGTGGTTTGAGATGGGTAGAATGAATGGGTTAAGTTGATCGCGACATGAAAGGTTAGGGTGATGAAGGAGGAAACTTTGTCTTTCTTTTCCATAATGGATATCCTTATATCTGCTTTCAAATTTTCTTCACTGTTCTTCTCTGGTAGGCGAAGGTATATGCTGGAGGGAACATGGTGCTGATCGAGTAACGCGGACGGCAGCCCCTTTTTTCCTAGCCCCATCTACTAGTAGCTCATCTGCTCTCTCATGCCCGTTTTTAAACACGTCTTGTTCTTCACAAACTCTATCAGACTACGAGAATTCCTTCCAGCGCTACAAATGCTCAGGCTATACACGTTCTCGTGTGCCCCTGAAAACCGCCACCTGAATCATGGCTGGCGTTGCCAATTGCGCCCCTAGACATCCAAGTCCCATGCCAAAGTATTGCGCCCCTCTACACCCGCGCAAGACATTTGAATCACCCTGCTTCACTTGGACCTCAACCAAACTTGCCATTCCTAGGGAAACGTACATCGCGCAGCTGGATCCCGTCGAGACCAAATCCTTGCGATCCGTCAATGGTCATCTGGCAAATTCCCCTGCAACAATGTCAACGCAAGAGGACTCGCCATGAACATGACTAGAGGCTCGATCAAGTTACTCACAGAGGCGCTGGTCCAGTAAGTCTGCTCAGGTGGTGCCGTGGCCATCAAGATGGACGCCAGAAGGAAGGATAAGACAGACACGAGAAATGGGCAGTATGCAGTTGTTTTGTCCCCCTCTCTTGGCCAGGAAGAGGGAATCAAGTTTGTTCCTTCTCCAATTTCTTCGCATACCTACCTCCGGGCATAATATAGGCGAGCAGCGATGACACAGCAAGTGCCTCCACAGCGACAGAAACGAAACTTGCGCTCGTTAGAAGCGGGTTTGAATCTCTCAGCTGCTCCAGGAGCTAAACAACGTAGAAGCCTCAGATGATGAAGCAATCCCAGGCCGCTATTAGGCAACTAAAAAGCAGGATTGCTGGCGGGTCAATGATGACCAGTGGTAGCAATGGACTTGTAACCATTGTCTCGTTGTACACGAAGGCGACGAAGAACACGATGCCTTTGATGAGGAGGCGATTTGAATATGGAGTATGCCAACATACAGCCGGTGCCTGGTTGAATGCAAAGCTGGTCGGTATTAGAGCGCTGCCACCGAGTAGTGCGCCCGATATATCGAATTGCACTTATCTGCTACTGGCGCAGGTTGTTTTGAGCGGACCCTCAAGCGGGAGGATAAGAACCGCTCAATCCTGCGGTCGACACACAGACAGCAGCGACAAAGAAGGGCCATTCCCAAGCTTCATTGAAGTAGAATAGGAACGACATGACCACACCAATAACGAAGCCCATGGGCGCTGCGGCACTGACAAGCGAGAGTGCCATTTCCCCCTGTGGCCTGGGGCTAGTGTCCTCCTGAGAATAGAGAAGGTGTTGGGGACACAAAGGATGGGCGAGTGCCCTGCATGGCGCAAAGTAAATGGTACCGCTGCCTCCGCCCCTTTGGTTGTTCAGAGAGAAGCTTACAAGAAAACTTCAGAGTGCGAGCCAGAAACATCCAATAATATTAACGGGTTTGGGCTCGAATGTGTCACCTAATCGTGCCATGGGTAGAACAGAAATGCCCACGGCAAGGGCTCAAGCCGCGGCAAACCATAAGTGCTGGCCGGTTTTCACATCTGTGAAAGACTCGGAGATGTCCAGGGCCGGAGCTGTGGCCTAACAGAGGCCAGCGAACGTGAGAATCCGACAAAGACTGACGACTCACAAGCGAGATCCTCTGGGTAGATGTCGGCTGTAGCCAAGGTGCCTTTTTCAGGAAGTGGCAGTGACTGGTTTAGATGGCTTGGAAGATGCTCCTTAGTGTGGTCGCACCGTCCTCAGCTCTCTTGGATTATGTTTGATGATGCTGCTTCCGTAGAGTATCTCACTTGCTGGGTAAAGGCAATCCTCTAAGCGGCATCGAATAAGTCAGGGTACTCTAAAAGTTGTTCGAGTAGTTAGGGATCATCCCTCTGTAAGACGCGATGTCGATTACTTAGGTTCTCGGAGGGGTCAAAGGTCCTGATCGTTGAATCTGGAGCTCTGGTGTATCGTCCATATTCGAGGCACTTGTAGATGGAGCCCGCGCAATTGGCAAATTTCCCAGTGCGAGAGCCGCCGGAACCACGGGCGTGGCCGAATCGCGAGAAGGCTAGGCGACGCAGGTAACCCTGGGTTTGGTGAGTCTCGACAAATATCGAAGATCGAAGGAGCAGTACTCGGCTTGCTAGCCTGATTTCACTAGATCACCAGTCCCAAGGAGTCTATCCCCATTTGCGTGCTGTTTCCCAAAGTGCTGTCTGAAGGATTTCATCATTGCTATCGTGATATCTGCCACCCTTTCCATGACTTCATTGGCGCGTCGCGTCTTCCATGTTGTCGTAGGAACGTGAATGGAGCTCGACGCAGCCGAATTATAAGCTTCATTCGGTTTGGGAGAAAAGCGTTAGGAAGGATCAATATTAGAAGGCGTGTTTATGTATCGTTGAATAGGCATCATCATATCGGGGACAGCGGCATCATCGGGAGAGGTTGAATATAAGCAACCCGATCGATGCGCCATCATGACACGCCTTATTTTGATTCTCTCTATACTTCGCTGACCGGCTGCGACTGTGGCACCAACCTATCTCAGCGTTACTTTTGGACTGCTGCATCGCACCATACATGTGTCGATCGTGAGTAGCAAGGTCGTCGAAGGCATCTCAAGCCCAACTCATAATCCACGTCCAAGATAAGTGGCATGCATCACAACGTGCGCTTCCTGAAAGCTCACGATCAAGACTTTTCTCTATTTTTGGGTGACCACAATGGATGATGTACATGCAGCCTCGAGCCCCTACCGTCAGGGCCGATGTGAAAGCAAAGCAAACCAGAACGCCAGAGTCGTAGTCCAACAGAAGAAAACCTCCCCTCCTCTGAGCTGATCAAAACCACAGCCTACCGGCCTCCTCTGCTGAAGCCACCGCGGCCCCGACCACTGCTGAAGCCACCGCCTCCTCTCGGCGTACCGCCGCGGCCGCCAAAACCGCCGCCGCCGCGGCCACCGCCGCCACGGCCGCCGAAACCACTACCGCCGCGGCCACCCCTCGGGGCACCTCCGCGACCTCCAAAGCCTCCACGGCCACCGCGGCCACCTCTTGCTGGGCCTCCACGGCCTGCTCGCTTGACCTTGGGCGCACCCGGAGGGGGTTTCGGCTTCGGAAGGAATTTTTCCAGCGGAAGGAGCTTCTCGGATCCAATGTAAAACTTGTCACCCTCCTTAAAGGAAGTGGCTTGGATACCTTCCGAGGGCTTGATGGTAAAGTAAACCTGGTTGATGGGTCCGAGGACTTCGTCGACTTTGCCAACAGCGGTCTGTGGAACAGTTAGATGAGCCTGTTTGGATCGATGATGTGAATTATCATTCGGAAGATGGTCGCACCTTATTCTCGAGGAAGATCTGGGCGTTAAAGTGAGGGACCTTGGGGTTGATGCTCTCGCAGACCATCTCTCCTTCGCAAGCGTGCATGAACTTGCCCATCTCTGCAAAAAAGAAAATATGGTCAGAATGATTTCCTACGAGAACGCGTCGCAAAGGGCGACTTGAACACACCAAGAATCGTCGCAGGAGGGCCCATATCCCTCTGCTGGAAGCCACCTCGGCCTGCACAGTTGAGTTAGCAAGTTGTTGCAGCGCGCACATGATTTGTCCCAGACAATGATGGGTATCACGAAAGAGTAGTGATTGAAACATACCGCCAAAACCACCGCCACCGCGACCACCGAAACCACCACCGCCGCGACCGCGCGGAGCTCCTCGTCCAAATGACATGTTGATGGGTGGATTGACTGTTGTCGTTTGGAGCTGCTCCTTTTTGCTGGTACTGAAGTGCTACTATTGGAAAAGCGAAGCCATCTGCCAGTCGATAGAAAATTTCCAGGACCAAAATTGTGGTACAAGCCAATCGAGTTACATCATTGGTCGCGTCTGGCGGGCCGGAAGATAGTTCTCTCCGGGTAACCCCGCCGTAAAATTCAACAACCAGTCAGTTCGATCTCTTGGTGGGGCTTCTCAGTACGTACCTCAGTAGAGAGGAGGGGTGGTGGTATGGCGGGACACAGCGCGCCTTGGAGTCACCCGAACCCTTGTTTGACTCACCGCAGCTTTTGGCGGGGTTGACTTTTGCTGTATTCGCCCAAAATTATTGTCTGGAGACACGACATCGTCTCTTTGCCGAGTTTCATACCTTCACCGACCCGTTGTGGCCTCTCAATTGGACGAAACCATGGATTCAGCGAAGAAAACTGTTGAGTCCGTCGCTGAGGGTGTCAAGAAGGTCGTCCTCGGCGGCTCCAACAAAGACAAAGCCCCCAAGAAGGAGAAGAAGGCTAAGGATGCTGGCGATACCTCAGCTGGCCCTCTTGAACTCAACCCCCCTCCTGATTTTCTGCAAAAGAGAATCGAACTCTTCGACAAGTTGAAAAAGGAGTATGATGACGAAATTGCCAAGAGGCCGCGCGAGCCCATTACCATCACCATGCCCGACGGCTCTGTCCGCCAGGGCACGAGCTACGAGACTACACCCGGCGAGATCGCTAAAAGTATCTCCAACAGCCTTTACAAACGAACCGTTGTCGCTCGTCTCGATAGCGATGAGAATCAGCTGTGGGACTTGGACAGACCGTTGGAGAAGAGCTGCAAATTGGAGCTACTCAATTTTGATGACGAACAAGGCAAGCAGGTCTTCTGGCACAGCTCGGCGCATATTCTTGGCGAGGCTTGCGAGAGGAGATTTGGATGCTCTCTTTGCATTGGCCCCCCGGTCGATAACGGATTCTACTACGAGATGGCTCTCCCTGGAGGCGCTGCTGTCCAGGCTAGCGACTGGAAGCCACTCGAATCTATCGTTGGATCCATTGTGAAGGAGAAACAGAAATTCGAGCGACTCGAGTTGACCAAGGAGCAGCTACTCGAGATGTTCAGCTACAACAAGTATAAGCAGCACATTATCAACGACAAGATCCCCGACGGTACCAAGACTACAGTTTACCGCAACGGTCCCTTGATCGATCTTTGCCGTGGGCCACATGTCCCCAGCACCGACCGTATTGAGGCGTTCAGCATCATGAAGAACAGCGCCTCATATTTCCTCGGCTCTCAGGAGAACGACTCCCTCCAGCGCGTTTATGGTGTCAGTTTCCCCAGCAAGAAGGAGCTCGCTGCGCACAAGAAATGGCTCGAGGAAGCCGCCGCCCGTGATCACCGCAAGTTGGGCCAGGACCAGCAACTCTTCTTCTTCCACGAGCTCTCCCCGGGCAGCGCCATGTGGCTGCCGCACGGCGCCCGTATCTACAACACGCTTCTCGCCTACATCAAGGAGCAGTACTTCAAGCGTGATTACCACGAGGTTATCTCCCCCAACATGTACAATGCGGAGCTATGGAAGATCAGTGGGCACTGGGATCATTACAAGGATGACATGTTTGTCATCGATGTCGACAAGGAGAAGTTTGGTCTGAAACCCATGAACTGCCCTGGCCACTGCCTCATGTTCGCCCACACGCCCAAGGCCTATCACCAGCTGCCCTGGCGTGTTGCCGACTTTGGAGTCCTCCACCGTAACGAGGCTAGCGGTGCCTTGTCGGGTCTCACCCGCGTGCGCAGATTTCAGCAGGACGACGCGCATATTTTCTGCAGAGAAGACCAGATCAAGTCGGAGATTAGCAACCTGTTTGATTTCCTCCGTGAGATGTACGGCCTCCTGGGCTTCACATTCAAGCTCCGTCTCTCCACCCGCCCAGAGAAGTATCTGGGTGAGCTTGAGACATGGAACAGAGCAGAGGACATGCTCAAGCAGGCACTGGACGAGTTCGCCCTCACTGAAGCCGGTGTGCCATGGACTTTGAATGAGGGTGATGGTGCCTTCTACGGCCCTAAGATCGATATCAAGATCATGGACGTCCTGAACCGTGAATGGCAGTGTGCCACTATTCAGCTTGACTTCCAGCTCCCCCAGAACTTTGGCCTGGAGTACGTCTCAGCAGATGCGCCCGCCAAATCCAAGGAGGAGGCCCCTGCTGCGCCCAAGGCACCGGAGGTAAAGGTCAAGGACCCCCAAGCCATAATCGACTCTGCCGCCGGCGTCGGCGAGGAGAAGGAGAAGAAGCGCACCATCAAGCCCTTGACCAACGGCTGCCAGCGTCCCGTTATCATTCACCGCGCTATGGCTGGGTCTATCGAGCGATTTACGGGTTGGTAACTTGTAACCATGGACAGTAATTGTTACTGACTAGATCACGTTAGGTATCCTCATCGAGCACTTCGCCGGCAAGTGGCCTTTCTGGCTCAGCCCAAGGCAAATCATGGTCATCCCTGTTGGCAAGGGCTTCGTCGAGTACGCCGAAGAGGTGCAGGCTACCTTCAAGAAGCAGGGCATGTGGGTGTAAGTTATTCTCCATCGCACCCCGCAGCTTGTGAGAGTGGCGTTTCTAATGTGAACTTGCAGCGATGTCGACCTCTCCGGCAACACCCTGCCCAAGAAGATCCGCAGTGCTCAGTTGAGGTACGTAGTATACGAGCCAGATTCCTTGTTGAGAGAAAGGAATGGTTGCTGACAAACGCAGCCAATACAACTTCATCTTTGTAGTGGGCGACGAGGAGATGAAGCACAAACAGGTGAACATCCGCTACCGCGATGACACATCGAGCCAAGACCGCGGCAAACCTGTCGACGTCATCGAAGCTGTCGAGAGGCTCAAGAAGCTGCGCGAGGAACGTGGCACCTACAACCCGTTTCCTGCCGCAGCCAAGGCCGCAGCGGAGAAGGGTAAAGAATGAACGCAACGAGAAAGCTTGCATATTTGCAAGTTAAAATGTTACGATAATTTCAGAGCAGGTGTTGATGTAACGGCTCACATGCAAAAGCCTAGAACAGAGACGCCTTAACCTACCATTTGAGGCTGAATGGCATAAGAAAAAAACAAACAAAAAAAAACAAATAAAAAAAAGACATGATCTGACATACAAACCCTTCATACTTCACTAGAACTGAAGACAAGACAATATGATAACGGAAGGGGGTATCATGCATATTTTAAATGTGCGTCTGCGCTTCGGAATATCTTTGCGTTGGGTCGACCACATATCTGACCTAGTTCCAGTCCGTATTTGCCTTGTGGACTAGCCAAAACCCATAGACTGCTAGTGCTATTCCCCACTCGATCCATGTTTTCACCGTTAAGACCTCCTTTAGCTTCTGTTGGAGCATAACTCAGTATTGTCGGCGCCTGGTTTCCTCAGTTGATCGGAGGACACCTAGCCTCCCCTCTCAAACCGTAGTTGTGTTTTTGTGGAAGCGAGGTTAGTTCAGGGTTTAGGAATATGGATGCTCTTGCTAGTCATAAGACACCCATGCACCACAAAGACAAGGGCTATGGGGTGAAACTCCAAGGCGGAGCCTGTGAGCCATGTTCCCATAGGGAGATCCTGAAGAATCCACCGTTGAGAAATAAAGTAGGCCATGATAGCGTCGAGACCAAGGCTTGTGGGAATCGGCGTTCCCTCAAAGTACTTACTCTTGCCAGTTGCATCCTTAGGGAGAGCCGAGACTGTGACATTGAAGCGAGCGAGACGAGTGAGGCCACAGAGAACAAAAAAAGTCAAGCAGACGTGATCGATAGGGGTACGTAGGCCGAGAGCAAATGCCACAGAAGCAGGAGCAACACCGAAAGAAATCTTTGGCCAATGTTAGCTGTCGACTCAGACCTCGGTTCGACACAACGCATCGCTGACGATAGGACCATCCAACGAACACGCGACAGCGATCGAACCCGTGAGGATGACGACATTTGACGTACCAGGTCGGCCAACGAATCTAGTTCCTGGCCCATCATGCTGCTCTTCTTTCTCCACCGCGCAACCTTGCCATCCATAAAGTCGAAGAATAGGCCAAATGGGAGGAAAAATAGTGCCAGGTACAGCGTGCTGTAGGACGACGGATCGCCAAGGCAGTAACGGAGGGAAGTGAAGATTGACATGACACCGCACGCCCCTGTTGAACGAAACGTCAGTTGTACGCTCCGTCTCTATCGTGCAAAGCCACCCTCTGCAATCTGCTTCGCAGCGGCCACAATCTGCCACGTAGGCCAAACGAATGTAAGATATTCGCGGGGAAGAGAACGCACCATTGCAAAGAGTTATCGCGTCGGCCAGATGAAGAGCGCGGATCAGCGAAAAATGGCCAGTGTCAGCGGAGAGAAGAAGCTTCTGCTTGTCGTGGGCTGTGGTTAGGGCAAGATGTTAGCGTTGGACACACGCAGCTGCATGGCGGATGCGCTGATAGTCAACATACCGGGCTCGGCTAAGCTGTCGGCGGCGTCCTTGACTGGATTGCCGTTCGTGATTGCGCTACTTGTTCGCTTCGACATGGTTGCGATGAATGCTGAACTCCAGACGGTAATTGGCACGGATGAATTGGTGAAGGACTGGGGTAAGTCGACAGTTTTTCAAAGTTGAAAAGATCGTCCGAGATCCTACTGGGAACGCAGCTAGGACGGTGGGAGACGAGTGAATGTAGAAGGAGGGGGATAATGAGGACGAGGAGCTACTTTATGTAGGTGATGTTTCCGTTGAGAGCTCCAGAGCCGGTGCAAGGAGCGGAAAGCAGGTGCAGGTGCTGATGCAAAGGCTCAGGAAGGCATGAGGTAAGTCGGTCACACTCTTCCGCCTCGAGAGCCAACAAGGATAGCTGGAGAAGGCACATGCCGTCATAGCCCTCTCGTTCTAGACTCGAAGCCGTTTAGCGGCACTTACAGCGAGAACCAGCTGTGTGTTTTCACGTGATGCAACCGAGAGTTGGGCGGCAGTGGAGACCTTGCCAAACAGCGCAACTTCTCAACGAGCAAACCAGCTCTAAGGCGTTGCAAAATCAGTACGTACACTGCGTTACCTCATTCCTCACTCGCTCGCTACACGTCTACATCTATGGCAAAATCACAGGTGCTACTCGTGTTTGGTTATGCGTAGCCATCTTATTTGACATTACAACGGCTGGATAGATTATGAACCCATTCGCCGCAAAAGCACTCGCGAGTGGCATTAACTTGCTTGACCCATGGGCCAACCATTGTGTACTGTATCCCATCGCCATGTCCAAGACGCCCCGTTTACTGGGATTTCCGCAGTCCAGGCTTCTGTACTTTATGCCTGTCGATAAGGAAGGAAAGAAAGGACTATGCAGCAGCTGCGGCGAATTACCCCAGAATAAGGCGCATGTTGCTAAGAAATGGTATCAAAAGCTGTCAAATCAAACAGCAGCCAGATCAGATAGCAACCCATGTATGAAAGCACTGAACCTCGTATTCCTCCTCTTGTTTGTCGTGCACACTATTAATCGCCTGCCGGATTTGCTAGAATCGTATGAGACCCTTTATTTAACAATCAGGATCGAGAATCCGTCGACCCAGGCGCCACAAGAGCCCGCTACACCACAGATGGTATATCCTCTCGGGGGTATCAGAGTATGTCTGTGGAATAGTAAGCCACAGGGTTGCCAATTTCAACTTCTGTACAATTGTACTTACGCAGAACCACCGTGGGCATTGCCGTATACGGGTGACCTCCTACCCAGGCTGGTGAGGACCTGGATAGCGTCGATCCAGAATCCCGAGCGGACGTAAAAGCCTGAAATGTACTCACCACGGCGAATGTCTGTTAAAAAAAAGCAGTTAGTCTATTTGACTTGATCGGCTGGCGTGATGGAGACTTGCCAAATTCGAACGTATCGCCACCTTCTTTGCCCCCTCTCTTGCCGAACAATTGCGTTGAGTCGTCATCATAAACAAATTCTATGCCATCCACAGCATATCCGTGATAAAAGATGACACGAGACAGAACTAGGTTCGATTTGACTGCACTGTCAAATACAACCTCCTGTGCAACGGTGCCCTCCATGGCCGAGGTTCCAAGTGCCTTCCCTCGGTAGGCCGTCTTACCAAGCGGACCAGGCGTCAGCTTAAAGGAAGACTCCTTGGAACATAACTTCTTGAAATCCTCAATGTCCAAAGCGCCACAACCGTGCGACTTGATCGATACCCTAAGTTGTCCTTTGCGCTTATTTTCCGGAAGTCTCTCCCGCAGTTCGCGGTCGTTCAATGTGAGTTGGCGTTGAACAGAGCCATTCTCGATGGGATATTCGATCCACTTCCGGCAGACGTCGTCGTCCTCGGCAAAGAGCTCAATGAAGGCTATGCCAGTTGCTGCCATCACCACTATGTTTCCACCCTCCACTGGGAAAGCATGCACGCTGTCGTCGGCGTTCATTGGAGGGTCGTTCGGCAACCTGAAGCACGGATGTGTGCGGAAGCGCAAGCAGTCCAGCCGATGCCAGCCACATTCGTCAGCCTGCAATACCAACCCTCCCTTCGAGTTGGTTCTGGAGCAATAGGCCTCTCGGGTTACAAAGCTACGATTCAGTGTCAAGTAATCGCGGAGCATGACCCCAGTTTCTTGATGTGGGCAGCCGAATAGGTGACCAGTCTCGTGTAGGTGAGCACCGATTCCAATGTTGGCTGCTTCCCAGGAGCTTCCTGCCTGGTTGCAGTCGTTGGCGACGAAGTCAAGGTCGGTCGGAGTACAGTCCGTAAATGCGGGGACAACTTCCTCGAAACTCGTGGGGTAGCTCTGCAAGCAATGCGATCCAAAAATGGCCAATTGCAGTTCGCCAGCATTTCCTCCCAGTGCGGCATGCCCTCTTATGACATTGGCTTCCTTATCCCATTGTGTGTCAAGCATCAGCACAGAAACGTACTGTTTTTGGTCGCCAAGCGGTTTGAAGTACTGCTTGACCGCCTCGGCAGCGATCCCAAATAGGTCGCCCTTCTTGCTTGACTTTTCGTTCTGCTGGGCCAGCTCAAGGTCTCGTATTTCAGCGACTGTCTTGTCCGATCTGATTATGTGTATCCTGGCCTCGGAGCGGAGGGTTCCGTTCTCGCGATCCCGCAGGTTTGAAGTACCGACAACCCATTCCTCCTCGAATCTGAACACTCGGCGTCCAAGTTTATTACGCCACATTTGCTCGGCTGTGAAAGCCTGCCAGAGGTAGGCTGCCATGCGAAATTTGCGCACTGCCGTCTCCAGACCATTTCCCTCTCGCTCGACTCTAGCGGGGACAGCGTCAAAGGTCTCGGGAGAGTCCTTAGCGACCACAATAGCGAGTTGCAGTGGAGGCGCATTGTTGATCGGCAGCATATGAACCGTCAAATAGGAAGCATGGATTGGGTTTGAAGAAGAACTGTTGGGCAGCTTCGGGCTCGAGAAGTCGAAACGGATTTTATTGGGTCCCGGCTGCAGGTAAACCAGAGCTTTGAAGTGAGAGTCGCTTACGGGCCATGAGGTCGGAGGGAAACCATCGTCAAGGCGGGTTACAGAAAGGTTGCCATCAAGAGCATGCTGAGAGGGGTCGCCGATAGTTCCGTGTACGAGGAGAACCTTCTGATAGACCTGGTCAGATGTTAGCGGGATGGCTGGAATGAGCAGCTAGTCGCTGACTGCGGCTACGGCCGTCTGTGGCTGACTGTCCGAGCGAGCCCATGGCATAGTCAGGTGAGGTGATTGGAGAATCAACAGGGCAAAGGTAGCAACGGGGGGCACGTTTTATGCAAAAACTCACCCAGGCATTTTCAGTGACATTTGCGATCCGCGGCGCGTACGGCGATGTTGGCAACGTCCACTTGCCATTGACAACGGGAGACCCAAGACCAGTCATTCCAGGTACGCTTTGTCGGTGGGAATTAGGCACGGGCTGTAGGGGCGGGCGGGCCTGGGGATGATTGGAATCTTTCAGATGGAGATCGAAAGCAGGGTCGGAGGCTTGGGCGATGGAGGGGGGCGTTGAGGCACCGCTGGTTGGAGTTGGAGTAGTTGCATTGCTAGCATCGCTAGAGACGTCGGTGTTTGAACGGTCGGTCTTGAAGCTGGCTTTCGAACGACGACGAAGAGCCCTGAAGTTGAGAATGGAAGGAGCCATGGTGAGCGATAGGGGCGGTAGCTCGATCGCAAACGAAGTACACCTTCAACAATGGATGCCCGTCATGTGCAGCCCGGCAGACGAATGAACGAACGAGGTGAAGTCGAGGTCGGGTTCGCGACTGATGATGATGATGATGATGTTTGATGAAAGCTGAGGCAGCTTCCAAACAGTAGCTCAAAGGGCATCGAAGACAGGAGAAGTCCCTAGGGGCAACGCGGGAGAGATCCGGTTTTGGGACGGGCGCCGTGTCACTGATCAGCGAGCGACATCTGCAGCAGCGCAAGATAGGTAGTTCGTGCCAAGGTAGAAGTGGGAGTAGGAGTAGGAGTGGGCGTATAATAGGGTGGGGGGAGGAGCAAACGGCTCAAAGTGATGTGCGTGGACAAGCAGGCAGAAAGTATGGTGACTTATGAAGCGCAACAAGAGCGCAAGGAAGGTGCATTAGTTTGCTAGCAAAGTTTGCGGGTACCTAAGGGAGACGGAGGAAGTGGGATGAGATGACGGGATTGCGATGAAATGTCAGGAAGGCACCTCAGTCTCAGGTCCCGTAAAAAAAAGTCAATCAATATCCGTATTGCAAGTCGACGTCCACATCCGCATCTATGGCCACGCCTACAGGCCAGTCCGCAAGCGTGGCCCCCCCCGGGGGGGGGGGGGGTCGACGTTTGGTTACGGATCGGGCACAACACAGAGAAGGTAGCAAGGGCAATGAACTGACCATGAGCACAAATGAATGGGTCCTGGACGGACTACAGGGCAGCATGGAAAGCACATATGCGCGCGTCGTGTGCTTTTCCTTGCATAAGGAAAGGCCTAGATCGGCAGATAGCCGACAGCTGCGAGTTGATGACGTCGCTCTATTTCGAGGGTGGGAAACTGCAAGGTTGGAATGCGACTGGGGGGACTCTGTTGGCCAGGCGAGAATTAGAACGAGTGGGCAAACGGCTCGGCAAAGGCAAGGAGGATGGCTGGACGTGGAAAGGGCAACACCTGCTAAAGTAGGTAGCTGCTGCGCACAGGCATGGCGGCGATAGATAACGAGACGTCGAGGCGAGGTACCCGTACAAGGACACACCAACCCCTCCTTCTTACATAAGTACCTACCTTGGTGTGCACTTATGTAACTACTAGGTGACGTGGACTAAGGTTCTTCTTTGCCCTGCCTGCTTCTGCTTACTTGCAGCCGGCTCACCTTCCTCCCTCTCCATGGCCACGCTAGCATAAGCGCGGCAAGGTAGACCGGAATATGCATCTGCGGCTTGGAGAAGGCCCCGGTCAACGGAAGCGGGGTTGCATTACGTTTTCTGGGACAGCATCGTCGTTGTCGTCAACACGACGGCGATACTGGCGAGTAGCGCCGACGGAAGGTGATGGGTCAGACTAGGTAGAGGGGAAACCGCCTTTTTTTTTGAGATATCAGGGAGGTGGGTTATGAAGCTGCCCCCAGGAAGCGAACAATGGCACTAACTGCCACCGCTGGCTGGCCAAATCACACTCGCTTGCCCTTGGCCACGGTAGATATCTGCTTGTCTGGGCGGGTGAGATGAAGTCCAGTGGGATGTGGGGGTGTCATGAAGATGGGCATGGAGATGAGGAGCGAGGAATGCACAACAGGATCCGGGAGGTATGAAACCGGGCAGGGTACCAGGCATAGCACAAAGAGACAGACGGTAGATGGTGGTGCACCACCACCATCACCACCATGGCTTATGAGATGATGGCGAGGTTTAACGAGGTCGAAATGGAGGTCGACACTTGTCAAATCAAGAACCATCTCAAGACGAATGCAACCCCAGAATGTTGCCGCCAAGGTCAACCGTGATATCGATCAATCCAGTTTCGGGCATGCCAATTACCGACAAGATGCATCAGTACCTTATGTAAGGTGCATGGCATGTGGGCGGGCATACAGATAGCCACTCGCAATGTGGCGGGTGGCACCGCAATCGATGCGCCAGCCTTCCCACCCCGTTCAACGGTGGCATCGAGATCGGGTGCTGCATGTATTCATAAACCGGCGCGGACGACCATTCGGGTCAGCAGCGAGTCAGCCCCTGATGCGAATGTGGTGGTCGCGTACCATGTCCATATCAAACGGGCAAGCTGCATTGCTCCTTTTACGCCTCGAGCCTGACCCAAGTGGAACTCCGGTCAGCGACTCGACCGTCAATTACGTTGCCACAGAGCATGGCATCACGATGAGGATGGTATGATCATGTCATCCCGGAATGTACAGGGTAGGTTTAGGGATGCTATCCATCAACATGACCTCTTTGTTTGACGGCTCAGCTTTTTTTTCCTATGGTCGAGTGCGAACTGAACTATCAGGAAAAGGAAACGGAAGGATGAGTGGTTCCTAAGCATATTTTGTTCCGTTTCCTCCTGGCTTGATACGAGAAGCCAATCAGGGGCCGGTCGACTGCTTGTCAAATGATATGTGCCTTGGCTGTTTCCCCTGCCCTTCATCTCTCTCCTACTGCTTCCAGCCACTGTACCATGTACATCTAGAAATTCTCTTATCGCTTATTGTATGTACTCCGTACACACCACATAGGTAGGCAGCATCTATCTTAATGCCTGGTTCCGTATCGAAAGCGGCAGCCGTCATCGTCCATCTCACCTAAATACATTGCATGCGCCCATCTTGGTGTATACATGTGCACGGCACTTAACCACGTATATCCGTACTGCAAGACGTTAAACCACCTGCCACGCCACGAGCAGCTATGTACAGCGCGCAATCATCTCACATACCCTGAGACTCGGACACCCAACCACCGAACAGTCTGGAATGTCTGGAACGTTTTCTGGTGGCTTCTTCAACACTTCGGCTTGTCAAGTCGGCACAAGCAGCTGTATTGGATACCTATGTGCAGAAGCACAGGCTCAGACTTCCTCAAAATAAGTTCTTCCACCAGACACGTGCCTAACTCGCATTCAATGTAACAAGGTGCAATGCTATCATTATTCCAACATGGTATGTACACTCGCTGCACTCACAGGAGCAAGTGCTTGCAAAAGGGTGACTGGCTGATTGAGTGGGCTACCTACCACCTATTCTGAGGACAGTGTCGCGTCGCGACAGGGATCTAAATTGATGACCTCGTCCACCGAGAAACCATCAACTATGTATCCATACAAGTACATTTCACTGCTGCCAGCTTCGGCACACTGACTAACCCTCTCCACACAGTCATTCATACACCAGCGATCTCACCAAATAGCATTCAACGCGCGAGCGCCCCGCTTCAAATCACAGTGGCACCTGTGGCGCTCAGCAAAGCCCACCTGGGCGACTTCATGTCCTGATGAGTTGGTATCACAAGTTGACAGAGTGCGTACGGATAGTCTAGACGCAAACATGGATCCACGTCCAGATTGCCGAACCCCTTTCTGCTGCTTAACAATAAGACATCGTTACGGATACGTATTGTACATTCCGCGTTTCAACCCTGTACGTTCGGTGCTCGGCACAAGTTCCTGGTTACAGCTTGTAGTTCCTGAATAGGTAGATACGACGCCCCAAAATACTCTCAGACTTTCTTGCTCATAGACTTCATCTCCAGTGCTAGCCGTGGCCGAAACTGTCCGCCGCACGAACAGTGGACCGTGCGAGCAGCTTCACCTTGAGGGTGTCCAACACGATGTGTGATCACAAGACAGTCATCAACAAGCCTCATCAATATGCCTTGGAAAGTAATGCAGACTTGGAACCCTCATCAAGGACATCTTGGTCCAAATTTTCGATGTCGACCCTCGACTAGGCAACCATGAGATCTCAGAGAGCTCAGAACCTTGGGTTTTAAATCCCACTCCAAATCACCTAGCCCCTGGCCTCTCGCCTCAGTTGCCGTGACACTGGGGGGGCGTGGTATACCTACCTAGGTAGGTATAAGTATGTAAGGGGAACCTGGCCAAACGCTTCTGGCTCCAGGTGCACCCGGCAAGCCCACATCGAGCACGGCAGGGCAATTTACTAAGTTTCTTGCCTGGTGCTTACGGACTCGGGCCGCCCGGCGCTGACCAGCAATCCAATAAGGTGCGCTGTGGACATGGACAGGAGAGCACACAAGGGCCGCACGGCACTATGTATTGTTTGGCCAGGTGGACTGCATCCGGCAGCGGCCCTCCACTGACCAAGCGCTGGACTTCCAGCTTGGTGGTGGACGAGGAAGGACGTGTGCCTCAAGTACCTAGCACTGGAGCCGGGGACTGGAGACTGCCACCCTAGCACTGACATTGGCACTGCCGACGGCACTGGCGCCAGCGGTTGGTTACCACGGGAATGGTGTAAATTTTGCTCCAGGCCCCTCTCGTCTGGGTCCCCAGCGTCCCGTCCGCTGAGGCCGGGCCACTCACTGCGCTGCATTTGCCAAGCTAACGGGAATCCTCACACTCGATCTCCCCCTTCCCCGTCGTCGTCTGGCATCCCGACCTGTCCCGTCCTTCACCACTGCAAAACCTCGACGCCATACCTTGAATCGAGGAAAAGAACTCACTCTCGGTCATTGTTGAAGCTGCATACTCTCGCTATTGCGCACATCTCCTGTTCGCAAACATTCCAGAAGAACAGCCGAACCCCTCCATCATTCCTCTTCCGCGTTGCTAGGGCCTCTTGATCAACTCCCAAATCTGGCAATCGAACCTTGGTTTTCGTCACAGACATACAACTCCCCGCCCAGCCCCAAGGTCAACGCCAGCCAGCTTCTCCTGGGCTACGGAACCTTCCTCTCGTACGGTTCATCCCTTGGACCATACCAGCCAAAAGTGGTTTTCCCCCCCCCGGCCTTTTACGTCTTAGCAATACTACCAGTGGTCTTGTGTATGCTCGGATCATGTCTTCTCCGTGGAAGCAACAGCCCGAAGAGGTGGCGGGCAAGGTGTTGAAGAGAATAGAAGTCAGCAAGGTTGGTTATTCAAAGACCGCTGCAGTGGCCTGAAAACATGACGCAGGATTTTGGCTGACCTTAATACCTTGAAAAGATAGCCCGAAGATTGCAGAACCGACTTGCTCTGGCCCAGTTCAAGACCAAGCATGGCTGGGAGGACTTGACTCTCGACACCATCGAACCAAAATACGAAGAGGAAATGCGACGGAAGCGATTGTGTGACGGCGACGTCGTGTCCGACTCATCTTCCAGCGCCTCTGACCTACCATATCCTACGAGAACTCTCATGAGCTCTCCGCTGAAGGCTCCCCTGTTTTCTGATGCCGTCCGCTCGAGCAACGGGAGTACCGGCCACCGCAAGCGTACCTACATGGCCTCTTTCGAGTATCCCTCGTCCAGTCCGAGCAAGCGCTACCGGTCTTCTCCTACGCCCATAAAATCCTTGCACAGTCACACATCGTGGAAGGAAAGCCATCAGCTGGCGCAATCATCGCCAATCAAGCCCAGAAGGCAGCAGCATTTCACCACGTCGACAGGCCCCGATGTCTCTTTCTTCCAGGGTGCTCGGAGATTGGCAGATGACCTGGTATCGCCCAACTTCGCCGCAAACTCTGAGGATGAAGATGATCTCCTTCCCACTCAATCTTTCAGGGCTACCAACATCCGTTCTTCACCTCCGACAACGCCGCCGATGCGCAACCGCGCTATACCCAATCGTCGTACCAGAGACAGAGGCACAAATGGAGAACCGCCTGTCAAATCTGGAGAGGAGGGCGCCGACCTCTTGCTATACCTGGCTGCTTCTCCCTCACCCGCAGTCCCATCCACCAAGACCAGAATGGAGCCTCCCTCAACGCCGCCCTCCAAGGTTGGCCGCGACATGACATTGCCCTCATCCCATATGACCACACCGGGCGGGGGCAATATGTTCCCCAACACGCCAGGGCAAGGCTTCGATTTTGCAGAGTTTGTCAACATCACACCAAGTCCTGCCCAAAAAGCGTGGAAAACACCTGTTACTCTTTCATCGGCAAGGACTCCCATCAGTTTGACAAGGAGACGTTTGACCTTTGACGAGCCCTTGGCTTGACCATAAAGTCTCAGCAGGTACACCCTGCACTGTCTTTTCTCCTTTTTACCGTGTATATGATACCAGGATGGCGTGCCTCGCTTGAGCAACTCTGCCAACAAAATGACATTGTTTGTTTATTTTGCCTCGACCCGCCTTTTTTCTTTTCCTCCTGGAAGAAAGAGAATGTGTTCGGTCTGCGATGGAGAGGACGACTTTGTTACATAAAGTATGAATGAAATGTTCCCAAGGGGATGCTGCTACGAAAGTATTTTGTCTGAGCTTGCTATGTTGGTTTCTGGCGCAAGGCCATACAAGGAGAAGGGAGTCTTTGTTTACGAGGTGGGACGGATGTTGGTCAATTGTGTCATTTGACAAAGCAAGACCCTCATTGAAGCGAACTAATTCCAGTATTCTTTTCCTGTCCCTCGTCTGTTCCATTTGTTTCTTTCATCAAAAATTTCCCTTCTGGCCATATGGCTGAGGATGGATCCGAGAGTTCACTGATTTAGTGGGGAACACGCGGTCCGAGTCGTGACTTGGGGTTCCAACGCGTTACTTCTAGTCAGGGTTTCGCGCAGGATGATGACCACGCGAATTTTCGCGTTCGCGTCGCACTCAATTAATAAGGCCAGTAGCCAATCAGGATACTCGTTCTTGCCATAGATCCATATTCATCGGTATCTTCCAACGCTTGTGCGTCCCAACACCGTGGTGTGATGTCGGTGCGAGACCGAGGTTATTGGCGTCTATTAATTATGGTGCCTCGTGCGATTGCAGTATTCAAAGTATACGCGAAAGGAGTCGAGGCAGCGTCGGTCCCACTCAGTGCATTTGTTGAACTTCTACAGCCTTACGTTGATTCGTTCTCCAATGGTTTCTGGGAGCGTCGGCTGTCCCGCTTGTCCCGCTCAAGGAACTTCATAATGCCAGATTCAACGCCTTTCGGGGTCGGTTCCTCGGCACAGACGTCTGGCTCGAAGTCGAATGTGCGTCTGAGATAATCCCTTGTTGTCGGACCAATGGTTGCAATGAACGTCTTGCGCTCCTCACCCTCGTCCCGCTTTGCCTTGCCCGTTGATTCGTCCATTAAACCGAGACCGCGCAGCATGCTGTCGCAACCTGTGGGCGAAAAGACGACCACCCAGCGTGCCGGCCGGTCCTCGGTGGTCTTAAGGATTTCTGCAAAATCGCGTGGGAAAGATTTCATTACGCCAGTTCCGTAGACGACGACTTCATCCACTTGGATCCTTCGGTCACTTGGCAGATCCACATCCATGAGGCGCTTTGGAATGATATCCCGCCTCTGCTCGCCAACGAGGAAGAGCACGGGCGGCTTCGTCGGCCGGTCCTGATACCATCTGCCGTAGTGTTCCAATATAAACTTGGCTAAGGCATCGCCATTGCCGGTGTGCTCTCCGAAAATCTTCAATGGCGGTTGTTGTGAGATTGAATTGAGCGCTCGTGTGGTGGCCGGACCAACACTGTAGACCGGCACATCCTGGAGGTGAGGCCACTTTTCGTCGGTCTCTGTTCATTCCATCAGCCTCGGTTCCTTGTCGGATATATAAACTTCAATGCTATAAGTTGCGGGATGGCCTAACTGACCCTCCTCCTCCTCTCCCTTCTTCTTCTTCTTCCTCTCTGCCACCAAGCTGGAAAATGCCTCGACAGCTCGCTGCGATGTAAAGACGAGGCCGCCGTACGAGGCATCGGTGCTTGTATTGATACCGCGGCGATGCAAGATGTCCCTTACCGTCGCCATGCCCTGTTCCTGAAAGCTGTGATGTAGTACGGGAACGAAAGTCGGTTCAAAATCCCAGCTGCTGTCTTTGCGAGAGAAGAGGTCCTCGTACGCATCGCCCGGTAACGACCTGGTTTTGAGTAGAAGCACTGGCACCTTGGCCAGTGAAGACGAGGAGGGGATTTCAGCCATTTCGGGACAGAACGGTTGAGATTGATGTATAAATGTGTTAAAAGGAAAGCTAGATGAAGTGAGAGTATTCGTCCCACAATAACGATAACTGTCACAAAGTAGATAGTGGGTGGATTTCTCTCAAAGTTGACTTCGAGACATTTTACGCGGAGCACTTTTGCCCCGCTTGAGGGAGCGAGCTGCTTGAGGTGCCACCGAACAAAAGCTACGTACTGTACGGAGTACTATGTTAGGTAAGGAAATCTGTCAAGAAAGCCTCATTGCCTGAGAGTTTGCCTAATTTGGGGAAGAAAGAAGCTTGCCAACACTGAAGCGGGCCCAAGTGTATCTCTTTGTCGACTTGCACTTCTTGGGATCTGCGGATATTACTGTCTTGCGGCAAATAATTGTATTCTCGGAACCTATATCCGTAGTCCTCGGTAGTTTTCCCTCTTTCGCCCACTCAAGCAAGTATAGCTCCTCTGATCATCTTGCTTACCACCCTGTCGTCGTAGGTGATGGATCTCCCGACACAACAGAGCGAGCCTAGTTGCTGAGACAATTGGAACTGCAAACAGTCACACCGATATCCATGTCTCAACGACAAAAAACAAGGGCACCTCGACGGTCCGAATAGATGGCGGATGGGTTGAAGAAATCGGAAGACCCTTCGTGACCCCTTATGCGATTTAGGGATAGAAAGCACCCCATGGAGCCATCTCACCTCACCGATGGGCTAGAGCGGTGGACCGACCTAACCCGTGGTGGGGGATACTCATCAGAGCATATTACCATATTGCACCCCAGCTCATGTACAGAGAGCACTGGAGGTCTTAGGTCAGGGACCACTGTAGGTAGCGTCGCATTAGCCCACCATTGGATGTTCTGCCGCTGTCCATGCTTATCGATAAGGGCGTTCGAATATTAACGGACGAACAGCTTGGAGCTTACAAATTTACTCCGACAATATCCGCAGACTACCTACTCCAAGATCGCACACCTTGAATCACCCCATTCATGTTCCTTGTTGCATTGGATCTTTTCTTCTCGGTCTTTTGCGGTCTTTCGGCAACTTGCGATACAAAGGTTACCCTACGGGTGGAATTCTCCAGTTATGGCTGATGAAGAGCGACACTCCCCATCGGGTGGTGCATCTCCAGCTGCCATGACGACAACAAGAGCGGCATCTGAGCCATCTAAGCCTTTACCCAAGGGAATGGTACTGGGCCCTGATGGCAAGCCGTAGGTATTTTCTGTTTAATGTTTATACTTTATTGCAACCTCGCTCGCGGAGGCTTACTGACGGAGAACTTGTTGAGGTGTCGATCCTGCTCCTCCAAAAGTGCCTTCTCCAGCTGGGCCTCCCAGATGAACGGATCGCTGAAAAAGGGTGCAACAGTGACCTCGGAACCTGCCGATGACTGCCCGCCTGATGTCGAAGCACTTGGGCGCGGCACTTGGCAGCTACTGCATTCGATTGCTGCGACATACCCTGAGAAGCCCTCGTCAGCACAAAAGGAGGATCTCCGAGGCTTCATGAGGCTATTCTCAAAACTGTATCCCTGCTGGGTGTGCGCAGAGGACTTCCAGTCTTATATGCAAAAGGAGCAGATAAGGGTTGAGGGGCGTGACGAGTTTGGAAACTGGCTTTGCCAGGCTCATAACGAGGTCAACCGTAAGTTGGGGAAGAAGGAGTTTGACTGTAGCAAATGGGAGGAGCGATGGCGCACTGGATGGAAAGACGGCCGTTGTGATTAAAGCGACATTATGCGTCAAGCGTGCTATGTATACCAACTGTTTGGTAGGGGAAGTGGAGTCTGGTAACATCAAGGGCATGGTATTTGCACTTTTGTAAGGGGAATCGTCCTCTTTGGGGCCAGGATGTACAACACAACCATTGTATCAATGGCAGAAAACACTTTGTATGTACTAGGTGACTATCATCGATGTCTCAGTCACCACCATATCCCTTTTTGTTTCACATGCGTCAAGGTAGTCCTGCACATGGGTTTGCATCGAAGACATGAGGGAGTACTAGATAAGATGAACACCAAACTTAAGGCAAAGCACCGTTGACAGGTAAGACGGTTTCCAGTGCTGATGGATATGATGATGGCAGTTGGTTGTCTTCGGACCGAAAGCGACCGTGTGGCCCCTCCTCCGAGCAGAGAGGAGAGGCCGACAGATACATAGTATATGGGCGGTCCAAGACCAAGCATAGGAACGTCTGAGCCCGTAATCCCGCTCCACGGTTACGGTACGTATCGCCATGGCCCTTCCTGCATCTATCAAAATGGCACCGCAGCAGAGCCGAAATGATGCCAGTATCAGGCCATGTGTAAACCTTGTGTTAGTAAGGCGAGCTTGAATAAAAGATACCTGGAATGCAGACGCCCGTTTAAGGAGCGGTAAAGTTTGGCAGCTTACGTAGCATAGGCAAAATAATGAATCGAGAGTTTGAGAATTCTGGTATGCATTCATGCGGCTCGGCCAAGTCTAGAAGACTAGGGCAAACGTGGATCCCACCTACTGAACATAGAGACTTCGGTATCCCCTCCCTTTGCCCAGCGAAGGCAAAGAGAAGATGGATCAGACAATGCAGTTCCCAGCAGCAGCGGCATGTCAGCCATAGGCACACATCCCACGCTATCAGAGTATGGTTGGATGTATGACAGCGCAGGATGCGAATCCGATTGTGATTCAAGATTGAAAGTGGTTACACCTTCTGAGCTTCTCAGTGGGCTTGCAGCTCGGATCAAGTCGAGGACTGGGATACTATGGTACACGTATCTAGGTAGGTATGCACATCGTAAGTACCTAGGTGGTACGGTATGGCACCACCAGTCCGGCCCGCTACGCTATGGCCCGCTGTGGATCCGCTTCTTTTCCCTTCTTCGCTGGGCCGAGAATGTCACCTTCTTCCCTGCTGCAACTCCCTTGGTGCCACTGCGCTACACGTGTTCTAAGGAGCAACTTCATTCCCTCTCGTCCCATTTCGCCACAGCAAAAGAGTGTCTCGTCCCGGATATCTGAGGGTCTGTCTGGCTTCTGTGACACCAAAAGCTCCGGCACCCCCGGCTTGGTCCGGCATGGGCCCGGCGTGTTGGTGGCCGCACTTTCGTGTGGTGTGTTTAGTTACATCACTCCTGTCCCGTCGTTTGCGTATTGTTGATGCAATAGGCCATTGTCTGCTGTTAGCTTTGCCCGAGGGGGTAGCAACGCTACCATCTCCCGTCTTTCCACCCCGTCGTCGGTTCCCAACGCCAATCCCATGCATTCCGCTAGATACCGAGACTGGCAAGTTACCCACGCCCAACCGCTTTACAAGTCTTTCCGGTACTTTCGTTTAGAGTACAAACGTACACAAATGTGGACCTACCTCAAGAAACCGCTCATCGCCGATAGCCTCTGTCCTTCCACCTTGCAATGGCCAGTGGCCTGACTTGATGATCCTGGTCATTGCATCCGACGATGACAAGTAAGTTAGGCCGAGACCAACCTCGCCATCTCTCTGAGATAAGGACTTGATATAAACTTGTCTGCCTCCAGTCCTGGACCTAGAAGTTCTTCTTCTCCAGCTCAGTCGTTAGAAATCACATTTTCATATCAGCCCTCGCAGTAGCAGTGACAGCAACAGCAACATCAAAGCCACCTCTTCGCCAATAGCCAGCGAGTCTACATTCATACAGCTATGGCCGATATTAGAACCCAAGGGCTGAAACAGCCCGTTGACGTTGTTGAATACCTCTTCAGAAGGCTTCACGAAATCGGGGTTCGTTCCGTCCACGGTCTCCCTGGGGACTTCAACCTTGTTGCCCTCGACTACCTCCCCGAGTGTGGTCTGAAGTGGGTTGGCAACGTCAACGAGCTCAACGCCGGTGAGCCTTGCACAATCTTCACCCAATAGTTACTGCATTTCACGACGTACTGATACCCTTGGTAGGCTATGCTGCCGATGGTTACGCCCGTGTCAAAGGCATTTCGGCCATTATCACCACCTTCGGTGTCGGCGAGCTCTCGGCCATCAACGCTCTCGCCGGCGCCTACTCAGAACACATTCCCGTTGTCCACATTGTCGGATGCCCGTCTACCATCTCCCAGAAGAACGGCATGCTCTTACATCACACTCTGGGCAACGGTGACTTTAACGTCTTTTCCAACATGAGCTCTCAGATCTCATGTGACGTTGCTCGTCTTAACAACCCAGCTGAAATCGCCAATCAAATCGACCATTCTCTGAGAGAGTGCTGGATCCGCAGTCGCCCCGTCTACATCATGCTTCCAACCGATATGGTTCAGAAGAAGGTCGAGGGCGAGAGGTTGCAGACGCCAATAAACATGGAGGAGGCCACCAATGACCCCGTCAGAGAGGACTACGTTGTCGATGTAATTCTTAAGAGCCTCCACGCTGCAAAGAGGCCCATTATGCTCATTGACGCTTGCGCCATCCGCCACCGCGTTCTGCCCGAGGTTCATGCACTCCTCGAGAAGACCAAAATCCCCGTCTTCGTCACACCCATGGGCAAGGGTGCCGTCAACGAAACCCATCCCAACTATGGTGGTGTATATGCCGGGACTGCTTCGCAACCCCACGTTTCTGATCGTGTGGAGTCTTCGGATCTTATTCTATCAGTTGGTGGTCTTAAGGTAAGTTTAGGTGCCATCTTGAGTCGTATATGGACCGCTAACCGGATTATAGAGTGATTTCAACACAGCTGGATTCTCCTACCGGACATCCCAACTCAATACCATTGACTTCCACAGCACGCACACTAGGGTGCGCTACTCTGAATATCCCGGAATCACTATGCGTGGTGTCCTGCGCAAGGTTACCGAGCGCCTTGACCTGAGCCAACTTACCATCACGACATCTCCGGAAGTAATCAACAGGGTGCCCAGCCCGGACTCGGACCCTTCCCAAGCCATCACCCAGGCCTACCTGTGGCCTAGAGTTGGCAACTATCTCCGCGAGAACGACATTGTAGTCACCGAGACTGGAACGGCAAACTTCGGTATCTGGGATACCAAATTCCCTGCCGGGGTCACGGCTTTGAGTCAGGTCTTCTGGGGAAGTATCGGCTGGTCAGTTGGCGCCGCGCAGGGTGCTGCGCTTGCTGCCAAAGATGCAGGTCAGGATCGCAGGACCATTCTGTTTGTTGGTGACGGCTCCTTCCAGCTCACGGCACAGGAGGTCACCACGATGCTTCGACACGGCTTGCATACGACGATGTGAGTCCAACTCATCCTACCCATGTGAACCTGCCCGGGATACTAACACCAGGCCTTCAGTTTTGTCATCTGCAATGACGGATACACCATTGAACGTTTCATCCACGGCATGGAGGCCGAATACAACGACATCGTCCAGTGGCAGTACAAGGAGCTCGCAACAGTGTTTGGAGGCACTGATAAGACGGCCAAAAAGTTTGTCGTCAAGACCAAGGACGAGTTGGAGAAGCTCCTGACCGACAAGGACTTCAACAACCCTACAGCACTGCAATTTGTAGAGCTTTATCTCCCAAAGGAGGATGCTCCGAGAGCTCTCATTATGACTGCAGAAGCAAGTGCCAGAAATAACGCGAGGGCCGAGTAGGGTAATGACAAGCACATGTTAGTGGCGCATGACTAAGCATGATGGTTTTCCTATCAATTAGTTGGACAGGGGCCTTATGGTCACTGAAGCATATGTAGATCATTCGTGTCTGTGAATTATATGTTCATCTGCATGAGCCGGCGTCGCTTGACCTGATTGTGTAGAATCTCGAGCAAACAGTACACTTTCCGTCCTTGGACATAAGGCAACGTCAGCCATAGCTGCTTCTCGGTGCCACCCAGTTCCTTTCCTTGCTAGATACGTTGGGCATGACGTTTCGGAAATCGTGCAACTAAGCCCAATCGATCCGGGATTGGTGTTCCCATAAGGGTCAATTGGCAGAACGACGTCAATTTATTGAAAAGCAAAGAATGTAGCACCAATTCTCATTACCCATCCTGCCATGACGATGATTGAAATTAAACATAACTGGGTCATATTTCGGAACCTTGGGTCGATTGGGCAGCAGCTGGATGACATGACTACCGGACGGCGGGTCCAGGTCGTCAAATTTATTGCCTTCGGGCGGTGTGGCAATGTTTTCCTCTTTCACGTGGCGCACCAAGCTTTTCTCCTACACCAGCCACCAACCTTTTTACACTGATCCACATCACACTTACATATATCAAAATCCGAGTGAATCGGATATCGAGTTGTTGGCCATACACAATCGCGTAGCTCTCATACTCATCTCTCGACATGTCGGACTCTAAGAGGAAACAGCCCAGCTCCAGAGGCGGCGATGCCCACCCAGCGAAGAGAAGCAAAGTGGGTTTCACCTGAATACATGCTCATGCCTATATATTATGCTCCAATGTGTCAAGCGAGGGCTTCTTCGACTAATTCCCACGTTATAGGGCGGGAAGGGTGCAGGTGCGTGGCAGACGCCCCAACACAAGGCTAAGGTTGCCAGCCTTCAGGACAAAGGCGTCACTATCGGCATCGGAGACAAGGGCATTTGGGTTACATTTGCACGAGGCATGGACGCGAAAGCAATCAGCGAGTTCAACTTGCTCTGCGACGAGGTTTGTTTCTCTGGTATCATTTTCAGCTTAAACTCATCACATTTGTCTCTCAGTATGGCAAAACGATGTATAACATTGCCCCTCCCGACGAAGATGTTGAATCGGACAACGAGGCTGAGGACATCGAGGATTCCATCAAGAAGGAGCTCGAAGGTATTAGTGGCGGTGGCAAGAGCAAGTCCAAGCGCAATTTCAAAGCTATCAAGGCCGGCATCGAATGTGTCTTCTTCATGAAGACGAGAGATCCAGTGGATCCTGTTGAGCTCTGCCGCCGGATCTGCCAAGATGCTAGCCTTTGCACAGACTTGAAGGAGCGAAAAACCAAGTATATCAACCGACTGACGCCGGTTACGTTTGTCGATAAGGCCTCGGAGAATGGCGTAGCAAGAGTGGCCAGGAAGGCCTTAGCAGCTCACTTCGAGTTGACGATGGACACCCTTCCTAGGAGTACGGATAGCGAGATTACGGAGGGACCAGTGGAAACTGGACTTGGGAAAGAGGATGTCAGGGAACAGGAGATGAGATCAGAAACGCCAAGAGAGGCTGAGAAGCCAGCCTTCACGGTCAGTCTCAAAACGCAGGACATCTATCCCAAGTCGGTGCTAATACACCGCCAGTATGCCATCCGGCCTTCGATAAGAAGCAATAGCTCACTTGACCGCGACAAGCTCATCAGTCAAATCGCCAAGGCCGTCAATCCGCGACACAAAGTTAACCTTACTAACCCTGACAAGGTGGTGCTGGTCGACGTCTTTCAGGTAAGTGGCTTGTGCTGCTAACGAATCCATCATCCAACTTTGGCTAACCGCTTTGGCAGAGCTTCTGCGGCATGAGTGTCATTGAGCGTAGTGACTGGGATGGGCTCAAGAAGCTCAACGTCAACGAGTTGTATAAAGCTTCTCCCGGGGCAAAGCCAAAGGATATGGGCGCCGAGGCGAGCGGTGAAGGTGGATGCGGCGTCTTGGATGCGATGTGATTGATAGTGATGGTACCCACGACAGATGTAGCCTGACTTTCAAGCAGTTAGTCGGAAAGGATGGCTAACGCATCGTTTCTGACATACACCCAGTTGCACAGGCAATCGAAGATATACGACATAGACAGGGTGTAATCCAGAAAAGAGAAAATATACTGAGGGCCGCCATAGGTAGGCCACATGCATGAGGCCAAGCATTGGTTGCAAGTATTGGCCCCAGCCATTGTGAGAAAGCTGTTTGTCAATGCAGTCAGCTCAAGCTAACTCCGCATCTGCAGAAGCGACATGGTATTATATAACATTATGAGCCACTCGGAAATGCAGCACGCTCTTTCTGGGCATGAATGCAGAAGACGTCGGTTTTCTTGTATCCAGGGTATTCGACGGCATGGAAATGGCCTTGGCGAGACAGATCGACGGCCTCGTGCCTCCGTCTCTCATCTGCAGGGAAGACTCGCTCACTCCCCAACAAGCCACCCATTTACCTACTGGGCCTCATGCTTGTCTAAGGTGAAGCGAGATATTATGATGAGTAAAACTGCTCTCAGGTCAGTCAATATGCCTTATGCAATATGCCTTATGTAATATTACACGCGGCAAGATGTGTAACTAAAAGAGATAGGACATTCTTGCCAGAACATCAGCTGAGGTCCGTGCAGGACGTTTTGTGCTGGACAGCACCTCCTAAAGTACAACGTAAATAAAGCGAACCAGGGGTCGTATGGGGTGGGGTTCAAGCACATCTGCATCCTTGACAGCGCTAAACCCCATATGTATAAATTTGACGAGTCTCCAGAACCGTCAGCGGCTTTCGATATTCTAGTCCGTCCCTTCTCATGCGACTAGGTCTTTTGAGGCTACTTGAAAGATCGGTCAAGGGGAGCGGAGACTACTTGGATCCTGCAACGAAGCAAAGGAATAAAAGTTACGTGTCGAGTTGCGTTTGCTCCATCAACAAGTACATAGGTAAGAGGTATCTGACCCCACGCTACTTGGGAGGAGATTGAGTTTTGCTTGCATTAAGGGGTATCTTGGACTGAGATGTGTCGTCCATAGAAAACAGCCTGAGCAACGAGGCTATCCAATCCAAGCGCGCATGTACTTCCTATGGCGACAACTGATGTATAGACTTTAACCAATCGGCAGCCTTGTGTCTTGGGGTTTTCGGAATCGGGATCAAGCTGTTAGCAAGCTGAAGAGCGAACGTACCAACCAACATCAGGCTAGATTACTCGCACATAGAAGGAAGAGGCATATTTCGTTTATCAGAAGATGCCAGATAGAGGGAACTAGGCAGGGCCGGGATAGGTCAGGGCTTCTAAAGCACCCGCCACCAAATGCGAGAAGCGGTAGATTTTCAAGAGGACACTGAACCAATGGCACCAGATGAAAGGCGCGGATGGAAGAGGGCCAAAGGTGTCTGCGTCGTATGCTGGAAACATCCGGAAGGAGTGGGTCTTATCTCGGTCTTGGTATCCATTATTTTCTCCGCTTGAGCCAGTCGACGACTGCCCCGAGACTGCGGGCGGACGTCCGTGCACCACCAGTCTCGCTTGACGGTGTCCAATCACCAAATTCCCGGCTCGCTTGTCTATGCATGGCGTAGCTGGGGTGTCCCTGCGCGTTCCCAGTCCTCGTCTTAGGCCTAATTACTACGGACTGAGTATCCGTACATAGGACAAAGTAAGATTCCCAACGATCAACCATCTTGTTGTGTATGGGACTTACTTTGCATCAACTTGGTAATGTATGCACCTTTATCTGCTCGTTTTCTTAGCCCTTCTGTTTGATACAGTCTCGCTAGCTTGTGTATATTTTTTGGGTACTGGACAAGCACACTTTGAAACCTTCATATGCACAACACGAAAACGGCATGCTGCTGCATACAAAACAGCAACACACCCTACGTCCATTGGTGCACACACCTATCAGATCCTTCCGGGTGGGCTAAGATATTTCATTACTGCATATCGGACATGGAGATCTCCGACTGAAATATGGATCCAAATATCAACAGCCTTCCTCCAGCTCATGCAGTTTCGCTTGAGTTGACCCCAAGTGGCATACATTCCGTCTCCTCTTGGTATATTGTATCGCAACCCTTCCGACCCCTGTGGTGTAGTCTCATTTCCTCACCTTCACTCTCTCACTCGGTCTTTTTCCCTTGGACTCTTGACATTGTTCCCAATCATTTGGTTGGGCTCGAGGCCGAGCTCGGGCTCGCCTTTGCCAGAGGGCATGAGGAAGAGATGGCTGTTGACGTACCTACTGAGACAGGCTTCCGCACATTATTTTTACTCACGCTTAGCAGAAGAGCAATGAATAAACATGGCTGCTTCTTAGCGCTGTCTCTCTCGCTTATTTCTCACACGCTCATTGAGCGCCTCTTCCCCTTATTCCCAGTATTCCTCCATGCGCCACGGTCACCACCGAACCCGTCGACTTAGTTGGCTGGCCCACTACTCGCCTGCTGTACCTTCCTATTAGTTCACCTCTTCGTTGGCGGCTTGTCATCGCAAGGTTTCCGCCTGACCTGGACCGGACAAGGTTGTCTTCAAAGCGCTACCTCATGGCCTCAAGCCATGTCTGCGCGCTGCGCGCCATCCTTAAGCTTCTCTTCCTACCCTTGAATGTTCCTCTGTGACAACCTAGTGTACATGTTTCTCAAGCCCGCTCGATTATGGTGTGTTTTTACGCCCTTTGTAGCCCAAAAAGCAGCTGCCAGCACGGACAATCCTGTGAAAACCGGCGGCCTATCCGTTGTTGTGATTCGCCTAACTCATCAAGCATCATCATCATCGGCATATTTTGGATCCCAGAGGATGCCAGGCAGTCTTCCAGTCGCTCCCCCTTCGGTCGTCCACTCCTCGAGTATGTCTCGCTAGCCACCCATTGCCATTGGATTTCTCTCTTGACATTGCCCATCTTGGCACAGCGGCGTCCGAAAATTCCGGCCGGATCTGTCCGTGTGTCCATACTCGTTGCTACCTTGTACATCCCGACAACATCCTCGTCTTGAGATCAGCAAGGGGCTCGCTATATCTAGTTACCGGCAGGCATCCCATTTCGCATATGGCTTCTGGTGGGTGTCACCACACTCATACCTCGAATTCATCTTGCCTACAGACTGTCTGCCAGGACGTTCCGCAGAGCTGCAACATCCCGTTCGTCACGCATCAGCCATCCATAAGGCAGAACCCGTGTCGCGCTTCAGCAGCAGCAACATCCATGTGCGCGCCGCCCTCGGTAAATCCTATACAGGCCGTTATAAGCCGTTTAGTACCCCAGGCTACCGTCCAGCAAGTTCAGGTAATGCCCTCGGTCAATTGCCAGCGTACCTATGAGGTCAAAGTCTCCAACGGAACGGGCCTTGTTCTCGTCGTTCCTCCGTCGTCCATGGTCAAGCTCCTTCGATCTGAACGTGCCTCCGTCATCTCGGAGGCAGCAGTCTTGAAATGGCTTGCTGGCAAAACCATCGAGCAGCCTCTTCTTCAAGAGCGAACGACCGAACCGAATTATTTGCTCGAACCCCCCTCACATGTGGCCAAGGAGGTGAAAGGGACCCGAAGCTCCATCGATGACGCGGCCGAGGATTTACGTCGTATGGTCCCGGCTCTCGTATCGCATAGTGCGGCGTTGAACGAGCTGGGTCTTGAATATAGCCTCCTGAAACCAACACGAGGCGTCCCGATCCCCGAGTTAAACCCACCACTCTCCCCCTCGGAACGTAGGAAAATCGACTATCAGATCGGGGAGTTGTACAGGCAGCTATGCAAGCAGGTGTCCCCAACTGGTCGGTTCGGTCCTGCCTTTGCTGTTCTCCACTCGGCTGCGTCACCCTCCGTGACTGACCTCACGAAGCAAGCAAAGCGAGATGTGAACGCGAGGCTGATGGAATCAAGGGGGGTTCAGTCCTGGACTACGGCATTTCACTCCATGCTGGAAGCTGTTCTTCGGGACGGAGAGGACATGCAAGTTATGCTGGGATATGGTACCATTCGCCGGCATTTCAAGCGCCTTGAACATATACTCGACGAGATCAAAATACCTAGACTTGTGGCCGTTGACGTCGGAAAGGACATCAACACGCTCGCGTTAAGAAAAAATCGGCGAGGAGGCATCGCTTCTTTTACACCAAGCAAGACGAAGAGCGCTCTCCAAACCGCCCCCCAAACCAATGGCAATGATACAGAAAACGAAGGGAATGCCGGCCAAGAGATTGACTCAGAATCGAACGGCGCAGCAAATGTTTGTCTAGATTGTCAAGACGACATCACAATGACCGGAATGAAAGACTGGAGCAACTTTGTATTCGGCGACCCGCTGTTTGCCCTCAACTTTGGCCGCGACCCGAGCAGCGACTTCCTCGCGGGGTTTGGCGGCTGTTCCAGACGGCAAGACGAGATTTCGTCTATATTTTCCTCGGACTTGATCGAAGACAAGGAGAATGCTCACATTCGTCTTCTTCTGTACGACTGCTATCATACCATTACCCACATCGCCAAGGGATACTTCCGGCCGCAAAAGGATAGTCACGGGCGCGAGCTAGAGGCTCGGAGGAGGCTCAATGCAATTCTGGCACAGCTAGACGTCCTGGAAGATACTCGCATTAGGAGGGGAAGAAGACCAAGTGGCGAATCGGGCCCGGCGAAACGCTCCAGGAGTGGTGGTAAGGACGATTGAATCCTTCGCTACATGTCAAAGGGCTGCGCAAATGCATGGCGCCAGGTGAGGCCTTATCAAGACATGCTCACGTGAAGCACGTAGATCGTTGGCCTGGCATACGGCCGTCTACCTCTGGGGCGCTTCATGCCTGGTGGAAACAGCTGTTTGGTGACCAACAATAAACCGCTTGACTTGTTTGACCATTGCACTATCTCATATCTTGCTTCCCTCGGAATCATCCATGTCTTCGTCTCGCGGGAGCTGTAGCCCCATCATGCCTAGGATGTTGCCGGCTGGGCCTGGCATGCCTACCTGACCCTTGAAGCTCTCAAGAAGGTTCTTGGCCAAATTATAGTCAATGTCGACTTCTGCGTCGTCGCCACTGTCGTCAGCGTAATCGTCAGTAGCCCTGTGATCAGCCGTCACAGCTATAGTCCTTCCACCAACAGCTGCCTTCCCACCCTCGCCCATATCCTTGAGTATAGAAACATCGTTTCGTGGTTGGTTCAACCTCAGGGCGCCATGTGAGTTGAGCTCAGCTTCGAACTGAGCAGACAGCTTCCGGAGCTCTTCGTCCTCGGATTCCTTCTCCTTTATACTTTTTCCCAGCGCTGGCTGTGCAATTCTAGTTGCTGTTGTATCCGGCTCATTGGGTACTGATGTTGTGGTGGACTCTGCCGGTGCTAATCCCATCATCTCTCTCATCATCCGAGAAAACTCTGCCTCGTCGAAGCTGATCGCCTTGTCCTCGTCCTCATCGTCTTCGTCACTCTCGTCGTCATCTATGTCCATCTCGTCAACCTCGGCGCCATCGAGCCCTGCGCTGTCGTCGTTTAAGAAGGCCTCGAACCGAGAGACAATCTTCCGCAGGTCTGCCTGCGTTGTAGCGTCTCCAAATCCTGAGTTGGATCCCATGCGATTCCCACCTCGCCGTCCCGCCAGCTCACTCTCAAAATCGGCATAATCGATGTCCATCCACGACTCATCATCTGCCCGGTGAGCATCTCTCCATGAATTGATCTCATCATCTCCGGGTAACACCGAGTCCCCATCCTCTTGAAGTTCCTCCACAACAATGCATGCCTCTCGAGCCTCACGGCTGTCCGTGTTTTTAATGTTATTGAGCATGATTTCGAACCCGCATGTGAGTTTCATGCCCATTTCGAGACGTGCCTGCTTGGCACCATTTGCCTCTTGAATCACGCTGGCCCAAGAGCCGGGAGGCTCAAACCTCTGAGACTTGAGTTGAGCAAACAGCACCCTGGTGAATTTCACACTCAGTGTGACCAGATCCTTCGGGGGGAAATGGAGGTCAGTTTTCTGAGACAGAAGAGCTTTCAGATCCAGAGCATCACGAAGGTAGAACGATTCCACGGCCGGAGCGACAGCCTTAGGACTCTGGTGGAGAACATGAGCGAGTCTTCGAGGGACCGTTACCAGTGAATGGTGCAGAGACTTCTGGATCTGGTCAGGGTACTTCTCTAGGCGATAGAATGCCTCGGCTTCAATGAAGTCTGAGTGAACCAGCTTGTCAGGGGAACTCTTGATGATGTTTACGGCATCTGGCAGCGTCAGTAGCTTGAAGTTCAAGCTCTCGTCAGGTAGCTGAGGAATGATGCGAAGGCAGCCGTTGTTGATCCAGACACGGTTCTGGTCGGTTTCAGGACTCAACCACTTTGGAAGAACGTTGGCTGCTTCTATCAATAGGAACTCCCCATCTGAATCGAACACGCGTACCCAGACATTCGGGTGGGACTTGGAGAGCTCCCTGAGGATGTAAACTACTAGCCATTCATCCTCGATGGAATCTCCGTAGTCGGTTGTTCCTTGTAGAAAGGTCAAGCCTAGCCAGATATCAGGTGAGACTCGAGTGTTGCGGCATGTTCAAGGCATACCTTGTTCAGTCACTACGTCGAGGGTGAATGTGCCTTTCTGCCAGATATAGTCGGATGTCAGTCGGGTTGTAAGCTGCAATGCTGATTTGCGCAACTCTTCAAGGTGGGATAGATGGTTTTTGTGGTTGTTCTGGGTGTTGGGGTCGACTAGGAAAATGCAATACTGAATGCAATTTTCCGACAGGCTTTGAGTGTTGCCGACTTTGGAGCCATCACTGGAATTGCCTACCGGCCGTCCAGATTGCGGCTCCGTCATGGCTAACACCCAGGTCGATGCGTTTTTTTCTTTCCCTTGGATGAGTCCGGGTTGCTAGTCGTGGATATGGATGATAGCTATCGTGACCAAAGTGCGTTACAAAATGAAGAGTGTGGTGAGAGGTTCACCCGAATCTGTGGAAAAGAACTCTGTGCCTGTGGCAAGCATGGGGGTAGAGCTGGCTGTAGTCCGCAAAGAGGTGAATTTGGCGTTGTCGCCATCTAAAAGATCAAAATTGTGGATGACGATGTATGATCTCGGTACTATTAATGAGTCGCTGAGGCGGAGCTACTGGAACTGACTATTTCTTTCGGCTGAATGAAGAGTCGAAGAGAGGGCCCATTAATAGCTTGAGGTCATTTCACAGTGCGCCACAAAGGCCTTACTGATGCCTTAGCCACCCGCTGTAGGTTTTGATTGGCTGTCATTATCTCTGTAAACAGACTTTTGATCTGGTACTGTAGACTGGGTACAGGTACTGCCTGCTTGGGCGCCTTGCAGTACCTGATTCTATTCATGCCTAGTTAGGTACTTAGAGCGAACGCACTGTACGTGTTAAGTGCTAAATCACGAAGCAAACCCCACCACAGAAATTTGCACCGTCGCGTATCCCTGTAATGCCTTCCAGCGCGTCTCACCTTTGAAGCCGTTGTGCTCCGCCGGCGACCTACATTCATAGCGCCCGCCCATTGACGCTACCAGAACACATCATCATTATATTTGAGTATTGATAGGCTGCCACCTACAAGGCAATCGTATCTTCGCAGGAGAATTTCTCGCCGAAACACATCATGGCTCCTGCCAAAAGGCCACACGCCGCCCTGGAATCAGCGAGTGCAGACAATGAGGTACTGGACGTCCAGCACGCAAGGTCCTATCTCAGTCAAGACGCGTCTGTAAGTACGCCTGGATAATGACGGGGTCCCAGACCTGGAACCTGGTACGATTGCTAACATCTCTGTTAACTGCAGTCAAAAAGGGCACGATTGTCTTATTCCGCACAGCCGAAGCAGGCGGCTGCTCAGAAGGACGAAGCCATTAGTTCAGATAGCGAAGCCGCCGCAGACGACCAAGATGATGAAGAACCTGAAGAAAGGGCGGGACGCGACTCTCCGCCACGTACTCAATACGAGATTGCCCGTGATAATGGCTTTAGGCACTTGCAATACGAGGATCAAGACGACCAGCGTGCCACACAGAAGATCAAAAGCCGCCCGCAACGCATCGGCGAAAACCACGCAGCGGAGAATGGCATCATTGAGAGTGTTGAGTGCATCAATTTCATGTGCCATGAGCGGCTGTACGTTGAGCTAGGCCCCCTGATCAACTTTATCGTTGGCGAGAATGGCAGCGGCAAAAGCGCTGTGCTGACGGCCCTCACTTTATGCCTTGGTGGCAAAGCCAGCTCTACAAACAGAGGTGGAAGTCTGAAGAGCTTCATCAAAGAAGGCCAAGCCAACTCCGTCATCATTGTCAAAATAAAAAACCAGGGCATCGATGCGTACCAGCACGACCTGTACGGCGATGCCATAACGGTTGAGCGCCATTTCTCGAGGACGGGCGCCAGTGGCTTCAAGCTCAAAAGCGTGACGGGCAAGACTGTTTCTACCAAAAAAGCAGACGTTGACGAAATATCTGAATATTGGGCCCTGCAGGTCGACAACCCACTCAACGTACTGTCACAAGACAACGCACGACAGTTTCTGAACTCTTCGTCGCCATCAATGAAGTACAAGTTCTTTGTCCGTGGCGTGCAGTTGGAACAGCTGGACAACGATTACAAGCTGCTCACAGAAATTCTCGAGAGCCACGAGGCCAAGTTACCGAGTCTGGAGGAGCATGTCCGTCGCGCCAAAAGAGAGCATATTGAGGCACAGAAGCTGAAGGACATTGCTCAAAGGAATGAGGAGATGAGGAAGACATACCGCCGCCTCCGAAACCAATTGTACTGGTCCCAAGTGGCTGAGCAAGAGGATACGCTAGCGAAATATAACAACGACATTGCTGCCTTGGACGAGGAGATTCGCCGCGCTGTCATCAACATTGAGCACGCAACACAAGCTCTGATCCAACGCGACGAGCAGTTAGAGCGCACCAAAACAACAGTGGATAACGAATCACAGGAAATCGGTGCAATTCAGGAGCGCATTGAGGCCGCGGATGCAGCGTACCAAGATGCCAAGAAATCTGTTACCGACATACATCACCAGCTCAGGGATGTCCAGCAACGCTTGAAGAATGCCGGGCACGGGATGGCCGAGTTCGAAAGCAAAATCCAAGCCGAGGAGCAACGCTTGGGTGCTGGAGCTGGCAGTGCTCGCCAGGAGCAAGAGATTCTTTTGAATGAAGCCAAAGCGGAAGAGGTTTTGATCAAGGAACAAATGGCCGAGGAAAACGACAGATTGCCGCAACTCAGGGCTGAGTTGGCTCAAGCCCAGAAGGCCGCAGATGGGGTTAAGCACGAGTTCGATAGAAAAAGGGGGGAGATTTCCTCAGCTGAAGGGCGTTTGCGCAACCTAGAGCAGAACAGAGGGTCTCTTTGGGCTGCCTACGACAAGAAAATCCCACTTCTCCTCCAGGCTATCGAGAAGGATAACGGGTTTCAAGAAAGACCTGTAGGCCCAATTGGAGCCCATGTGCAACTCACTCGACCCGAATGGTCGCCCATTCTGGAAACGGTCTTTGGCGCGACCCTGGATGGTTTTCTTGTGTCCAACAAGACGGATCAACAACGTCTGGCTAGACTGATGCAGCAGGTCAGACTGGACCGGACCCCTCCGATCATCATCGGCAAACGGTTGCCACCTAATGTCAAGCTGAGGGAGCCTGATCCGGCTTTCGATACGGTCCTTCGTGTACTCAAGTTCGACAACGACTGGGTTCGCAGCCAGCTCATCGTGGCTCATACCATCGATAAGATTGTCTTGATAAGAGAGAGGGCAAAGGCACAGGATGTGATGATGAGCGACTCACCGCCGCCCAACGTCCAAGCTTGTATTTCCTTTCACGACGGCGCGGGGAAACGAGGCACTGGCCTTCGAATGGCCCGGTCCGGTGGTGCAGGGTTCAGCCAAAGTCCCATCAGTCCTTTCCCACGAGCGCCACGAATGAAATCGGACGACGAGACACAAATCAATCTCGCGAAGGAATCCCTAGCTCATCTCCGGGGAGACCTGCGATCCATTGAGCTGAAGCGGCGAGAGCTTGATCAAACGGTTGCGAAATGCAAGTCGATTCTGGCGACTCAAGGCCAACAAAACCAGTCGCTGGAGCGACAGCTACTGAGGGTTCAGGCCAGGATTGAGGACATTTCAGCAGAGCTTGACCAGTATGAAGGAGCCGACGGCAGACTGATCTCCCTCCGGGAAGAGCTAGAGAAGATCAAGGCCGAGCGAGACCATCATGGCAGTCAATACGGAGAGATGCGGCTGCGACAGGAGGAACTCAACAAGAAGTGCGAAGAGTGCAAGAAAACTCTTGCCGAGGAGAAGGGGCGGATGAAGGACTTCGAGGTCCACATGGCCAAGTTACAGCTCGCAGTCCAGAAGGCCGAAGACTTGCGAAAGATGGCTGTTCTTGAGAAGAACCGTGCCTTCCAGAACCGCGATGATGCGATTCTAGAAAAAGAACGAGCGGAGAGAAAGCGCGATGAGCAGGCTGAGGTTGTCGCCAATTTCACCCAGCAAGCCATGGAAAAGGCACCTCAGCGAGTGTATATCGAGGAAGGCGAAACACATAGGAGCATCGAGAGCAAGTACGCCACCGTCCACCAACAGTTGGAAAAGAGAGCGCAGAAACTCGGAGCCTCGGACGAGGAGATCAAAGAACGGGCGGCCAGGGCCGAAGCCGCATACGAAGCTGCGCAACAGCTTTACAAGGGGCAACAGGAAGAGCAGGCGGCAGGTAAGCTCAACTTGGAAGATCGATTAAACCGATGGCGACTGTTCCAGCGACACATCTCAGCGCGCGCTCGCATATGCTTCCAGTATCTCTTAAGTGAACGTGGATTTAGGGGCAAACTTGCCATCGACCATCCTCAAAAGAGGCTGCAGCTTTTCGTAGAACCAGATGAAACTAGAAAAGGGACTGGCGGTCGAAGCACAAAGACGTTGTCGGGAGGCGAGAAGTCGTTCTCGTCCATCTGCATGCTGCTGGCTATTTGGGAGGCCATGGGCTCGCCTCTTCGGTGCTTGGATGAGTTTGACGTCTTCATGGACAACGTCAACCGCACCATCAGCACAAACATGTTGGTAAGTCTTGTCATAATGGTGCGAGTGATCTCTTTTGTGACTAACCTCGATATTACTAGATTACTGCCGCCCGACGCTCGGTGTCACGTCAGTACATTATGATCACACCAAACGCCATAGAGGGACGGGCCACTCTCGATAAGGACGTCAAGATCATCCGGTAAGTTGAAGTTCTCGCCGTGAACGCTCGTAATGAAAAGAGATCCTTGTAGAGATGTCCAGCTAATGCGGTTTCTAGTCTCACCGATCCCCGGCAGCGAACTCTGATCTGATCTTGCAAGGCCTCTTGTATGTACAGCGTACTGGCACTGGTGTCAAAAGCAACGTATTTTTTGACGATGGGCGTCAGGGCATATTTTATGGCGATGGGCGTTTTGTAAGTGCCGATCGAGCATCTGGCAATGAGCTCGTCGCGAAGTGGTCGGTAGCGTATTTAGCTGGCTGGTGAATAAGGGAGAAGGTTCTATCAGACCGAGGCTGTCGTTTTATACAGTTAGGTATACATGGTAAAAACATAGTAGAAGAAAGCGGGCTGCGTTGCAAGAAATGGGCGCGTGGGCACCAGCCGCAGAGGCCGTAAGTCTAAAGCCTAGATTCGAAGCCCCTTGCTTCTCAGTACGTTGACACCTGCGCTAGCTGTGAAGCCAACCCACTGTCCCACGGAGCCCAGGACATCGCCAGCCCCCTTGACCTCGTTCAGTCTCCGCCGAAGGAAGTCCTTCGTATCTCGAAAACCAGCGGACTTGTCATTGGTCATGAAAAGCTCGCTTGAAGCGTATATCATGGATAAGCTCGCACGCTTAGTATACCACGAAGCATCGACGGAGACGTCGCCAGAAAGAAACCAAATCTCGTCCACTAGTTTGGCCAGTTCCTTGATTGAAGCGGGCGCATAGCTCGGTTGTGCCATGATGGCCAATGCCTGTTGCATCCACTGTCAGTATGTGAAAAGCATACCTGTTGTCCGTAACAAGCAAGAAGAAGGATAGAGGGAGAAACGAAAAAGTGGGAAAGGGAAGGGGATTGCGCTACCTCTTGCCAGCGGTCGATGATGGTCGCGTTTTCTAACAAGCGCTGCCACGTGAGACGCTCGACTTTCTCGTCAATATCAAACTGCGACCCCTCCCCGAGTATTTCCTTGCTCTTAACAGCCAAGCCTTCCCGCCTTTCCACAAGATGGTGCCGGATCAGGTTGAAGGGGCCATCTGACAGCACACTGGTGCTGATGTCGAGATATCCGGTATCCTTGGCGCCAAGAGCGAGAGCCTTGTGTGAGAAACCGTGCTCCGGCACATGCTTGTAGGCGGCGGATAGGATAGTTTTTTCCTGTGGGTGGAAATATGTCGTCGAATCCGGATGGTCGTAGGATTGATAGGATCGGGTTGTTCGGGGGCCGGCGAAGGCAGCACTTGGACACTGGCGAAGAGACCGCAAGGCCGCTCTAGTCGCTGGGCGACAGAGATGTGACATGGTTTTGAAGTGAGCGGCGACGTAGGTCTGGCAAAAGGCAGAGCAGAGGTTTGTAGCATTCGTGGCGACCACACAACGATAACGATATGCAGCTATAGTGATGCGTTTTGCCCTCTCCTTCTGGTCTGGCTGCTATGCCTTTCCGAATAGCACGGATGATCCCGCGTCGTCGGCAGACTCTGGCTAGGGGGCGTGAAGATAGCAGCGGGTAGCAGGCAAGCCGGATTAACTGATCCTCCCGGCCTGCAAAGCTACCCTAAAAAGGTAAGAGATATTTGAACCACCCCCTTTATGCTTAATAACGTCCGTCTTGCGAACATATTCCTAGGTAAATACCTAGACAATCTTTGTATATCACCCCCAAGGTGTAGAATGGCACCTTTATCTTGATGTTCCGCCCTCATATACTACAGAGACATGTTTAAACTACTACCACGATCTGAATGCTGTTTCGCAGACCCGAAAACGGTTAGCAGAGTAGAAGCTGGTAGGTAGAACTTCGTCTCTTCACGATGCAATAAGAGGCGGGAAATATTAGTGACATGGAAAATCGGGCATCATCTGAGCCGGACAGGTACTCACGGCCATATATGACTCTAGGTTGTATTATACTTCAGCCCACTCACCCGTTGACCCCTACAGGGCCCTCAAGGTTCTTGTGACAACTTCCAGGCAATGTAATTATCAACGGGGAAAGACAAGAAGAAGACCCGGACGAAACCTATCTTACCGCGAACGGTCTCCCCGTGATCGAACATACTCAATGAGAGGCAGGTTCGATGGTTCAGACTTTGCACAAGGCGGGGGAGCATGTAATCACCATGTAGCATCCATCGTCGGAAGTGGGATAGCGAGCCTGAGAAGGCGACCAACCAGAGACTAACGAGCCTGGGACAGGTGTCAGTTGTGGCAAGGCAGACCAGCCGCCAAAGCCGTCAAGGTTGCAAGCTGCGCAGGGATCGAGTCGGGAAGTGAGAAGATGGCTGGTGATTGCATGCTCGCAAGACTTTGGGACTAGGAGTATCTGGAACTGCCTTGAGGCAACAGCGATCTCTGCTACCTGGCACCCCGTGGTGCTTGCGCCCAACTTTGAAGTAACCCGCCAACCTATCTTCTCGTACACTTTCTCTGCTCTTAAAACCCAGAGCAGAATCCACTTAGCAATAACTGTAGGTGACTGTACCAGCGTGCTACTGATGCCTAGCTATACTTGTACCTTACCATACCCAACGTCGTTCAGGGAACGAGAAACGTGCGGCTCTTCAAACGGCCGAAGAAGGTGCAGATCAGATGACATACCTGCGGAGTCCACTCTAGACGGGTGGGATATACGTCAGACTTTATGGTAGCAGGTGTTATCTAACCCAAACTGATTATCTGTCTTGGCTTCCTTGTAAACATGCCCCGAGTAGAGGGGGAGAGAGGAGAGAGGAGAGATGGAGTGTATACGTGAGTGCACGACAATCGAAATCAATGCCAGCCCCAAGCTCGCTGAAGGCAACGCGAAATGCACTGAGTACTACCTATGTAAAGTGACTACGCAGGTAGATGACAGTTTGATTCGTTGCCAGCGGCTTGTTGAGCTCCACCAATGCGTCTCTTCTCGCTTCCTGCAGCTCAGATCCACTTGTGTATCTCTTCAGCCAATCGCTGTTGGCAATTGAGAGGAAGCATTGTTAGGTGTTTGCTGAACCATCCTAGGTACCTACCTACCTGAGCACTGACCAGTGGGAGCTACGGTCGCAATTCCAACCGTTGACAAAAGAGGATCGCTGCTGGTTGATGCCTGATACCCTTGCATGCCTGGCGCCTTTCTCCAAGCTTCTCCATTGGCGGCGGTCTTTTCACCAATGCTGTGCTTGCGACATCGTTGATTCTGCCTTGCCTTGCCTCGCCTTGTTTATTCCTCCCTCTTGCAGGAACCGACAGCAGACCCATCTGCAACCAAAGCAAAGTACATCACCCTCACTCAGCTCGAGGTAAGTGGACAGAACACCTCACGTTGCAAGATTCTTCCGGGTTCGAAATCGAATCCCTCTCCTCTCCCCTTGCCTTCCGCCTCACTTTGCCCAAGCAGTTAACTAACGTCTTGACCATCCTCAGCACCATCTACCGTCCACTCATCGTCACCAATCGCGGCGGTACACCTGGACGTGACTTCCAACCCTCTTTTTCTTCATGTTCCTAAAGGTACCTCCTACTTACCTTTCTCAACCCGTACCCGAAGAGTGGGCGCCACCCCCGCCGAGCGTAGTGTACATCAGCTGTAGTGTACCTGATTCAAGTCGCGTCGCTCAAATTGTTCCAGCCCAATTCGCGTCATCTCCCTCCGTCCTGTTTCATTACGCTGCCGCCCACACACATGTCCAATTGACCATACACACCCTCCCTCCCATCTCTTGACAACCGTCAACGCCTGTCTGCTGCCTGCTTTATTTTCGAGCCCGCGCCTACCCTACCTACCCACCCACCCGACCCGACTTTTGCCTTATCCAACCTCTGTCTCGCCGCGTACTTTACTTACCTTATCCATCAGCCACTACACACCACACGTACACGCTGTCCATTCTGCCCTACCTGACCTCAGGTATCTCAACAGCAACGCGCGCGCGTCACATCACTTCGCATTGTATTGTATCGCATCACATCACAGCACACCACAGCACCAGCAGCAGCTACACGCAACCACCAGAAGCGCATCACGCCGCCGCACTGCATATTCTGAGCTGCGAGCCAAGTCATTTTCCACCATTCCCTCTCGGATCACCCGAGTTGTCAATTATGGGTAAGTCTCGGTCGGGTCTCTTTTGTCTCTATCTCCATCGCAGCTCGCCTCGTCTCGATCCTCCCCTCCCTCCAGATGGTCTTTCCCGTCATGCTCGCGCGTCCGGCTTCCTATATCGCTTCTGCTCCTGCACCAGCTTCGGGTCTGCCTTCACATTGCTTGTCATTGTCGGCGTTGTTGCCATCCCAAGCATCCACCGGCAGCATCGTGACTTCACGCGTCACTTTGCTTGCCTTACCTCCCATTCCCTTGCCTTCTTGAGTGTACTTGCTTGCCGGTTCCTCGTCACTGTATGGTTCCTCCCCATACAATGTACATATTCACCCTGAAACACCATTCTCCTTCTTTCTTTCTATGCCAACCCTGCTCTCGCGACTCTGAAGCCGCAGCCATGCTTGGATGCCTAGAGCACTCTGCCCTTTCCCCCTAGACCTTTCAGTTTGTCAGGTTGAAGTGAGGCAATCATCTTTCGATGGGACGGCGAGGCTCTGATGAACAGTCATGCGGCATCTCCGGCCAGCATCTTCCCAAGCAGCTTCCCCGCCCCCATCACCTTACCCTGCTTGTCCTCTCTCTATCCTGCCGCTGCCCTGGCCATACACGGCATCACCCGGCTTTACATGTACATGCACACACGGCTACTCTGGGTACACTACCTGAGTTGGGACAGATGCCGACATCCCTCCATCCGCCCAACCATTCAAACCCCATTCATCACACCCCATCCAACCATTTACTCATTCATACACTCGCCCATTGATCCAACCATTTGGGCCATACACACACACACACATTTACATTACACGCGTGAGCAGCTACACCACGCCTCACGTAGCCCCTTGTACCGGCTTCCCACCCACACCTCCTTACCTTCCTTGCCCCCTCCCTTCCCCCTCCCCCTCTTGGTACTTTCCCACCCCTCCTCCTCTACAGAGTACCGCCCGCACCTACCTAGCCTTGGGTACTGTACCTTAGCTGCATGCCCTTCCGCTCCTTCTCCGCCAATTGGCCTCGTGCCCCCTCGTCCTTCTCTTAGGTTGCTACTGTGCCCACCTTCCAGTTATCCAAATATCATTGCTGCTACCCTCCTCCTTCCTGCGTTTCCGTCTCCCTGTTCAACCCTCTCATGTCCTTGCTTTCTTCTCACAAACACTTTGAGCAAATACTGGCTTCCCAAACTTGGAGACTAACTTGACCTTATTGCAGCTGACTCCGGCGACACCTATCGACCTGGAAGTGTAAGACCACCCCGATTCCTTTCGTTCTCCAAACTCAAAACATCCCATCTGTATTGTTATCCTCCCGCGTCTTGCTCTGGTCCCCCTGCTGGACTGCATCCGCACCCGTGCTTGCGCCGGTGCGTGTCAGCAGTTTTACCCATTCCCATGAATTGCGCCGCGCCGCCCTGAAGCCGCCGGCATGGCCAGATGTCTTCGTTGTCGTTGCGCTTTCCTCGCTCCTTTGCTATGATGGCAGCATAGCGAGCTAGTTAGTTTCATTTCTCATGGCACTTGTGGGAAGGGCTGTCTATAATGACAGCACCTTCCTTGATCTTGGTTCATCGGCCTCGGAAGGCCGCATCTTCTTCATACGGCCATGCCAGCTCCCCAACTTCTTTCCTTCAGAAAACTGCCTTCCCCGCCACTTGGCCTTATCTACTTCTTTGGTTGGTCATCACGTCCAACAATCGCTTTCCCACGTCGTCAAGTGACAAACCCACCTGAAAGCACGTCATAAACGACTTTTGTAGCAGCTTCTTCAACCCACAGCCAATGGCGGCGTTCTCTGCTAACTTGCGCCAGCGGGAGAGATCTCGGTCCCCTCGACGTGGGCGTTCACGCAGTCCCAACCGCGCTTCAAGACGTCGTTCCTTTTCTCCCCGAAGCCGTTCCCGTAGTAGAGACGAGTACCGTGGAAGAAGAGACCGTTCCCCCATGACCGGAACAGGAGCTCCATCTGGAGGATCTGGCACTGGGTACGGAGGCGCACCGCCGCATCGATCATACGAGGAGCGCGCAGCCGCTCGCGAGCAAATGATGAGCAATATTAGGGAGACGTCTCAGCAAGATCGCCGCGTCTATGTCGGCAACCTTTCCTACGATGTGAAATGGCACCATCTCAAGGACTTCATGCGACAGGGTGAGTGCATTCTCGTACTTGGCGGCTTGGTGTTTCGACACAAAGACTGACCGCGTGCTGTTTACTTTAGCCGGAGAAGTTCTCTTCGCCGACGTGTTACTACTTCCAAATGGAATGTCGAAGGTGGGCTTCTACACGTAGTCTATGGCTGGTTTTTCTTTTGTGGACTCTTCCCTCTGGCTATTGATGGAATCGTTGGATTGACGGGTTGGGACGTGTGTCCATGGGTCTATGTAGGGATGCGGGTAAGTCTGCGTTCCATCGCCAGACTACCTGGTCATGGCACTAACAAACAATGTTTTAGAATTGTGGAATATGCGACGCGGGACCAAGCCCAGAACGCTGTGGCAACGCTCAGCAACCAGAACCTCATGGGCCGACTTGTCTATGTCCGAGAAGTACGTCATAACGAACCAAAACCCGTCGATCGCTGCGGGTAGTAACTAACCACTATCCCTAGGATCGCGAGGCTGAACCTCGGTTCATCGGTGCTACCGCCAACCGCGGCGGTTTCGGCGGCGGCGGTATGAACCCCGGTGGTTTCGCTACTGGCGGCGGCGGCGGCGGCATCGGCGGTTATAACCCGGGCGGCGGCAGCCGTCAGATTTACATTGCCAACGTTTGTGATCCCTTCGTCTCTGCGACAGTTGGAACGCCGGCCAGCACTGACCGATCTTCTCAATAGCTCCCATACACTGTAGGCTGGCAAGACCTCAAGGATCTGTTCAGACAGGCTGGTAAGTTAAGGCCCGCCTCTCTCACACACCGCCGCTGGCTGTCAATTCCCCAATCCCTTGCGGAATTCTTGGTGACTAACTATTAATTTAGCTCGAAATGGAGTCGTGATCCGCGCCGATGTTCACCTAGGACCGGATGGTCGCCCAAAAGGGTCCGGAATTGTCGTTTTTGAGAATCCCGATGATGCCCGCAACGCCATTCAGCAGTTCAATGGCTACGACTGGCAGGGCCGCTTACTTGAAGTCCGCGAAGACAGATTTGCCGGCGCTGGAGGCCCTATGGGCTTCGGAGGCCGAGGCGGCTTTGGCGGCGGTGGCATGCGAGGCGGCTTTGGAGGCGGTTACGGTCGCGGCGGCTTCGGCGGTGGCCGTGGAGGCTTTGGTGGCGGTGGTTATGGTCGAGGAGGCTTCGGTGGTGGCCCCGGCGTTGGTGGTATTGGTGGCCCTGGCGCCCCCGGTGGCTTCGATGCCAGTAACGCGCCATCGGTTCCACCTAACCCCTTCACTGACTATGCCACCGCTGGAACCGACCGAAGCGAGACTATCTACGTGCGAAACGTAAGTCATCTGTTTGCCGGGCTGTAGCCAAACGCTGACCCCTTGCAGCTTCCCTGGTCCACCAGCAACGAGGATCTTGTGGAACTCTTCACGACTATCGGCAAGGTTGAGCAGGCAGAGATCCAGTATGAGCCTAGCGGTAGATCGCGCGGAACCGGTGTGGTTCGTTTCGATTCTGCAGAGACCGCTGAAACCGCAATCGCCAAGTTTCAGGGTTACCAATACGGTGGCCGACCCTTGGGTCTCAGCTTTGTCAGATATCTGAACGCTGCAGGTGGCGGTGACATGATGGAGACGGACGCCCACGCGGGTTTGACACAAGATCAGATTATGTGAGGGCGGGTTTGAGCATACGAACGGGTCTGGGGCAGTTATTGCAATCGACGAGCTCGGAGAAGCTTGGGTTGTCATCCCAGCTATATGCAGCCAAAGCAAAGACACCCTCGCGACGGGTCGGCATTCAACTGCACGCAGTTGTTCCTACATCTGGGCCATGCTTCAGTCTACACTCATTCTCTCTCTCTCTCTCTCTCTCTCTCTCTCTCTCTCTCTCTCTCTCTCTCTCTCGCTCTCTCTCTCGCTCTCTCTCTCGCTCTCTCTCTCGCTCTCTCTCTCGCTCTCGCTCTCTCTTTCGCTCCTTCTCCTGCTTTTTCTCGCAATTGTCTTTCGCTTTCATCACGACAAACAAAACGTCTTGAACTTGCGTTTCGGGTACTCAAGGTGGGGAGGGGCTGAGTCACGACTAGCCGCAAACACGAACTTGTCGACCAGTTTCGTGACGACTTTTTCATCATGTAACGTTGTTATCAGTTAGGATGGTCGTTTTGGCCCCGGTAGTCCTGGTAGCACAGTCATTGCAGGCAAGTATCTCGGCACAGCCTTCGTCTTGGGGCTCGATGTGGACCTTCACAGAAAAGTTATCATTTGATAGGGACGCATGTCTTGATTTCTTTGCAAGGTCGAGCGGGAGGTGACTCAGAGCCTCTACCTAGAATGTATTTTGAAATAGCATGTGAGCTTTGTGCGCAACGGTGGTTACCGGATTCGATAATTTGGGCTGGACAACGGCGACATGGTGATTGATCATGGAAAAGTGTGGCGAACAGGCGACATGCTCTTCAGTTGTATACTTAAAGGCAATGCTTCGGTATGTCTGGTTTGCAGAAGAGTGAACAGGCGTTGTTGCTGGAGGGCATGGTGCTACCCGCACCATATGAGTTTGTCAGATGCTGTGGACTATTGTCGCTCAGATCATTCATCTTTATCAGGTGGATGTTGGGTTTGGTAGGTCACCAAACGCAGCTCATCGCTTGCAGTGTGACGTTGATGATAGGCGAGATGAGCCATAACCTTATGGAGACTATGAGAGGGTAATGCGACTGCCTAGTCATGGAACGGACCTTCAGGCTTAGGTGCTGTATGTAGCCAGTGATATTTGTGCCTGTAAATGCGTAACGTCACGATACTGGTCTTCTGGCCAGACCCTCACGAGTTCTTATCTTGGTCACAGTCATGGACTGCTACCCAGATGCCATGCAAACTAGCCATGTGCAACATACTATTGCAGTCCTGCCGGCGTTGTCTACCATAGAGGCGCTGCTTATATAGCTCGTATAAAGGTTGGATTGTTGTTGGGAGCCGGGCCGGTTTATCTTCCATCTTTTTCTTACGATTTTTTGCATTGTTCCCTGAACCTTACAGACCCAGATCTGCCTCCATGTGTGAACTCCATCATTACAACTGTACTGGGTGCGGGACGAGGTGGCGAACGCACAAGAAGTTATCAAGCTGCGAGAGCAGTGATCCAGCTTCCATGTGCCCAGACAGTCTGTGCATGTACGTTGGCGACCCAAAGAAACCCAGGCGGGCTGAGTGCGAAGCGTGTGCACAGGTCAGAGAGACTCTCGAGGAGCTGGGCGACAATGGCATAAACCAGGAACGACTGATTTTTGGACTTGATTGAACGATTCCGAAAACATCGTGGGCGATAGATATGGTTAGATTCAAGGCAACCGGGTTGATATTAATTGTGAGACGGAGAAGGTAGAAACTTGAATCTAAAGGCACGTGGTCCTGTATGTACATCCTTAGTGTATGCCCAGACTTGTAACCTAGCCCTGTAGCTGCCTATCAAGTTGACGTTCATCTGGCGCATCTAGCCACTCGTCGACGTTCATTGTTTGATACCGAAGAGGCTTAGAGCCGCAATAGCATACGCCCTCGTATCAACAAGCCGCATCGTAGGGCTTACATTACAAACGCCTCCAGTCAGACATACCCAATGTCAAACTTGTTGGTCGTAAGACTCACATCTTGAGGGCCCCTATAGCTTCGAGGCATCGTCTTCGTAGTGACCCTTATCCATATCGCCATGCGCAGCCTCGGTATGGTAGCTCCCTTATGAGAAGACGTTACCCAAAACCAACACAACGTCAGGAAGCAGCAGGGGTCGGCATAGCCCCTCCCTTTTTCTTCCTGGCCTTGGCCTTCTTCTTGCTCCGGTCTCTCGGCTTCAGCGCCGCCATGCCTCCTTTGCAGATGTCGGCGTATCGAGCATAAAATGCCTCCATATCATCTGGCTCAACTATCGTTGATAGCTTGACCTTGATATCCCTGTGTTTCTTTGACTTGCCATTCGTCGCACGCACGATAATAGGCAACGGTGTCGCGGGAAGGAGATCTGGGAAAGGGTCGGCGGCCGTTGGCGAGGGCTGGCCCTGCTCGTACGATACTTGGCGGAAACGTCAGCAACTCATCAGCATTGGGGAGGTGGCAGCCGTCATGGTCATACATCGCTTCTGAACGAGGAATATCGAGCCATGGCCATTCCCTTTGCACTGCTCAAAGAGGTCGACTAACTTGCCGAAAAACTACACAGAATGCAGGTTAGCCAGGCGGTGAAGGGAAAACGCAAGCCACATACGCGTGACAAATGCAATAGGAAGGGCAAGCTGTGATATGTAGTTACTTACTTCGTCCTGGCTCAGGTGACCCGACATGATCAAAACCGCTGCTGTAGGCAATCCTGGGTCGAATACCTGCTTGTAGGCAGTTGAGTTGTTCTCTATGCAAGATGCTATTCCGTGCAAGGATCTGGAAGGCTGCACGATTCCAATCAAAAGGCTCCAGCCCCGCAGTAGTTACATACATAGTATACATGCTAAGAGGGGTACACTTACAATGTACAATCTACGAGGACTATGAGCTCTTATATGGAAAACTTGAAAAGGTCATAAAAAGGCTCTGTTTATACTATTAGCTTTGGAAATTAAAGATCATTCTACGTGAAGATAAAATATGCATACTGTCAATAAGCTGTTTTTAAGCAGCTGAAGTTATCGGTTGTAGGGGTTCCTGTCTAAGGTGTTGCGTTGCGTTATCCTGTCGCGCCCGTATGTGAAAGTGGCCTAACTAGCCCACCTGGTACCTAGGTCCCTACCTGGATAGGCACTAGGCGGTATTCCCCGCCGTTGGTGCCATGATCATTAAACCCCGTTGCTCCACTAAAAAGTTTCCTGCGATGCAAGTAAAGACCATTGGTGTCTTCCAGCGAAAGATTTTGATCCGGATACTACTAAGCCACCTGCACTTTACCATACTTCAAATCACCCTGTGGCCTAATATCTTCCCCAAAGCTTCTAACACTGTCGTCTCTCCACCCTGACAAACAATTCCCTGCCCCGGGTTGCAGACGTAACCACCGCGATGGCCCCGAAGCCGCTTGCCGTACCCCCACAACTCTTGAAAGAGATTGGCGCACCAGAACAAACCGGCGTCTTGCGATCTAACAGACGGTGGAAGAGCCAGGGTCAGAACAGAAGAGACCGGCGAAAAGCTGAGAGGCAGTCGAAGAAGCAGCGGCAGGCCACATCACGGAGGGATCCCTCCAAACAAATCCACCAACATGTTGAAAGAGGTCAGAAGGAGGACATTGACGAAGACTCTTCAAACGATGGAAAAAAGACGCCGACACAGCAACGCCACGAGCAATTCTCCCATAAGAAGCGCAAGCGAGCAGACCTAGGGGAAACAAACGACAGCGATGAACTAGAGCAGCCAGCAGCGGCGAAACACCCATCCCGTAAAATGCAAGAGAAACTGGCTAAGGACGATGCCGAGATTGAGCAGCTCGAGCGCAAGCTGGGGATGAAAAAGGGCCGCAAGTCATTGCCCAAATCTTTCAAGGATGACGGCCTGGAAGATTTGCTAGGCGATCTCAATGATGCCAGCGACTGGGATGAAGTGGGCGGCAAGATGAAGAGTGAGGCCGAAGAGTGGCTGGCTCAAAAACGTCAGAAGGCGACTGAAACACTTGCGAAAGCTCGGCGCGCTCCAGAAAGCGAGGGGGACTATGAGGATGAGGAAGACTTCAGCGACGAGCTCGATTTTACTCGTGATGACGACAGCGACAGCGACGGATCTAATGACGACGCCATGATTTCTGAAGATGATTCACATGACCAGAGTTCTTTCGAAGGCATTGATTCGGGAGAAGAGGAGACGGCACAAGACACCAAACGCGTCAAAGAGAACCCCTATCTACCTCCGGTTGCAGCCGGCACCCAGCTGCCAAAGTATATTCCTCCGTCATTGCGAGCGAAGTCTGGCGGCGATGCAGACGTGGAGGCTCAGATCCGTAGGCAATTGCAAGGCCCTGTCAACAGAGTGGCTGAGGCCAACCTAACCTCCATTGTCGGCGAGATCGAAAAAATATATCAGAACCATCCAAGGGGCCATACCAACAAGATCCTCACCAGTCTTCTAATGGCTCAAATCTGCGACCCCACGAGCAAGCCCGACACGTTACTGGTGCTATCCGCCGGTTTCATTGCGGCCCTTTATAAGGTAATCGGTGTTGACTTTGCAGCACACTTCCTCACTACGTCTGTGGAACGATTCCAGGTCGAGAGAGAGAAAGCAATTGCAATGGCGGCTGAGCAACGGATACCAACGAAAGAAACATCCAACTTGCTCACTGTGCTAGCGGAAATGTACATCTTCCGCGTCATTAGCAGCAACCTCATGTTCGACTTTGTGCGGATTCTTCTCGGCGACCTCTCTGAGCTGAACGCTGAGCTTCTACTACGAATTGTGCGTGTAGCGGGCCCCCAGCTGCGCAAGGACGATCCATTGGCTCTGAAAGACATTGTCAGCCTGATTCGCCCGGCCGTGGCCAATATTGGGGAGGGCAACCTGACGGTTCGCACAAAATTCATGATTGAAACAATCAGTGACCTCAAGAACAACAAGATCAAGGCCGGCGCACAGGATTTGGTCATTCTCAATGAGCATGTAACTCGCATGAGAAAGGTATTGGGATCCCTCGACACGCTAAAGCTCAAAGCTACGGAGCCCCTGCGAATTGGGCTCAAAGACATCGAGAACGCGGATAGGACTGGCAAGTGGTGGCTGGTTGGTGCCAGCTGGGCGGGTCAGAGTGCGCAAGACGCGAGGCGGGGAGACAACAAGATCGAGGTGGCAGCTGGGCCAGAGTCCAGTAAGAGTGACGATGGCGACGACGATGTTGTTGTTGCAGATGCTGATGACCTGGCCACACCTGACTATGCCCAGCTTGCTCGAGAGCAGGGCATGAACACAGACGTGCGAAGGGCCATCTTCATCGCCCTGGTGGCAGCAGCCGACTACCAGGACGCCTTCATGCGAATTCTTAAACTGCGGCTCAACAAGTACAACCGACGCGAAATTCCTAATGTGCTGCTTCAATGTTCGGGGGCACAACAGCACTACAATCCCTACTACACCCTTGTGGCAAGGAAATTTTGCAGCGACTCAAGAATCAAGCACGCATTCCAGGACACGCTGTGGACGTTGTTTCGCAGACTTGGCGAGCCCTTGTTTGGGGAGGAACCAGAGGAAGAGGACGAGGAGGCAGCAGATGATCGGCGGCTTATCAACACTGCCAAGATGGTGGGAAGTCTAGTTGCCGATGGCTCTATCGGGCTCGGGATCCTAAAGCCTCTCAACTTGGCGTATGTCAGGGAGACGACGAGTTTGTTTGTCGAGGTGATGCTCATCACGGTGCTCCAAGAGTGCAGCCGAGTCAAGAATAAGAGCTTGGAGCAGGCCCTTAGCTTACCTTTGGGCAGCGGCTTGGCCCCAGCCCTTGCACGAAGCCTAGGCTATTTCCTGCGCAAAAAGGTGCGAGTCACGGATTTGGTTAGTAATAAGAGGGTAACCAAGACTGTCAGAGAGGCCTGTAGAGTTGCTGAGAGGTTGCTAGAGAGGCCAGGTATTGATGCGGTATAAGAGGAGGGTGGTCTGGTAATAAGCACAAGAAAACAAGAAAAAAAGAGGGATATCAACATTGCCCCATACCCCCATGGTTTGAACAGCTTCTTCCTGACATACTTACCTTACCGTCATGAGAAGTAGACAACGATATTTCGGCCCAATACAGCGGAACAATTCCGTTAGAGCGAATGGCCGGTACCTCTCCTTCGTGGGTGCAGGGGAACGAAAAGGATTAGCTGGAGGTAAGAAAGTGCGTCTTTTTCGGACGACTGCGACATCAAAAACGCCGGTGTTTGCAGTCTGGAACGGCTAATGTTGCCTCAACACGGGAGATGACGGGGAAGACCAGAACGTTGGGGAGGCGCTGTAGTTCTTCGTGGGTGTGTCTGTATCCTGTACGTCGAACAGCTGTCGATTACATAATATCAATGGGGCATATGCGGTGGTATCATCTCATTGGCTGCATTGGTCTGAAATCATGCTTTGTTGACGTGTTAGGTATCAGTAAACAGCAAAAGTTGAATGAAGTAGGCGGCTTTAATTGTCAATTGCTGGACTGGCTTTGAGAGTCATGATGCAGCCATCTATACCATGCATGTATGTAATGTATCGGTTTAAAAGGAGACCGCGCCCAATGTGCTTCTGGCCCTGGTTGTTGGTTTGTTATGCCTCGATCAGTGATCTACCTGAATTAGAGCAGTAATAATGTAGGATGTACAGATGCTGAGAGTGAGATTGCAAAGAATAATAGATAAAAGGCCGAATTATTAGGACAAAACTAACTACAAAAACACCAACCAACAGTAGTAATGTTGCGTAGCAGTGGGATACCGTAGACTTCACTGCGAATAAGCATGCAAGGACGACAAGAACAATAATAGGCTGAGGTAATCATGTCCCTGTAAAGCCGGCAGCTACTTCGCCCACGCCCTGGTGTGCGGTGCTGCCTTCCCTTCGAAAAATTCAAGCCCCCAATGACCGAGAGCTCCAATTCAATCCCGAAGCTCGCCCAACATTGACCACCCAAACACACATTCGCCCCCATTCAACGAGTTGGCTTCCGACTTTCCTCCCTCCACCATTTCTCACACTGACCGATCACCGCGTATTTCCATCGGATTAAGCCACCATGCTCTCCAGTCGATTGATACCGCGCTCTGGAGCCAAGTCGGCCTTCAGAAGACACGCTTCGTGAGCCCACGAGTTCATGTTCCCGCGGTCATGCCTCATTGAGCTAACCAGTACGGCGTGTAGTCTACCCACCGTTGTCCCGCCCATTCAGCTGTCGAAATGGAGTCGCGCCTACGCCTCGGCCTCTGAGGAGAAGGACCTTGTTGTTATCGGCGGTGGCGTCGCTGGCTACGTCGCCGCCATCAAGGCTGGTCAAGAGGGCTTGAAGGTCACCTGCATTGAAAAGCGAGGCACGCTCGGCGGAACCTGCCTCAATGTCGGCTGCATTCCCTCCAAGGCCCTTCTCAACAACTCCCACCTTTACCACACCATCAAGCATGACTCGAAGAACCGCGGTATCGATGTATCTGACGTCAAGATAAACCTCGAGCAGTTCATGAAAGCTAAAGACACTGCGGTCGGGGGGCTGACCAAGGGTGTCGAGTTCCTCTTCAAGAAGAACGGTGTCGAATACATCAAGGGCGCTGGCACTTTTGTCAACGAGAATGAGATCAAGGTGGCCCTTAATGACGGAGGCGAGACCTCGGTTAGGGGAAAGAACATTTTGATTGCTACCGGTAGTGAAGCCACGCCCTTCCCTGGACTGGAAATTGACGAGAAGCGTGTCGTCACCAGCACTGGTGCTCTGTCACTTGATAAGATACCCGAGAGCCTTGTTGTCATTGGCGGTGGTATCATTGGTCTGGAGATGGCCTCTGTTTGGTCTAGACTGGGAACCAAGGTGACCGTCGTTGAGTTTCTTGGGCAGATTGGCGGTCCTGGCATGGACACCGAGATCGCCAAGAGCGCGCAGAAGATACTCAAGAAGCAGGGCATCAACTTCAAGACAGGTACCAAGGTTATCAGCGGTGACAAGACTGGTGACAAGATCAAGTTGGAGGTCGACGCTGCCAAGGGTGGCAAGCCCGAGACCGTAAGCACCAACACGCTTTCCGTCTCTACATTGGTGAATGAGTTGCTGACTGGGCGAATAGCTGGATGCCGACGTCGTCCTGGTGGCCATCGGTCGCCGACCCTACACCGGCGGACTGGGGCTTGAAAATATCGACCTCGAGCTGGATGAGAGAGGCCGTGTCATCATTGACTCGGAATATCGCACGAAGATTCCCCACATCCGTTGCGTTGGGGACGTTACCTTCGGCCCGATGCTGGCGCATAAGGCTGAGGAGGAGGCCGTTGCTGTGGTTGAGTACATCAAGAAAGGTCACGGTCACGTAAACTATGGTGTGATCCCGTCTGTCATGTACACCCACCCCGAGGTTGCCTGGGTCGGCCAAAGCGAGCAGGATCTCAAGTCGCAGGACATACCGTACCGAGTCGGCACTTTTCCATTCAGTGCCAACTCTCGCGCTAAGACCAACCTGGACACTGAGGGCTTGGTGAAAATGCTGGCAGATCCCGAGACGGACAGGATTCTGGGAGTTCATATCATCGGACCTAACGCGGGCGAGATGATTGCCGAGGCCACCCTTGCGCTCGAGTATGGTGCCTCGAGCGAGGACATCGCCCGAACATGTCACGCTCACCCAACCTTGGCGGAGGCATTCAAGGAGGCCGCTATGGCCACCTACTCGAAGCCGATTCATATGTAAATGTAGCAGCCAAGCATGCTAAGAAGCACGGTAATAAGTTTGGCGTCCTAGAAGGCTTAGCAAACAATACATGTACTTTATATTACCTAGGGGTTAGCAGATAGACGTCTAGATACCTAGTTTATAACGTAACGTAAAAGCCCTTTATACTAGTATAATATCTATTAAATTATAGGGATTATAATAGTTAATTAATTAAGTATAGTATATGTTATATAACTATAGTAAAGTTCTATAAGAACAGGGAAATCCTCTTATTCCTTTATTAGGAAATCTTAGGCTAATCCTAGCTATATAATTAGTAAGATTACTTATAAAGTAAGGCTACTTTACTACTTATTCTCTAATAATTTACTATAAAGGTAACTATATGTTTACTAGTTAATTTATATATATTTTTACTATACATAATATACCTTCTTAGTACTTATAATAAAGTTAATTATTATAGTAATTATATTAAATATTCTTTATTTATAGCCTATTTATTTATTAGTTATTTTTAGTATTTTATATATATATATTTTATTTGATATACCTATATAGTAAGTAGAATAATATAGTAAGTAGAACACTTTTACTACTTTTTTTACCTCTTTAACCTTTATATTTACTTTTCTTAATATATAAACATAGACCCTTTCTCTAAAGAAAACTAAGTTATTTTTACTTTCTAAGCTATCTAAAAAGACCTAAAAATATCTTTATAAACAGTAGCTTATACCTTTAAGGTCTCCTTAATATCTCGTTATAAGTAATATAATAGAAGTTTTATATTAAATAATATATATTTAAAATATAAAAAAAATAATAAAAGTAAAAAAAAAAGTAATTTATAAGAGGCTTATTAACTTAACTAATTATAGGTTTTCTTTATAATAAGATAATATATAAGATATAGCTAACTAACTTCTAAATAAATATAATATAATATATATTAGACCTTAATAAGTAAAGAACTTTATATAATAATAGACTTAATTAAAAATATAATTTTAATATTAAATTAACTATTAAAAGGCCTTAGCTAAAGATCTTATAATTATATAAAGCTAGTTTATAATTATATAAGATATAATTATAAGGGGTTTAGTAACTAGCTACCCTTTATAAGGCTATATATAGTGTATTTTAGGTACTTAGTGCCTAAACTAATTAATCTTTTAGTAATACTAAAATAGTCTATTAACAGGCGTAGTATACTACTTATACCTTTATAATTATTTAGGCACTAAGTAGGTCTTTTAGCTAGATAGAGGCTAGGTTTAAATCCTAACTATTACGCTCTCTTTAGTGTAGGCCTTAAGGGGCTAGAGGTTATTAATTAGTAACTAGCTATAAATTAGTTAGCTAGGTATAAATAAAGGGCAGCTTACGTTAGGCTTAGAGAGACTAATATATAATAAGTAAGCCTAGCGCTAGCTAGGGGTCCCCTAGCTATTATTAGGTACTAGGCGCCTAGGGTCTTTAGGGTTAATATATATTAAATAGTAAGGATTATAATAGTTACTTAATTAATTCTATTATATACTATATAACCATTATAAATTCCTATAGAAATAAGGAAAAACCCTTATTTCTTAATTAAGAAATCCCTAGCTAATCCTAGCAATAATATTAGTAAAGTTACCCCTAAAAGTAGGGCTATTTTACTACTTATTCCCTAATAATTTACTATAAGGTAACTATATATTTACTAACTAATTTATATATAATTCTACTATATTTAATACACCCTCTTAGCGCTAGTAACGTAATTAATTACTATAGAGCCTATACTAAATATCCTCTATATATAGCCTACTTATTTATTAATTATCTTTTAATCTCTTATACGTTTTCCTTTTTTATTTAGTAGTAAAGCTTTACTTTATTATTAGCTAATTCTTACTATTAATTTACTTTAAGGTATATATATTAGTTACTTATATTTAATTAAGCTATAAATATAGTAAATTATAGTACACTAAGTGCTTTTATTAATTTATTAGCTATTAATTTAGTAGACTTCTTATATTTAATAGTAATTTAATTTACTACTACTTTTTAGTATAGCTAGTAGTTATAAATATCTATATACTATAGCCTTATTTATAACTAAATAAGCTCCTTAGTAATAAGCCTAATAGTTTAGGTATTATTATAGCTAATATAAATAGTTAGTAGCTATTTAGTAGCTACCTACTTATTAAGTAATAATTTAGTTTTTAGTTATATTAATAGTTAAATACCTAGTGTAGTAATTAATCTACTAGTAAGAAGCGCCTCTTTTATAGTAAATAATAAGGCTAGTAATTTAGCCTTAGTAGTTAACGTTATTACTATATCTTATTTATTAGCTTACTAAGAGATAAGCCCTCTAAATAGCTTTAGTATATATACTTATAAGCTATAATAGTCTAGTAAGTTATTAGTAAATAAGGCGTCTAAAGTAAACTTTAATATATTATCTTTACTACTTAATATTACTTTATATTTAAGGTAAAAGTACTATATTTAATAAAGATACCTAAGTATATAATTTATAGTTTTTTAGTAATTTAGATTTAGATTATAGCTAAAATAAGTAAGCTAGCTAGCTATAAAGGTAATATCTAGCTAAGTTATTACTACTATATAAAGGATTATCCTTACTTTTTTTTAATATTAGTTAACCTCTTATAATAAGGCTATATATTTACTAAGTAGTAACTTAGCCTTTACTATAAGGAATAATTTATTATATTTATATTTATTATTTATTAAGAGTAGTTTTATTATTTTATTATAGTATACTACTTATAAAAGCTAAAGATAATAGTTACTTTACTTATAAATTACCTTAAGGCTAAAAAACTATTATAATAAGCCTTTACCTTTAAGGTAGTATTATTACTAAAGTACTACTATCTTATTACTTACTTATACTTTATTTATATAGTAATAGGCTAATATATAGTTATTAATATAAAAAAAAATATAATATAATTCCTCTTCTAATAGTAATTCTTACTAAGTACTTAGTAAAATCCCTATATAGTAAGCCCTTCTTTAAGGTGCTTTTACTATAGTAAAAAAGATTATTAAAGCCTATAAAGTGCTTTTAATAACTAGAAGATCTAGCTAGTAATTTAGTAGCCTAGAGGTATTTCTATAAATACTACTATATTAATAGTAGTATAAGTAAATATATTTACTATTTATATTAAAGTAGTTTTAGGTTAAAGTAAGTAGTTATTACTATAAGTATTTTAAATAATATACTTACTAATATAGCTATATAGGTATTTTATAAATCCTTTACTTATTAGTTACTATAGATAATAAGTCTTACTTTAAATTTAGTTAATTAACTATATTTATTAAGCTTATAGGTATATACCTAGTAGTAGCTAAGGACTTAATACCTTTTAGCTACAACTTATAGTACTATTACTTAAGATTTTAATATTTTATACCTATATAAATATACTATTTTAGCGTCTTTAAATTACTTTTTATATAAGTAGCCTTTTAACTATCTATAGATTAGTAAAAGGTGTAGTAACTTCTAATATATATCTATTAGCCTATAAGGTCTAGTAATACCTTTACTATATATTAGTAATTTACTAGTAATATCTTTATAATTATTATACTTACTAGGCGTTATATAGTTAATTAATTCTTAGCTATAAGTATACTTTAGCTAAAAGTAGTAATCTTTACTTATTAGTTAACTTTATAATATACTTAACTATATTATTACCTATAAGCTACTTTATATATAATTTATAATATTTTACTATAAAGTAAGCCTTATAAGGAAAGTAGCTTTAAATAAAGTCCTTAATATAATCTAATTACCTATATATATAGTAAAATAATACCTTTTTTTAACACCTTTTAGTAAAGTTATATTAGTATACTTAATTACTTTATTTACTTCCTTATTAACTTCTTTATATAAAGAGGATTAATTACTAGCTACTATTAGCTAGTTAATTTATTATTAAATTACTATAAGGTTTAGTATTATAAAGCTTATTAAGTAATTTATTTATTAATTTATTAAAAAGTTATTTCTTATTAGATATTATATTATATATAGTAAAGACCTTATTTTATACTGAATACTAAATATAATATAAATTACTAAATATATATCTAATAAGAAATCTAATCTATATATTAGTAGTAAGCTTTTACTAGTAGTTTTATAATAGTTATATATCTATTATTAGTATATACACTTAGTAGCTATAGGCTTATAAATATAAAAAATCTAGCTTTACTATTAGTAAAGGCTTAGTATACTTCTTAAGTATAAAATATAAGTAAAATATTTAATATAGTAATTTCTACCCTTAAGCTACTAATAGCGTTTAATTATAAAGATAAGTAGCTATAGTTATAATTTTAAGCTATAGGCCTTTAGGTAATTTTATATTAATATATATATATTATACCTTAAGTTTAATAATTATAGTAAGTTACTTAGTGCCTCTATTTTAAGCCTAAGTATTTACTACTAATAGCTAAATAAAGATTCTATAATTAAAGAGTATATCTATAAGTTACTTAAGGTATAAGATCTCTTAGTTAGCCTTAATAACTTTTAGTGTAATTAAATAATTAGTTTTTAGTATTATAAAAAAGCCTCTTATTATTAATTTAATAGTATCTTAGTAGTAGCTATATAGGTAGAAATCTTATATAAGGCTAGTTACTTAATTTAAGATTATTACTATTAAGTAGTATTTTATATAGCCTTATTTAAGATTATAAAAGTCTAATACTAAGTAATTACCTAGCGCTATATTTATAATTAATTTATAAAGCTAGTAGTAAATCTACTACCTTATTTTATTAAGACTATATAAATTATAGTCTTATATTATTATAGTGTTAACTTAGGTTAAATATACTCTATATATAGTATTTATAATCCTTTATAAAGCCCTAGCACCTAAGTAGCTAAGACACTTATACTATATTATTATATTACTATAGAGTAGTTACTACTATATTAGTGTTATATA